CTTCCTCCTCGATGGCCTCTCCTCCAGGCCTCGAAGACCTGCCACAGGACCCTATCGGCGTCCCAGTCTCTTACCAGCCTCGCGAGGATGGCCCCCGCTAGCTTCCCCCCCTTCACAACCTTCGCCTTCTTTTCTCTCATCCTCTGCAGTACGTTGCCGGCCTCCTTCCTCGTCCCTTCCTTCGCCACCTCTACCCGCTCCGTCCTCACATTCGGTATGCTCGTTTCCGTTATGGTCCGGATCCTCTCCGCCGCTTCCCCCCAATCGGGTACCCCTGCTCCCCCTTTCGTTTCCCCTTCGCCCATCCTGTCTTTTTCCTCCTTCCACTTTTGAAGCTGCCCCTCTTCCTCCTTCTCCTCCTTACCTTCCTCAGGACTCTTCAACCAACGGAAGCGCCTGTCAGCCACTAGCCTCGCCAGCCGCGCGTCTTTCTTCCCCTCCTCTTCGTTGTAGGCGTCCGCCCCACTCATTTGCCTGTACTGGTTTATCGCCATCCTGCTTGTCCATTCCATTATCTCCTCCATTTCCATGCGCCTCTCTGTTTCCACATCCTCCACGCCCTTGGCGTCCTTTTGTGCCCTCATGAGTGTCTCCCACTCCCTCAGCCTTTGCCTCTCTTCCTCGGCTACTTTCCTCAGCTCTTTTTGCCTCTCACGCCGTGCCCCTTGTCCCTCTTCCTCTTGCCCTTGCTTCGAAGAGCGGCCAAACAAGCCTGCCATTCGTTCCTCCAGGCTCTTTCTCCTCTTTCTTATTTTTCCTATTTCCTCCCACTTTTTTCGTTTTTCCTGCTCCTTTACTGTCTTCCCAAGCCTCTCCTTAATCCATGCCAGGCCACCCGATCTCTCTTCCGTCCTCTTTCCATTCTGTATCTTCCTCATCTCCGCTCGCAATTCCCTGGGCGTCCACCTGCTCACGTTCCCCAGCCTGATCACCCTCCTCTTGTCTTCTGAGGTCGTGCCTCTTTCTTGCTGCCCCCTCTTCTCACCGTTTTCGCCCGTCTTCTTTGTGTTGTTTTCTCCTCCTTCCTCCTCCCCTCCTACGCCTGCCTCCTCGGCCTTCTTCGCTCTTCCCCCTGCTTCCTTTTCCCTCCTTCTTCCAACCGTCCCCCGCAGCCGCTCCCATTCTTCCCGGAACTCCTTCCCATACTTCGACGGCCGGACAAGCTCGCGCTTATGTCTTGCCATTTCCCTGATCCTCTCACGATCATATCTAATGGGCTCCACATTCCCCTCCTTCTCTTTCCCTTTCGCCCCAGCTGTCCACCCTATCGTCGCTAGCATAGGCCTATGGCCCCTTTTTTCCCCCTCCTCCTTCATGGTGTATCCCATTTTGTCTCCCCCTACCTGTATCTTGCGGAGCCTTCCCATCGCCCCCCTGTTTGCCAAGATGTAGTCAATTTTGCTACGCCCTTCCCCGTTCGCAGTGGTGTACTCATAGGTGTGCGCCTCCGCTGCTCGATTCTTTCCTGTCGTGCAGGCGAGTCGCATGCCCCCAAGCTGCGCCAACCTCAGTAACTCTTCCCCGTTTCCGGTGGTCACCCTGTCCACTATCCGGGACCCCGTCAGGCCCTCTCTCGTTTCCCCTATCTTCCCGTTTGCATCGAGGAAGAGAAACGTCGCCCCTTGCCAATTGTCTGCTTCCCTTTGCAGCTGCGCCCACCTCTTCTCCGCTCCTAGTTCCCCTTCCTGTCTCCCATAGTGCCCAACCAGGGTTAGTCGCGCCTCCCCCCCAATCTCGACCCTGACCGTCTGCTCGGTCGCGGTGTCGATGTTTTGCGCGTGTCTCTCTATTTCTGCCGACAAGGCCACCGTTACCCCCTCGGCATTTTTCGCCCCCTTCCCTGCCTGCGTTGTCAACTTGTACCCCCCGACCCACTTGCTGCCCTCTGGCAATCTGCTCTCCAGCAGGAACGCTACGTCTATCCCGTTCGCCCTCATGTCCTGCGCTAAAGCCTCCTCTCTGCCCTTTAGCGTGTTGCAGTTGTGCATGTGCACCCTGATGAATTTCCTCCGCTTCTCTTTCTTCCTCTGTTTCACTTTTGTTGGCACTCTCGCTTTTGCCGCCTCCCTCACAAGCTCACGGCCTAGGTTTTGCCCTCCTTCCTCCCTCACATTTTCCAGGCCCTCTTCGATTGCCATCACCGTGCGCCCCCCCTGGCGACTGTTGCGCTGGATGTGTGCCACGACTTCCCTCGCCGTGCCACTCCTCACCTGCCTCGAGTCCCCTGTCGCTATACGGATCGCCGCCAGCCGCCCCCCCTCGCCTTCTCTTTCCCAACCGTTCATCCCTTTGCAGCCCACCCTCCATGCGTCAACCTCAGTCCCTTCGCCGGCCTCGCGCCCTAATTCCTGCACCCATCTCGCCTCCACCTCTTGTAGCCAGTCCCTCTCTCGGTCGGCTTCCCTTCCCCCTGTTTCATCCTTTTCGAATGCTATCCTTATAGCGCCCCCCTTCACATGTTGTTGCATTTGTCTACCAACTTCGCGGAGGGCCTTTGCGTATCTCTTAGCCCTCTCCTCTATCGTGTCACCTGTTGCCCCCAGTCGTCCCGCAAATCTCTTCGCCTCCACCTCTATCACCGTCGTGCCCTTCTCCTTCCACTCATACATCCCCCAAGCGGAGCCCCACTGTCTCTGGATTATCTCCCCTGCTCTTTTCTTCTGTTGCACCTTCTGCACCGCTGCCCTCTTTTCTCCCCCTTTTTTTGCCCTGATCATGATCACCACCCCCTTTCCCCATTCCTCAATCTTGCCCCCCGTCTCTTGGATCGGCAGCCTGTTCTTTGTGCCCCCCCTTGCACTCCTTCTCACCTCTGTCCACCCTTCTGCCCGTTCTTTTCCTTCATTGTCTCCCTGCTGTTTCTCCGTTACCGTCACCACCTTTCCTCGCAGTGCTCTCTCCTCTTTCACCTCCTGCCGATGCTCTTTCTGCCTTATCTTTTTTAGCATCCTCGCCCGTTCTACCCTTTTTTCTTGCGGCCTCTTCAACGCGACCACCTCTCCACCTGCCCGGCACACCTCCCGGGCGAGGGGCTCCACCTCCTCCCTGAACGGCCCCCACCTTCCACCGGCAGGCCCGCACCCTGTAGCATGTGGAAAATAGAAGCAGGAGCCCCTTTCTATCTCCCTCCCGAGCTGCCTCCTGGCATCCTCCAGGCCCTCTCTCCACCACCTCAAGCGGTCTGCCTGCGTCTCTCCCCTTCCCGGCGGCCCGGGTCCTTCTCTTGCGCAGATGTTGACGATCTTGCCCCCCACTGCTTGGTCGTAGACGATCGCCGTCCCCAGGGTCCTTCTCATGTTTTTCCCCTCCTGATACTCATCCGCTTGGGGGTGTTCCCTAAAAATTTCCGCCGTCACCCCCGCCGCGCTGCGGGACTTTCTGTCCGTGATCTGAAAGATCACCGCCCCCCACTTGTGTTCAATTTTTCCCATCCTTGTCCCCACCTTCCCCTTTGCCATTTCCCCCCCCTTCATGGCTTCGCTTTCGTTCCCTTCCTTGTTTTCCACAGATGGGCCCCCCCTGTCCACTTCGCCGCGGGTCACCCGCCTCTTTGGCTGCTTTTCCCTGTTTAACCCGCCTGCTTCTTCCCTGCACCTTTTCACCCCTTCCGTGCAGCCGGGCCCCCTCTGCGGCCACTGCCACCCCCTATCTACCACACCGGGCCACCCTCTCCCTTTGCCACGATTCTCACGCTCCTCCACCCTAGCCGCCACACTCTCACCCTCACGCTCTTCCACTCTAGCGGTCGAGCTGTAGTGCCCTCCCGTAAAAACCACGGCTATACGCGGCGCCAGCTCTCCATATTCGTCCCCAATGACATAAGACCCCCCCGCCAAGGCAACGTCATACACAACGATCCGCACCCGCAGAGTCTTTGATATGATGGCGAGGCCCTCCCCTCCCATCCAGGTCCACCGCGGTGCATATCGCAGACCCTGCGCCACCAAGTTCTTTTGTCTTACGCCTGCCCTTGCCCCTGCTTCAACTTCCTCCATCCTCCACACATTCGCCGCAACGAATGCACGCACGTCCCTCATTTGCGCCACCCCTGGCGGTGCCAGCCCCTGTCCTTGGAGCTGATGCAGGACTGCATGATAACCACAATGCCCATCGCCCGGCATTATTTTTTCCACTAGGCCGTCTCTCCACCGAGCGGCCCGCGTCCTCCTCTTATTTGTCTCCCTCTTGCTCTGCCCTTCCGTTCCTCTGTTCGTTCCCCTTTCTCATCTCCTGTAAATCCTCCCGAGAGGGGGGGTCGCGTGAGGCCCTTGCCCCTGACTTCCTTCTCCCCTCCTTCACTTTGCCCTTTTTCACTTCTCCCTATTTCACTTTTCTCTTTTTCACTCTTAACACCATTTTCACCCCGTTCACATTCCCCCACGAAGCCTCCTCTGCCCACCTTGCGACCCCCTCCCCCTCTTCTCTCCCCCCCAGATTCCATTCTGTTGCTCATCGTCACAAGATGGGGCACCGTATGCCCCCCTCCTCGCTTTCCACCCCCTAGCGCTAGGTCGGGGCGGTGGTTGTTGGGTCTTCCGTTCGACCTGCAGACAGGGCCCCCCCCGTCTTCAGGGACGTAGGGCTCCCTCCTCCCACCATTTGGCCCGCATCCGGGCCGCCGTACGGTTCGGGGTAAGCGTCGACGCGGACGGCCGCTACAAGGCCTCCTCCTTACTAGGCTGGGCGTCGCGTTCACGTTGCGCCTGGTCTGCTCCAGTCTGTCTTTCTCTGCTCGGCTTGGGCAGCGTCCTTGGGTTCGCCGACGGAGTCTCGTTTCTTATCGGCATCCATGTCACGGGGAGTAGCTCTCGCTTTCATTTTCTTTCGCAACTCGCTCCTTTTACTTACTTTTTCGAGTAATCGAAATTGTCTTCGATGTTTTTACTGTTTTGCTAGTTCTTGCAAATGCATGCAAAAACTGAGTCTATTTTTCTCGCAAGACTTACAGCTAGAATATCTTGAAAATACTCTATCGACTTTCGCTTCACCTTCTAAATCCTGTGGACGGTCGTGCAGACTTAGACTTGTGGGTTGTTCCACCCGGAGACTTCCCTATGCGGCCGCTGTGCGCCGCCCCTGGCTACCGAATCAGCGTCCATGACAAACGATGTAGCGGCGGAAAGTTGGACGTGGACTCAAGGGAGGACACTCCGCGGCCAGTGGAGAACGTTGTTTTTCAGAAGTGCGCTCCGTCTGGAAAGTACAGGGTATGACGTGACTGATTGAGGAGAGCTAATTATAAAGGAGGCGGCGTCTTCTGTTTTGTCGCTGAGGACGCCGCTTCTCCATATTCCATGCTCTTGGCGAGTGATCCCAAGAAAATAGGCAAGAACAGAACTGAACACCTTCACGCGATGAGTATCGTGGTCATATTACTTTTGCTACTAGATATTCTATAATATTTATATTAGATAACAGAGCACGTCACTCCTCCTCAATCAGTCGAGTCACCCTTCATAAAGAGTCATAGTCAACACGTATGCGCAGTTCAACGGAGGCTACAAGGACATCCAGCCGAAGGGTTACCCATGGACCTCGGACGAATATAAAGTTATCGGCGTTAGAGGTCACTTTTTGAAGGTCGACGTGTAGACTATTGTTGGCATTTGGCCATATTTCTCGCTATTCTTGACATTCTTTCTCTTGGCTACTAGCACTCTGCTTGTTCATTTACTTTGCCAATCCTGAGCCGCGGTGCCCATGATTGAAGTAGATGCGTCCCAAGTCAGGCTGCTCCTGCTGTTATGCGGTCTGACTTGTCTATAAATTGACAGTCAAGAATAGACGAGCCCAGAGCTTTTATATAAAGGGTCACTGAGGATGACCTTTCTAGGATCCGGAACACGAGGAGGTCTGACAAGGACCTAAAGATTGATGTCCCGTTCCATGTGTTGGTCAAGTCTCATCCACGCGCCACTCTAGAGATCGTGGGAGAAAATGTTAAGATGAACATGAATGCAGCATAGGTTATATATAGAAGCTGGAAGAAGACGCTGAAGCCGAAGTTTGCATCTACTTCCTCCCAGCATCATTGAAATTTAATTGTCAGGGGCTCGCCACCTCCACGCAGTTGATGCTTCATCTTCTCAACGAAAAACGTTGCGCAATGTTGCAAGGTGAAGTAGTTAATTGCATTTACATGTAGAAGTAGTGATAGAAAATAAGGAGGGCATGGGGAAAGTTGTATCGGAATATCGTAACTACCGGACTCACAGTAAGGCAACTTGCCACACGCTGCGGCCGTTTTTCTAGTGGCGAAAACGGAGCCCCTTAGATTAGAGATGCTCTGTGGTGTCGCGGGTAAGGCAACCTGGAGTGCCTGAGACAGCAGAACCACCCGAACAGGGAGGGGCCACCTAGTGGGGCAAGGCTCTTCGTGTCCTGTTTGAAGTAGGAGCAGCGGACCAACGTAGCGCGAGCGCCTTGCGGGTAGGTTGGCTACAGGAGTCAAAGAGGCTTGGGAGCTATCTGCGCGCGGATGCTCGTCACAGTAGAATCGCTCTGCTGTTGAGGAGGAACAGCCGCTCCGCCTTGCGGGGCTTAGGCTTGTGGAGTCCAAGGCGCGGCCACGTGGCTGCCGCGACGAGGATAGCGGCTGGAGGCCGCTCTGGTGGTGAAGAAGCTGGGCGGTGTGGTAGGAGTGACAGGCCTGGAGGCTCTGCGGGGCTTTGTGGGTCTTGAGACCGTGGCTAGGTGTGTATAGCGAGGCGCGGCAGCCTTCCACGGGCCACGCTGATGCCCGTCGGCATTCAGCGAGTGAGGCGTGAGGCTTGATTGCGATGAAACTGAAGGTGTCCAAGCCTCTTCGACTTGGTGGGGACACAGCCTCCCCAGCCTGAAGGGGAAGGCGCGTGCCTGGGCAGGGCAATCAGCGAGCGCGGCTGTGACGTCCTAGGGTGTAGGGGGAGCGCGAGAAACCTGGACCGAGGTGCACAACGGGTGTCGCCACGTGTGCGCGCAGGTGACTAGTGAGGAGAGCATGGGTGCGCCTCCGGTCTGACAGGGCCGCGGTGGGTTCCAGTTCCGTCCTGTGCTTTCTCTGTCTCTGCTTCCGGTAGAAGCAAGTTGCAGGGCCTGGGACTTGAAGCTGGACGAGCATAGCGGCAGCGCTGTGACCAAAGAAGAGTCAGGTTGCCACAGCTGCCAAAGCTATGCTGAGGGCATTACTAGACGCAGGCGCAGCTCGAATTTTTTCCATAGAGTGCATCTGGACCCCGCTCGAGACTAATGGCTTAGAGTACGAGATAAATAGGCTTTGGAAATTTCACTAGTTGGAATCAGGGGCGCGCGCGTGGATGGCTCGGCGGACTGTGTAACACCTCAAAGCGCCATCCTCTGATACTGAGGTGGCAGTCGTGTTCTCTAATGAGAGCGAGCAAGTTGCTGGGGCGGACGCGATCGCCAAGAGGGAGGGAGGCGTTCCAATTGTGTTTGTGAGGAAGGGCACTACGGCCGGCAAACCTGAGAGTCTTTGGGGCCTAGTATGGCTGAAGGACGTCCTGGAGTTTACCTATGCTCCTGGTCCTCCCAAGAACAGTGACAAATACGCCGAGCTTATACCGGAAGGCGCGGGCGACGCATGGACACAAGCGACGGCAGAAATTGACAATAATTTCAAGGAAGAGAATGGAGGCGGCACAATCAAAGTCATTCTATCATGGAAACATCCTTCAAAGCTGGTCGAAGGAGGCTTAACGGTCAGCGCGTGCTCTGATCCTCAGCAGCCAAGCGAATGCCCAACCGGTCTTGCATATACTCAGCACTCTAAGCGCATGAGCACGCAGGGCCCAGACGGCACTCGTAATCAAATACCGAGAACTGGATGCAGGTCTGGGAGCTGGCACCATTAAGGGCAAACTATGTATAACCACGAAAGCGAAACTCCATTAACTTTAACACTATATATAAATCAAGAATAATGCAGATAGCGAGCAAATGCGTACACCTACACGGGGGCCCCCTTATCTAAGTACTTCCATGCTGTTCGTAGGTCCTCGGATAAAAGGAGAGATTGATATTAATCTTAGACATTTCGGTAATAACGATCGATCCCAGATACTTCGAGTAGTTCCACTGCTCGTCTTGAAGATAGTGATAGTACGACTTATGATTGGTCTTTCTTCTTCCCTTTTCTGCTTCTTCGCTGTATCTTTCGATCGGCCTTCGTTTCTTAATCATTTATGCCAATACCACGCCACGGAAGCCGCTAAAATATGATCAGTCCGCCCAGCAGGGTCCAATTTGTCACCTTTGACCTAAAAGGCGTGACAGATTACTCGGAAATGAAGCAGTTCCGGATTCATATCGAGTTCACAAATCGCCACATATTAAGGCTGTACGTAATTCATCTTCAACGGCATCCTTGAAACGTTTCTGGGGGAGTCTCACAGGGAAATAGTTGGCGGAGCTGAGCGATGAAGTGCGGAGAGCTCTAAAAATACGAAGTGAGGAGTTACGGCACTTGAACGTCGCATATGCGTGATCTAATAGATCATATTCACTCTTGGCATACCTTGACATTGATAATGAAGACATATAGAAACCCTTCCGCATTTAAGAGCTCAGACGCTTATGCTGATTGATAACCATGAGCATCTTTCTTAATCTTTAAATGAACCAACTCTTGACTTAACCACTTTTGTGTCGTCATGCTTTTGACGCAGTTGTAGCTATTGCTTGAATGCAGTTCAGATAAAAATATGATTAATTTATAATTGAGCAGTAGAAGTAGTTTTATTAAGGCAGAGATCAGGGCTCAGGGTTTCGGTTTCTTAGCGTTTAGGTCAACTAGGAGATTAAGTTCTACACTTTTTGAAGTAGTTGTGAGTGTGGGTGCAGGCTCGATAATACAACGCAAGGCTTGTTGATGAAAATATGGAGGCAACGGCGTCTAACGTTGACGCACGCAGGCGAAAGTGTTGAATACCTTGTCTCCGTTAAACAAGATGGGAAGCATAAGATCGTGTGGAAAGGTCGGGCGAACGCGTTGCTACAAGGCGTCACGCTTATGGACAGGAGCAGGCGTCTCTCACGTGTTTTTTTCTCCCATCTTCAATCATGATCCTCATTCTAAAACTATAGCTCTCTTATTTAATAGAGGGAATGATAATATAATTCCCTCTATTTTTAAATACCGCGCGCTGCTCCTGCTCTTTCTTCTTTTTCCTGAGTTCCGCCACTCTATTAACGACCACATGATACTTTCCTGATACGAATATGTAGCGTTGATCTTGATTATTTCATTAACAATGACTAACCTATATCTGAATGGTTCCGGTATTTGGTAACCTGAATTTGATCCTAAGGGAAAACAAGAAGAGAACCCTTAGGATCAAACTCAGGTTACCAAATACCAGAGCCATACAATATCTGAATTACGACAGGGGCAGACACTACACGACATACCCGCGTCCCTTCAAGTTTGCCAAGATGAAAGAGCATCAAGTTAAGGCCGATGGTAAAAAGTTCATCAACCGATATCGATAAAACTACGCTTTAATTATCAAAAACTCCGTGAAGGGCTGGCACAACTAGTTCATGAGTGATAGATTTTGTCTCGTGAGTGTAGATCTTGGACTTCAGAAGATCTTGGACTCCGCAAGAGCTCGTCTGTGTAGATCTTGCGAGCTGCTCTAAGAAGGAAGAAGTAGCAGGGAGAAGAAAATCCTAGTCGTCCCTTCATACAACGCGCGGGATCCGAGACTTAAGGCTCACAGTAATTCACCTTCACAGTTCAAATCCTCCTGCCCTTCTGCTTCTATTTCTCTCCGAGATATTTTTTGACGATAGTAATTCATTTTGTGGCTCATTAAATAGCTCATGAGTGACTCACTTTCTTCCAGCACAGAGCAGCTCATCTCCTCTCTGCTGGACGAAGAAAAGGCGATGAACTAATGCGATAGAAGAGGGGAACTGAGACGTAATGCCCTCTAAAAGATGATGCACCACACTTTCGTCGGCCAATTCAGCCTGAATAGTATGGAAAAAAGTAGTGTACTCATCCACAGACTCGCGAAAACATAACTGGGCAGCCAGTTTCCCACTATATTTTTATAGCTTCTGGCTAATTTCTTGAGTTGTTGTATAATGAGTACACTTTTCCGCTTCATAGATTAGAAAGGGACTATATGTGGCGTCCATCCGGTTGCGTCACAGACTGGACCCAAACCTTTCCCGGTCTGCGAGAGGATATCGTGGGGCTCTTGGAGCTTCTTCTAGTTTGCGGGAAACATTCGCATCATCATCAGAGCTTCTTTCAGTATTAAAAACAGAGGAGCTTTGTATGAAATTCAAGACAAAAGAGCTCCACAAGATAAGGATGATGCTGATGGACTACTTACTATGTTTTACGAAAGAGCAAGATGATAGATACAAGCTCTTGTTGTCAACAAGGAATATAGAAGTTATCTGTGGGATTAAGAACGAGAGACCTCAAGAATCAGGGACCACATGGCGCACGCTTTAGGTTTATGGATTTGGGAATTGGAGGCAAAGATATAGCAGCTGCTAAAAGAGCGCCTCTTTGAAAGAACGCCTCTTGTTATAATGAAACTGAGCAAATAAAACAAGAAGTTGCACAAGGACCGAGCGCGAGATCGAAGGAACTAAATAGTCGAAAAGTGAAGGTGCGCCGGTGGTAGGTGTAGCGAACAAACTGAAATAGGATCGCGAGAGTGTATTGATATTTATAGGTTATTCGTCTTTCAGTGACAGCATTTTCTCGCTTATTCTGAAGATCATCATGAGTTAAGGACTTACAAACTTGCTTACTTTTTTCGATGAAGTCGAAGCATTTTTTCGGGCCCTTGTAACAAGAAACATCAAGATGCAACGTTTGGCGTCTTTTTTGCCACCGGCTTGTGCCAACTTTTTTCCAAAGACGGGAAAAACAGTCGGCATTATAGGTGGAGGAGCTGCAGGAATGCTGGCTGCTGAACGTCTCCGTATGGTGCTTGACTTGTTCTAGGACAGTTTCTACATCTATTTGAGTGATTTTGAATAAGTGTACTAGTACGGAAAATTAGACGAGTCAGAGCAGTCTTCTACTTCATCTACTCCTTCTTGCTATTTTTATGCAAGGTAGGAGATCGTGATGCGTCCTCTGTCTACTGAGTATCACCAGACCTCAGCCCTTTCCACTACTCCTCTCTCTTGATGATTATCTTCTGCTAGTTTTCCTTACTTCTGCTTCTTGCAGCCACGACTGTCTCAGTCTATTCATCATGTTCATAGTCATCATCTTCATAGAGGTTGCATTTCATGCGTTGCCACCTATTCGACGTGACCGTGATCGACCCGAAGAGCTACTACGAGTACTCTCCCGGGATGTGTCGCGCCTTTGTGCAACCCTTTTCAGCACACAAGCGGATCACCTTCGATATGATGACAGAAAACAGCTTCGCGTCCTCCACAAAGAAGAAGAAACTTTACTTATAGTGTGTTCTCTTTCTCCACGTATGACGCAAGATGATGAAGAAGAAGCACTTGATCTTCACAGTTTTTTAGTTTCCTCCATAGATGTAGTAAATGATCATGCCCAGCATGCGTGACCATGTTGTTGTTGACTACCCGAGCCATATAAAAGACGCACACGCAGACAACTCAGGAATAGGAAGTGCTTCAACACGTTGAATCTTCTTCATATTAGACGACATCTTCGCGCTCGCCTTTCATATTGAATTATCGGCGAATACTCGAGGACGCACTTGGCGTCGAATTTATGCGAGGGTATGTGGAATCACTAGTGGATCGGGCAGGTGAGGCAACGGGCTCTACACCAGTTAAGGCCTTTTTCTGGTAGTGGCATCAGTGACATTGACATTGACTATTCATCTCTCTCTTTAACCAATACCAACGTACGCAGAGTCCTCATATGCTTACTTATGCTGGGCGTGGACCAAGGAGGATACCGAGGTCTAAAGCAGATAGGACCAAAAAGTTGTCTTCGTCTAGACCGAAAAAGTCACTTTATCTAATACGTCTTCGAATGCCGAGCCTGCAGGAGCGCCAGAAAATGGAGGGCCATTTATGGGTAGGTTAAAGGTCAAGGTGTTCCTGTTACTGTTCATTCTGCCTCTCTGAAAGGGGAAAGGCATAACGGAGAACGGGGTAAAGAACAGACGTCTAAAGCCCTCCCGCTAAGTCAACATCTTCATCGTGAGCCGGGTCATTCTCCTCAGCGAGTGCCTCGTCATCAGCGTCAAAACAGCTAAGGCCTAGCGGGCTACGGTGTCTGGTTGGAAAGTCCACAACTACAGCTACAGTTAAGGCTCAACTTTCATTGCTCACCATTTAGATTCGAGTCTCTGACATCAAAGAGGTGGAGACCCCATGAGAGAACAAGGGAAAACTAAGGGAGACTACTAGGGGATAACTACCACTACTAGAGGAAAACTTAAGGAGGGGCCTTGTCCCTTCAGCATCAGTGAGGAATGAATGTTGACCTTCAATACGCATACGGGGTCTTCAGAATCAACCGAAGCGCGGGACTTCGATTACATCATCGTAGCAACTGGTGTCCAGAACGGAATATGGAAGCAGCCTTTTGCGAGTCTCGATTAAGGCCGTCTCGTTGGATTTTCACACTCTTGTCTTGTTTTCTGCGAGTGATACTTTTACTTTGTAAAGAGGAGAGCGGATGGATCAGGTGAGAAGGTTGAGGCAGGCATGGGCGTGCCAAAAGGAAATGCATGTACTTGGGGCTGGTATAGTGGGCACGGACCTACAGAGTTGAAACTTTGGAACTATAGAATTGAAACTTTTGCTGGTGTCAGAGTCAGTGAGTTTGTGGACTAACTACGCAGACGCACTTCAACATCTCAGTGATGTTTGGAGCAATATTTTTTCACCAGGACTGTGTGTCTGTGTCAATACATTTTACTTAATTTGTATCAAACCAAAAACCATTTTCACTTTCAAAAATTGAAAAATTGATATTTTTTGTGGACTTCGTCTTTAATCTAGGTAGAAAATTAACTAGCTAGTTAAGTACTAGCTAGGAAGGAGTCTGGCGGATCCGTGTCGCGTTCAGCAAGCAGGTCTTGATGGTTGAGGAGCAGGCCGAGCTGTAGGGTCTCGTGGAGCGAGGCTGACCAAGGTCAGGCTCAGTCTGAGTGTGAAACTTCTGTTGTTTTTGTGCCTGTGGCACCACCTGGCGCCACGATCGTGAAAGCAACAAGATACTCACACTCAGACTTGCCACGACTTTGATCAGCCTGGCTCCACAAGGTCCCACAGCTCGGCCTGCTCCTCAACCATCAAGCCCTGCCTGCTGCACGCGACACGGATCCGCCAGACTCCTTTCTAGCTAGTTTTAACTTGAGTATCTAGTTAACTTTAACTAGCTAATGAAATAATCAAGTCCAACAAAATTATCAATTTTTCAATTGTTGAAAGTGAAAATGGTTTTTGGTTTGATAATTTGGCGACATCTTGTACTCGAATACTCTTCAAATATATAATAAGCAATAAACAAAAACAACAGCCGAGCATCTGATATTATTTCCGTCTTCTACGCTTCTCGGCTGTCTGAGTTGATAGGCTTCTACAGCTTGATGCCTACTGCTACGTTTACTTGAGCGTATCGAATAGAAAACCCAAGGAAAATGCCAATTCCTTCTGTGACCGACAGCTCTGCTGTCCCTCCGAAGAAGCTTATCAATGTGATGCATATGGTGAAACTTGGCTGGATTCGGGCGATAGCGTTCCTCTTTCTTTCGATTAAGGCCATACCCATAGGAGAGTTTGAAATATTTTGTTGAAAATATACCTCTATGTCTATCCCGACCCAAACACAATTTTTGCTTCAATGCCAACAAATAATACGAACCCCGCCTCTAGTTCTAGGTCTAGAACTAGATCTAGTACTATTATCACAGGCTAGCGCAGGGATGACGACATCCCTGCGCTGCTGTTAAGTTTATTAAGTCACTCCGGGCTGTCTCGTGTAAGTATAAGGCCTAGACTTAGAAAACAAGACCGCTAGGCTCTGATATACTGGCAGAGTGCATGACTTTAAGGAAAAAGGGGAAGAAGAGGGAGGAGGGAAATACTGCAGAGACAAGAAGGAATAAACTAAAACTTACCCGCTACTTGCTGGAAGCGGCCAACGATTGGCAGCAAGAACGTGGGTCCGAACTGAAGGGAATACTTACAGAAGTGCGCTGCTTTGACGACAAGCGTCGCGCGTGAAAGTATCACCAAAGGGCTGCACGCGTCAGAGCAGGGAGCCTTCGCACGAATCAACTGAAAAGAACCCAGGCGGCGCCACCTGACTGCACGCGACGCGCGTGAGAGATATGCGCCGCGTCTTCGGTCAGTCATACTGTCGCCACGCAATAGCCGAAGCCGAGCCCCAGCAGTATACTGCTGAAAAAGTTGAAAACAATACTGCTACTCAGCAGAAGAAGGGCCACTACGTTCAAAACCAGACGGGTCTGGTGCTGCTGCAGCCCGTTTCTGCGTGCGACATTTTTGAGGAAGTTGCAAACTCTTGCGCCCGCGCAAGATAATTCGCACCAGATTGAGACAACGCACCCGCTCGAAAATTTTGACCAGTATACGCGAGAGGCCCAGCCTAGCTCTTGCCACTGTGTTGCCTGTCCAATGCAGTGAAGACCTAGAAGAGCCTGCTGGCAGCAAGAATTGGAACAATTTTGGAGGCCGAGCGAATCAGAAAAACAAAAACAGCGACCACCCCACGACCGAGAGAGAACTTGATAAGCCGCCTCACACAGAGAGAACACCTAAAGGAGAGGACTTGGCTAGCGAATTTATAGATTAGAGGGCAAACTTGTAGCACGTACGGACTAGGTGGACTACCTGGATTCGATAAGCCAGCACTTTGGCCGGCTTGCGCCAAACGACGTGAGAATATAGCGGATTGCGCTGTTTTAGATATTGGCGAAACCTTCGCGGGGAAGCTTGTCCATGCGTCTCCACGATACCAAAACCGCGCAACGGGGTAGCTTGAAGGGGGGCCAAAGTGCTGCGCGTATCGCTTTGAGTTCGTGGCCGTGGCTTATTGAATCCCGCCTAAAGCTAGCAGTAGCATAGTCCAACTCCAAAGCGGGCGACTTGGCTGGTTCCACTGGTTTTAGGATTGCTATCAGCGAAGCGAGTGCTGAAGGGGCACGACGTCGCTGGCTCGCGAGTTCGAAGTAGGTCGATGCGGTGAGAATCCTACACGTTAACACTGACGAAGCAGCAAAAGCCTTGGCGCGTTGTGGTTGATGGTAGCACAGTAGTCGCAGTGCCCATTTTCCATAGTGTTCCCGTGCTTCATGCTCATGCGTGGATAGTGCTCGCGCCCGTGAAGATCATCCCCGCCGCATTGCTGGCCTGGTGGTTTTTTTTTCTTTGGTTTCCAATTCCAAAAAGAAACTTGCCACAAGTGTCTCCGTCGTCGTTCCCGTTCAGCTGGCGCCGGCGCATGTGCGACAGCTTTTGTCTTGCCCCAGAGAAAGCACGCTGATGGCATGACTTGCGGCAAAGACATGACAAGAAAGCAGAAGAAAACGCGGGGCATTTGAATTCTATGCATAGAGAGCAAAAGAGAGACCAAGCCTGACCTCGATGGCATAACAATGAAGCGCGCAACCCTAACGCACTCGGTGGCTTTTTTGTCCGGTTTGGCTCCTCTCATGTCGCGCGCAGTGCATCGGCTGAACCGTCGACACCGATGGCGTCGCTTGCAAAAAATGCAAGAGAACGCGCGCGCAATGCTGGACGCGTTAGCCAGGTAATGCAAATGCCGCGCGCTGATGTGAGCGGGCTTCTCCTTTGATTGTGCGGCCCTATTTGGCGCCTTGTCTTTTGGATGCTTCTGGCGTTTATTTTATGCGTATGGCATGCGTATGGTATGCTGTGGACTGGTTAAGCTGATAGCTCACCGGTATGCCGTGGCTTTGTTGTGGCATTCGTGTTGATCTTGATCCTTAGCCGCGTGCGAAGTTCGTCACAACTGTCGCGGTGTCATTGATTCCAGGCCTGTCGCGGGGCTCTCCATGCAATTCGTAAAGGATAACGCCCGCAGTGATTTGCTGGCGCTCTTTCTAATATATCACCGAGCGAGGTACTCGCTTACTCTTCCCGTACGTATTACCTGCGTGCTTTTTCTATATTGCTCGAAGGCCTCTACTTGGATGGATGGAAAATGAGAGCCATCGACCCGACTGCCGCGCCTTGATTCTCGAACTGGATCGATTTGCTTTTATTTTGCTGAAGTGCTGCCTTGCGTTCTAAAGTCGGAAACTGATGAGAGTGCGTCTATCGTTGCTTTCGAAAGCGATGCGAGCCACAGTGGGGAGGTTATGTAGCAAGCTACTCTCCGCTTCCATGGCCATCATTTTTTTGACAGCCTTCCCCGGTGAGTGTTTTGGCAGCCTTCTTCGGTACTTTGGCAGCCTTCGTCGCTGCTTTCGGTTGCTTTGTGTTTTTTTTTATTGGGTTGCCCACTTTCGCCATTTTCTTCATTTCATAGGGGCAGGCTTTTCTCCAACGGCTTTAGCCTTCATGGCTTTGCTCGTGCTATCGCTTTTCATCGTCGTGGTAGGTAGCCTCGGGCGATTCGCTGGTCGCGAAGTTGATTTGTTCTTGTTCTTTGCTTGAGCTTGAGTGCTTCTGCGTCGGTCGATGTTGGTAGCGGAAGAAGATCCTGCTGGGAATGAAAACGCGGCGGGGTATGAATGTGACGAATTCCCTCCAAGCTTTTCGGTTACGTATGGGGTAGCTTCTCACGCAAAGGGTTCGACACTCACCAGCAGCAGCCGCCTGAGCTCGCTGGGAGCTCTGACGAAGAAGGCGCAGAGGGATCGGAAGTAGGCAAATCCGTGGGGTGCTGCGTAGGGGCTTGGGGTGGTTGGTACGCAGCAGCGCCAAGCTTTTCACTTTCATACTTCTCCAAAAAATCGCGGCGGAGCATGTCCGGCACCGTGAGCAAATCAGTATGGACTTGCGATTTATTTTCGCCCATACTGCGCATGAGTTTCAGCGCAGAGGCATCGCCACCCTTGTGGATGGTGGCTGACGTCGCGCACTCCTTGGCGGGTACTGCGGCTACCAACTGCCACTGCGTCAGCAGATCATAGACCTGAAAGAGGGAGAGCCCTAGAGGGCTGGGCCATGGAAACTGAGAGCGGCGAGAGAGAAACACGGCGCAGAGACGCAGAGCGTAGATGAAAACTAACGAATGCGCCGACTTTAGTTTTTTGATAAGATAGCAGAAGTCTTTTTCTGTTTCCTATGAAAAAAAAGGCAGAACGTAACGCCGTAAGCAGGAGCATGCGCATGCTAGACCATCAGCAGAGTGAACATCCTGCGCCACTCTACGCCTTAGATGTAACGCTTAAAAAAGCAGAAAACAAAGAGGCCAGCGGTAGACGAAGTCCTGACGGATCGGAAACAAAGAGAAAGGTAGCAAAAAGATGGTAATCAAATGTATCGACTCGCTTCTTCGTCTACGTTCTTTGTCTGGCTTCTTTGCCTCTCTCATCGTCTCAAGCCTAAAAAAATCATCGCCGTGCGTCCGTCTTTCGTCCGTCTTCATGCTCAAAAAAAAGCCAGATGCTCGGGCAAAGAGTGCAGAACTTCGCGAAACTCACAACTTGATATAGCTTATACGAGATACTATAGAAAAAGAGTAACTTGATGAACTGCATACTCACTACTCTTATTCAACAGGAAAAACAACCGATACTGTCCTCCCTCTCTCCCTCACGAAAAACTAGCACCTCCCTCACGAAAAACTACACACAGCTCTAATGCTAGTTTTTTTTTTGAAAAAACGGCATTCTTGTTTCATTGGTTTACAATACATTCGAGTCCGTAAATGTTGAATGGATCCAGCATTGGGGTGTTTTGCAAGGCTTCCGAAACGCGCTCATCAACGCATTTCCGATGACAGACACCAACGGGTTCAAGTTCGACTTTAACCTGCAGCATACTAGGTTAAGACAAGGACTGAGACGGATTCTTTGTCTTACACTGCTTTCTTACTTATTTCTTGTGTTGCCTATGTGTGAGTGTGTCGTCGGTTTTGATGTTGTGATGCTTGAAATTTTCATCATACTGCTCTTTCAGATACTACAGCGGGAGCGGATACATCCACTCGACCTGGTTACTGTTTTGTACATCATCATCAATCATGAGAGGATCATCGTCATCATCTCTTCTAATTTCTATCGCAGCAATCTTACTGAGCTGCATGTACTTGCGGTTCACGCGCACGACCTTTGACATCCTGCGGGAGGGAAAAACACGAGCTGAGCGCAAAGCAGATGACGAGAAAATAAAAGAAGACGGAACGACGAAAAGCGAACTACGTCTCTGACTCCCTCACCTTCCACCAGAAGAGGAATATTTCTTTTAAGGCTCGGTAGTTTCTTAAGCAATCTGCAGTCAAGGATGTGTTGTAGTGAGGTTGTTGTGAGGAACGCATAATTCACATCTAACCGTACATCAACCAAAGCGGAGAAGGAAAAGTAGACGGATCTCCAGGAACGATCAAGGGAGAAAGTATCAAGTCTTGGAACTGTTGTAGTACCGGATAACACTGGTGGTTTAGTGCCGCATATTCGCCTGGTAAAAGAACTGAAGGGCAACGGGGAGTGACACACATGTTTGTCCGTTCCATCATTCAGTGATTTTTTTGCTGTTCACAAGATCATGACGATGAAAATGTTGAGCCATAAGATGATCATAGATCATGATCAGGAACTTTCTTCTCATGGACATTGAGGTCACCAGCAACAACGCCATACACCCCACCCCAGCCAATAATATGCCCAAGCACCCCACGACGAAGTGGGGATACTAGCACTACGACTACCCCGCCTATATTAACATTGACCCGCGTCAGACGAACACTACCTGCTCATCGACTAAGATTGAACATCTTACTGGGAGCCATTTCTGAAATTTCGTTTAATTCATTTCTTAAAATTTCAAAAATATTGACTTGAACGGAAGCTGGCACGTCGCAAAACTGCTACAGGCTTTTGTGAATGCACATGCAGCCACTGACTTGGAATTTTGTTTTACCACGAGTGACGAGACAAATGAGATGGAGGCTAGGACTACCACTACGTAACAAACTGAGCAAGTAGTAATGGACGAGAGAACATGGACAAAAACCGTCCTAAGAGCATTGGATAGGCATCTGTTATGAGCGTGAGGGTGCAACTTCGCAGGCTGTTGAACCTTTCTGAGACGAAGTGCATGATGTTGAACAACAAGTGTAGCTCTCTTTGTTTTACCAGGAAGCTCTTCTAGCGACCTCAATCTCAATGTCAAAGCAACCTTCCTGTTAAGAGTCCTAAAAGTGCCACCAGTATCTAATACCTAATATGACCATGTCGAACGAGTCCCTTTTTTCACTGCTTCAAACCTGCCTCTCGGCCTCAAGCAAAGCCTAGCGTGGACGTGGGACAGTGGTGAACTCAGAGACGACTTAGACAACAAAGAGCAGCAGCCCCGTAAGAAGTATTGCAGCCTAAGAAAGCGTCGCTTTCGCGATCATCTCTCAGCCTGGTGTTCTACAAGACTCGGCGACGTGATGGAATTTTCATGAACAAAAAGGATAATTCGTTTTTAAATTTATTTAGACGATTCCTCTTCCATCCTCAGACCTCATTGTAACGCACTCCTACAGGTGATCGTGCTACCTGGTGATTTAGTTCGAGGAGCTGCAGCACAGCGAGCAGCGCAGCTGGAGCTGCAGCAATGGCCTCTTCCTCTACTAGTGGTGGGGTGCTTGCGCAACCCGTAGATCTCGATCGTCGACATGCGAGTACAAGAACCACAAGAGAAGCTACTAGTACTGCCTCTACTAGCCATGTTCATGATCCGGAAGAGTCGTGTGACAAAGAGAAAGATCCAGCTGCATCAGTAGCAACTACTGCAGACGAACAAGCAAAACCTGTAGGAGCCCTTGTGGTCCCGCCTTCATGCGGCAGAAACGATGCTAACGAAGGAAAGAAAAAGAAAAAACGGAGAAAGAAGAAGACAAGCAAGGATTAAGGCCTTCCTTTGTATTATCCATTTCCATTCTCAGAAGTGGCTGAAGCGTCTTGGTGCTATCTGCGCATACGAGAAAATACATATTTATAGCTCATGAAAAAGTAGAAGATGTAGGGGTAGAAGAGGTCGCTCATCTCATGACACTGGGAGGACAGCTCCGAGTGGTAGTGGTCACGGGTCCAACTCCAAGGTGCATGATATTTAATAATCATCGCAAAAGCACTCTGGAATATCCTATTTGAATTTTATGGTGGTGGCTAGCTCTAAGAAGTAAATGAGAAGGAGATCGAGTCTCCGTTGCAGTTTTCGCTAAAGTCTCGGCTGCGTCTGACAACCCCGTCTTCAGGTGAAGACAGCGTTCGTAGAGAAAGTTTCTACCTCCTGCCTCGGCAAATCGAAGACTGGGTCTATAGCAACACGAACCGTGTTCTTTCTAGTAGTCCTCTAGGCTCGGGAACTACGAAGGACAGCAGTGACGCGACCAACAGTTATGCTGGTGCAGCTTCAATAATGAGGACCAAGACCACGAAGCAGGCGGGTCCTCGACGTTTAGAAGGAGGGGCTCGATGGCGGCCGTTCCTCAGGTGGTCTGCATATTCGAGGCTAGAAACGCTTCTGTGCATGAAAGACGTGAAGCTACTTGGTCTGCCGGCTCTCAGCGTGCTGCTGCTGCTCATAACATTGTCGGGCCCCTTCCTGCTTTGGAGATGTGCGCTCGCCATCAACAGCTTGCTGCCCACCGAGGACGAGACTGTGTGTCTCACTCGCGAGGCTTACCTTTCGTTAAGGGTTGGAAGTTGACCTACCTTTACCGGAGAGCATATCATCTCTGACCTTTTTCAAGTACAAGTAGGATTAGGAAGGTGATAGATAATATGCGAGCTAAAGAGGCCAACTCGCAGCAACCTCCAACTTCACTTCTTTTCAGTCCTGACGTTGATCAACAAAGCGAAAGCGAAAGCACATCAGCGCAGTCAACAACGAAGCTGCTGCCATCTTCTGCTTTGCTCCAGCAACAGGAACTGCATCAGCAAGCGTTGGTCGAGGATGGGCAACATCAGGTCCAGACGGTTGGCGAAATGTTGCAGAGGCAAAAGGCAGTTGACTCTATCCTCTACGAGGACACCAGTAACCCGCCACTTCTTAGGTGTTGTTAGTTGGCCTCTCTATTAGCATATCTCTGACCTCATCAAGCAGGAAGGTGAAGGTCATAGATATGCGACCTAGATGGGTCAACTTGCAACCCCTAAACTACTTCAGCTGCTAACTAGTACAGCTACTTCAGAATCAGAATGGGACTGGAATCCAGGTTCAGTAGTAGTGGAAAATAGAGATGGATCATTGGAACAAGGTGGAGTTTCCCGCTCCGAAAAGGGAATAGAGGACGACGAGAAAGACGAAGAAAAAGAAACACCTGATGAAGGCAATCTCGATGAGGAAGAAGAAAAAAAGCCGAAAGTGGAGGAAGAGGAGCCGACAGCGAAAGTGGTGGAAGACGTGAAGAAAGAGAAGCAGAAAAAGGAAGAAGTCAAACAAGAGGAGCCGGAAGAGAAGCTGGCGAAAAAGGAAGAAGTGAAACAAGAGGAGCTGGAAGAGAAGCTGACGAAAAGGGAAGAAGTGAATAAGAATCGAGAGGAAGTGGAAGAAGTGAATAGAGAGGAAGTGGAAGAAGTGAGTAAAGAGAGGCCGGAGGAGGGAGAAGTGAGTAAAGAGAAGCCAGAAGAGGAAGAAACGGACGACCCTGGCCAATCAACACCACGAGCACCACCACCAGGACCATCACAACCACCATCACAAGAACCATCACCAGGACCACCACAAGCACCAGGAGCCCCACCGGACCCCGAGCCAGTGAAAGTAGAGCAGAATAAAGGAGAGGCTGACCGACACCCACCTGAAGACGGCCTTGGCCCATCAACACTACCGTCACCAGCTGCAGACGGCTTTGGCCCATCAACACTACCATCACCAGAACCACCACAACCACCTGAAGACGGCCTAGGCCCATCAACACGATTCACCAGAGAGGAAGTGGAACAAGTGAATAGAGAGGAGCTGGAAGAGGAAGAAGCGAATAGACGGGAGCTTGAAGAGAAGCTGACGAAAAGGGGAGGAGTGAATAAAGAGGAAGTGGAAGAAGTGAATAGACAGGAGCTGGAAGAGGAAGAAGTGAATAGACAGGAGCTGGAAGAGGAAGAAGATAATAGACGGGAGCTGAAAGAGAAAGAAGCGAAGAACGAGGAGCCGAAAGGGGAAGAGGAGCTGGAAGAGGAAGAAGTGAAGGGAGCGGAAGAGAAGCCGGAAGTGGAAGAAGTAAAGGGAGCGGAAGAGGAGCCGAAAGCGGAAGTGAAGAGCGAGTCAACAGAAGTGGCCGATCAATCCCACGGCCCTGGCCAATCAACACCACAAGCACCCGCCAAAGCGGACCGGGACCCCCTGCCAGTGGAAGCAAAGCAGAAAGAAGAGCCTGACCCACGAACAGCTCAAGGCCCTGGCTCATCAGCTTCAACAGATGGTCTGTCTGAGCCACAGCCACCTGTGGGCCCTGTGGGCGTGCCGCCGCCAGCTGCTCCGGGTGCGGATGTTCCCGTGGAAGACAACCTGGAAGGAGAACGTGAACCGCCAAAGGCCTTTAAGCTTGGTGCTTACCTAATACTCCGTATCTATTGACTTTGGCGCTAGGGCTATACTGAGTGGATTCCTTGCCACTTTCAAGAAGAGAGAGTGGCTTTTCTGGCCAGAAAGGGAATCCACTCGAGTCTGCCTCCCCGGCAAATGATCTAGTGCCAGCTTTAACATCACTCGAGCAGAGTCATCCGTTGCACAACCCGTCCTTCAGCAAGAGAGAGAAGACGAAAAAACAAAGGCGCTGCAGAGCATCGTCGAAAGTAGACTAAATGAAGCACGCAGCAAAGAGCCACAGATAGGCGACTCGTCAGTTAAGGCTGTTTATATTTAACAACCTGCTCAACAAGAAAAGATCATGGGGCTTGGAAGAACAACGATTCAATTATATTTATTTATCATGGAGGTCGATAGCATATTTGTATTGCTAAGTAAATTCGAAACCTTAACATAAGCAATTAGTAGTACTTGAAGTACTAGACAACTCAGGGGTAGTCGTAGTGCTATAAGTTACTAGCTCTTTAAGATGATCATAACTTCCTCGCTTATTGTGTAGCTTTTCGAATACTTATTTGCTACAGGTAGTTTATATGTACTAAATACGGTTTCACTGTATCGCCGAGTCTTTGACAAGGTCGACGATGCTCCTTGTAGGGCTCCTTGCTCTGGTGCTGGTGAGTGGTGACTTGATGAACCGAATAAAGCTCCTGACTTCATCTCTCACTGTTCATCTCTCCTGTTTATTATAACAGCTTATCTGATGCTGAATAATATCACGAAAGAGGCCATTTTCTAACAAAACAAAAACTTCCGCCGCCCTCGAGATATCTCTAGTCTGGCAGCACCCTCACTTAAGAGCCTTGAGGATCTTCAAGTAAAGACTTTTGATCACGAGGTAAGATTCTTTTTACTAGATTTTCCTACTGTAGTTTTCTTATACTTATGCTTATCATTATCATTATCTCTGACCGTGATACAAATCAAAAACAAACTGATTTGCGTCACAGATGGAAAAAACTGTTGGGCAGTGGTCGCTATTCCGACTGTTCCGCTTAAGAGATGCCGGATGCAGTCACACCCCTTCGCCCTGTTCACGCTGATCCTGGCAGTTTCTGATCTCTCATGTCTCTGGCTCAAGGTTCACATCAGTGGCAGTCTCTAGCTCTTCGTGGATCTTAGTCCTGTGCAAAATAAGATCTGGAAGGAGTTCGCGTTCGGTTCTTTCGTTATAAGATGTAGTCATCTTCATCTTCATCGTGAATTTTTGTTGATATCGTAATGGGCCGCGTGTTCATGCTGACAAAATAGCGAACCCTTTTGGCCGCTCACATGAATGACGACGAGGCATCGGAGGGATCACGATCCCACCTTCGTGATGATCTGGCGCAATAACATGACTCCCCTTTTGCAGTGCGGCCCACATATCAGGGCCGTAGTCAGCCAGTGACCTCGCGACGCGTCTCGCGTTCGTCGGATGTCTTACTGCTTCTTCTAGGTAAGTACATTCAAGCGCGTCACTGTCTTCTTTTGTGCTTCACGCATCTCTTGCTGGCGTGTCGTGTTCGGGAACATCCAACAAAAGCAATAGCTCTCCGCCTTGTGGTACTAGCCTCCACAAGCTTCGCCCGGCTTCAAGTTTAGCACTTTTCTGCCTGCCACGGGCTACGGCCGCTAGAGTAGAGACGGCCCGCGGGTGAGCTGTTGCACTCTGCGAATTGACTACGACGCGAGCCGCGTGCCGGCACTGGCCGACTCAGGTGCGTCGACTCATGGGCAGAGAATTGCGCCGCCTTCGGTTTTTTTAAGGGATTGCTGGGGGGTCATGCAAATCTTGAAGGATTCGCAAGACCCGCACGGCAGTCCAACAAAAAAACCAGAAGAGACCCACCAGACAAGCACAAGAGCCCGCAAGCCCCAACGCGCGCAAGCGTCTCGCGGTGGCACCAGGTAAGGGCGGGGGGGCGACCTTGGCGAGTCAAACAAGAAAAAGCAACGCATAGCCGGCGTGCCTGGGTCTCTGAGGTGAGCTCCCTACGTGCCTACAGCTGGCGGGGGCGGTTTCTTCTTTGTTTCGTCTGATGTCTTTCGTCAGAAACAGGAGAGCGCACTTCGCGGGAGCGTGAAGAGAAGAGACGCCGCGGAAGAAGCGCGACGCCTCTCGGCGGGCTGACGTCTTTCGCCGGGCTGACGGCTTTCGCCAGGATAGAGACTGGCGCTCTTCTTCAGACTGGTGCTGCGTTAGGCTGGCTGGCGGCCTCCTTCGGGCAGGCCGGCCGGCGCCCTTCGGCAGACGCCTACTTGTGTCAGGCTGTGGCCTTTTCTCGTCAAGCTGACGCCTTTCGCCAGGCCGAAGCGCTTCGTTTGGCTGACATCTTCCGCCGGATCAAGACGCATTTGGTCAGGCTCGTAGATGGCTTCCCTCAGCTTGGTGCCTTTCGTCAGGCTGATGCGCTGAGACTGACCAGGCGACGCCTCTCGCCAGAGCAGACTGGCGCACTACTTCGCCAGGAGGCTGCCCTGCGTCGGAAAAGGCTGCGCTTTCGGATCCTCTCTTCGGGCTGTTGGTGTCTTTCTTCAGATTGAGGCCCTTCGACAGACTGGCGTCTTATGTTTCGCCGGACTGACCTCGTTCGTCGGACTGATGTCTTTCGCCAGGAGTCTGCTCGGTCGCCGCAGTTCTTTCGCCAGTTTTCAAGCTGCGAAGGTCGTTCGTCGAAGGTCTGTCGTCGCGGGTCTCTTGTCGCAGGTCTTGCGGGAAGTCTATGCGTCAAAGGTCTTGACTTTTGTCCATGGTCTTTTGTCGAAGGGCGGCCTTTTTTCGGAGGTCTTTTGTCAAGGGCCTTCTGCCAAAGGTCTTTAGGCAAATGCTTCTGGTCTGACTTGTCTCCCGACATTTGCGCCACTAGACTACCCCCGTCAGGCATTTTCTTGGCTCCTTTTCTGGTAGTAGTCTGTCGCGGGGTTGCGCCGTAATTTCCAACAGGAAAACGGCCGGAGAGGGAGACCACCGGGGTCCGAGACTGAGGGGAATGGGCCGGAGGCTGTGTGCGACAGCCTCGCTGAAGGGGCTGACCAATCTCCGGCGAGGTAGGCGAAGAGCTTTGTGGCGGTGATCAGTGGCGTGATCTGTGTAAGCCAATAATGTAGGTAGACTGGTGGCACTAGCTCCCACGAGCTTCGCCTGGCTTCAAGTTCAGCACTTTTCTGCCTCGTCCCACTGGCTACAGCCGCTACAGTAGAGACGGCCCGCGGGTGGGCTGTTGCACTCTACGAACTGACTACGACACGGGCCGAGTGCTGGCGCTTGCTGACTCAGATGCGTCGACCCATGGCCAGGGGATTGCGCTGCTTTCGGTTTTTTTATGGGACTGCTGGGGGGAGGGTCATGCAAATTCTTAAGAATTTGCAAGACCCCACGGCAGTCCAACGAAAAAAGCAGAAGTAAGACAGAGAGCCACCAGGCACGCACAAGAATCCGCAGGCCCCAACGCGCGCAAGCGCTTCGCGGTGGCACCAGGCAAGACTGAGGGGCGACCTTGACGGGTCAAGCAAGAAAATAGGAGCAAGGCAACGCATGGCTGCGCAGCTTCTGTCTCTCTACGCGCCGGCCTGCAGCTGGCGGGGCTTCTTCTTTCTTTGTTGGAGACCGCCGCGACGATGTGAAAGACGTGCGCGAAATCTTTGCGAAAAGTTGCCGGGGCTGGTCTTCGTTGTCTCTTTGCTTGAAAGGCCAAACCAGGCGCCGAAGCGCCTGGCGCTGCTTTTCGTTTGTTCTGTGTTTCGTCGTTGGTGGCAGCCCCGGCGCTGGTTCGTTGTGGACCGCTCGCATGCCGCTGGCATCGGCGCCGCCCCGGGTGCAGGCGTGGCGCGGTTGTGTGAGCCCCCTGAAGCGTAGGACACCGGGGCGGAGGACAGGGGAAACGCAGGCGGGGGAGCAGTGTCACCATAAGCCGGCGGCGGCCATCTTTCCCCGCTTGAACACCTCCAGCGGCTTCCCGTCTCTTCTGTCACTTTAGAAAAAAAAAAATCTTGGCGAAAAGTTCGCGAAATCTTTGAAAAATCTTCGCGGAATCTTTCCGAAAAGATAGACGCATGAAGTTCCAACATGGTCAAGACTTGTAAACTTTCCGCAAACATTTCGCGAAGATTCTGAAGTTTTCGTCTTCCATGTTTTTTTGATGAAGACATGAAAATGAACCGCCAAGAACAAACTCGCGACAAATTGCAGCGGGAGCGCATAAGACTCCGCGTCTTCTGTGTCTGCTTTGTGTGGTCTTTCTGTTTCTCTCTCCAGAGCTGTGCAGCCTTTTGGGCTGTGCATTTGTTTGGGAATTTGTCGGGCGGCTGCGTCGCAGGCTGGCTCGTTGGCTTGTGGTGCTCTCAGTGCAGTGACCGGGCTGGTCGTGTGTTGGTTCTGTCGGCTCTGCTTTCAGAGGCTTAGCAGACGCCGCGTGAAGTGGACAGGCGTGAAAGCGGCGCGCGTGAGCCCCGGCAACTTTTCGCCAAGATTCTCCGCCGTCGGCAGTCTTCGGGCGCGGCGGTCTCCAATCTTTGCTTCGTCTAGTGTCTCTTGTCAGAAACAGAGGGGCGCACTTCGCGGGAGCGTGAGGCGTCGCCGAAGGGCGACGGTGCTCGTCTGGCTGGCGTCTTGCGTCGGGCTGACGGCTTTCGGCTTCGCCAGGAAGATGGGGACCAATGATCTGGGCCCTCCTTCGTCAGACTGATGCCTTTCGTCAGGCCAGCGCTCTGCGTCGGATTGACGGCCTTCGCCGGGCAGGCTGGCGCCTTTCAGCAGGCGCCTTGGCTCAGGTTGAGGCCTCTTTTCGGGGTGACGTCTCTCGTCAGGCTGAAGCCTTTCGTCAGGCTGAAGCGATTCGCTTGGCTGACATCTTCCGCCGGACCAAGGCTGACGCCTTTGGTCAGGTTCGTAGATGGCTTTCCTCGGCCTGGCGCTTTTCGTCAGGCTGAGGCTGATGCACTGACCAGGCGACGCCTCTCGCGAGGCTGGCGCATTACTTCGCCAAGCGGCTGCTTTGCGTCGGAACAGCTTGGGCCAGTGCGTGGGTGGGGCCTCTCTTCGGGCTGCGGATGTCTTCCATCAGATTGACTCCTTTCGTCGAACTGACGTCTTTCGCCCGGTTGCTTGGCTTATTTCGTTGGACTGAACCCTGACTGCCTTCGTCAAAGGTCTTCGCGATCGTCAAGGGCTTTGCGCTGCTCTGCAGGTCTTTCGTCAGTTTTTCTGACAATCAGAGGCCTTTCGTCACAGGTCTTTCGCCAAAGGTCTTGACTTTTGTCGATGTGCTTTCGTCAAATGTTCTTTTGCCTGCGGTGCCTTCTCCGGGGTCTTTCGTGCGTCTGAAGTCAAGAGGCCTTTTGCCAAAGGTCGGCTGCCAGAGGTCTTTCGTCACGTATTTCCCTTCTGACTTCTCTGCCCACATTGCGCCACTACCCCCCGTCGGGCATTTTTCTGACTTCGTTCTTTTCTGGTAGCTCGTCTGCCACGGGGCCGCGGCGTAATTCCCAGCATGAAAGCGGTCGGAGATTATCGGGGTTTATGACTGGGGGGAAGGGGCTGGAGCCTGGAGGCTATGGGCGATAGCCTCGCGGTAGATGCTGGCTAGTCTCCGGCGGGGTACTTAGGCGGGGAGTTTTGTGGCGGTGATCAGTGCGGTGATTCATCTAGATCAATCAGATAGGCTAAGAAGCTAGATTCGTAGTAATACTATAGATTCATACTTTTTTTTGCAATGTTTTTTGAGCACTATCATATACTTAACGATATAGCCTAACGATATGTATTAGCAATATATATTTACAATTATTTTTTGTATTGGAAATGTTTCAGCTTCAGCACTATCAACGTATAATAAGTTAGAATCACGCAAACGCCAAACGATGCCCCCCCTCCATCAACATCTTCAGCACAGCACTTCTTAACTCCCTCCTCTTCTTCTTCCACAGGATCCATCTCTACTACAACTTCAACACCAGAATCAGCAACAGCTCCAACTTCAGCATCATCTTCTTCTTCAACAACAGCCCACAACTGGTGATGTAGTAGTAGCAGCAGATGACAACAAGGACGAGCAGAAACAAGAAGCCCACCATCCATATCAACAGTATCAACATCTTCAACACAACAGTTTCAACATCAGAGAAATCCCCAAAACTCAGAAGAGATTCAGGGAAGTCGTAGGACAATTCCGAACCGACTAACATCGTCATCAATAAGCTAGAATCTACAACCACAACTCTCTCACACACCTGCGCACAGCACTTGGCTGGTCATGAGCATGCGCTACTCATCGAAATCGTCTTAGATGTTTACTATTTTTCTAGATCTGAGTGCAGAAACTGCGTCAATAGCTAGTAATTATCCTAAAATATTTGAAAATGCTCTACTCTGTCTTTTGGAGACTTTCACTTCACATTCTAAATCCTGAAGACGGTCGTGCAGACTTGGATTTGTGGGTTGTTCCGCCCGGAGACTCCCCTATTCTGCCGCTGTGCGCCGACGACCACAAAGTTTATTTTATGAACAAAAGATGTAGCGGTGGAGAGTTGGACGTGGACGCAACGGAGAAGACTGCGCGGCCAGTGGAGAACATTGCTTTTCAGAAGTGCGCCCCGTCTGGAAAGTACAAGGTATGGCGCGACTGATTGAGGAGAGCTTATAAAGGATAAGGAGGCGGCGTCTTCTGGTTTGTCGGCAACAGGGACGCCGCTCCTCTATATTCCATGCTCTTGACGAGTGATTCCAAGAAAATAGGCAAGCACAGAACAGGGCACCTACTTCGCGCAATGAGTATCTTGGCCATACGAGATATTCAACGATAGACACTCGAGCAACAGCAAACTATGAGTATCTTGGTCATATTCGTAAGTACTAGACATTCAACAATATTAGATACCAGAGCACACTCCTCGTCCTCCTCAATCAATCGAACCACAGCCATCCTTCATAAAGAGTAATAGTCAACACTTACAAGCAGTTAAACGGAGGCTACATCGGCGTCCAGCCGAAGGGTTACCCATGGACCTCGGACGAATTTAAAGTTATTGGTGTTAGAGGTCATTTTTTGAAGGTCGGCGTGTAGTTTATTGTTGGCATTTGGCCATGTTTCTCTGTATTCTTGACATTCGTTTTCTTGGCTAGTAGCACTCTGCTTCATCTAGTTTTCCAATCCTGAGCCGCGGTGGCCGTGAAGTAGATGCATCCCAAGCCAGGCTGCTCCTGCTGTTATGCGGTCTGACTTTTCTATATTAAGTTGACAGTTATAGTCAAGAAAAGACGAACCCATCAAAGCTACTTTCATATACAGAAAAATGCTCAGCAATTATGTACTTACCAGACGGAGCGCGAACTTGGACTTGCAAAATTTGGAGCTGGTGAAAGATGTCCCGTTCCAGGTGTTGGTCAAGTTTCATCCCGGCGCCACTGTAGAGATCGTGGGAAAATATGTTAAGATGAGCATAAATTTAAATTACGAGCGCAACGGAGTGACAGCTAATTTTTTAGTAGAAGCTTTTACGAGCGAGAAAGATCTGTCCACGGTGTGCAAAAAATCGGTTATTTGAGGCACGGTTGATGGGGGGAACGAGCATCAGTTGCTTCGTAAAAAACTAGAGAGAATAGTTTCTCTTTCCCACCCCTCACATTTCTCAACCCATTCCCCCTCCTCCACAATCTATGCAACATCCAAGTCATCTATCCCAGTTCCTTGGGAAAATACGTTTGACGAACCGATTACATTTCTCACAAGTATCAGTTCAGACAAGAGCAGTTTCTTTACCGCCATCCCTCCCGACATCCGAAGGAGTAGTTCCTTCATAGTTCGAGCTTTTGCTCTGAAGGCCAGTTGAGTTAGTTGTCCGTGATTCCAAGACATGGACCTCCACGACGACGACCTCGAAGAGGCTCTTGCCTCACGGATCGCCCACGACAATGCGAGAGCCGCAGCAGCAACCAATCAACAGGAGCTACGCAAGGCGCTCATCTCGTCAGGTCACATCTCCACAAGATTCCCGAAGAAGCGGAAAATATCTCCAGACTACATCACGGCTCCCAGTTCTAGTTCCTCATCGTCAGCCAACCTGACTGACAGCTCCCTAGTTTTTCGGAATCAACTAGTGGACGAAAAAGCCGCATCCGCCAACTCGCTGGAGAAGAGAGCAGTTGCCTCATCCGCACGTGAGAGCCGCGACATAGTCGGATACAATATTCTCACACTTGGAAAATTACGGCTAACTGCCATCAAGGAGGATGAGGAGAAAAATGGATCAAAACAAAAACGCAGCATGTGCGCTTTCGCTGGCGACAAGAGCAGATTTCAGAACTCGATGATCAACATCACAAAACGACCAGGCGCTCCAGCAGAGGAAGCTAGACTCAAGGCCTACTTCTTATGTATGGAAAAACTTGGTTCCCACTCATCGCAGTTCAAGAAGCCGCTACCGATTAATCGCGAGAAGGCGACTGCCTTCTTCACTAGTTTAGTTGGTGATGCCGACACCAAGTCACCTTTCTACTCGACAGCCGACGATTACCTGTTTTCCGTTATCAGCCGACTCCGCACGGTACCTGGAGCTTCCATGCTCAGCAATGAGGACATGAAGTTCATCTCTGACACAGTAAAACGTGAGTCCAGAAAAGGCACCTTTAACCACCAGCAGGCTGACGGCGTTCTTCTCCAAGACATCTTACGAGTCTTCCGCGAAGACAACTTCTTCGGTAGCGTATGCTCCATTGGCTTCCTATTTGGCTTGCGAAAAACCACTCTCATCAAACACGTCGATGTTGGCGACAGTGGTCATGGCGACGCTACTACAAGCAGTTGCCCGATCACAAAAGACGAGCTCGACTCCGACGACGAGTTCCAGCAGGTCGACGAGGTAGACATCATCGACGCCAACTTCAGGAAGTTCGACAGCTCCAAACTCGACAATTCCTATAAGTCTTTCATTGGTGATTTTGACTACAACGACGCCGCTAAGGTCTTTAGATGCAAGCTTGGTCGCATCATCTTAAAGAGCAACAAGATTAAGCGTATTTACTGCAACTGCTTGTGTAGCCATAATAAACTTTCAGTACTATGCCCTCATAACACTCTCCCAATCATCCACTTCCCAGAGGTGGACAAGACGGGTTGGCGTAACGAATTTATGGAAAACTACGAACACTACTTCAAATCTTCCCGTTCCCAAGGTCTCAGAATCGGTTGTCTCCAACATTTGATGCAAACCTCTTTACCTCACTCCAGAATCTCTTGCCACCTCAGATGGCAGACCCAGAGCATGGTCGAGTATTATAATAGATGTAACGAATACCTCGCAAACGATTTCAAGGGCTTGGCTTTTATACCATAAGTTTCTCAGAGCCTTCCCGAAAAAGTGCTCCTTCATTTGTGGAAGTTGCGAACTTCCTCTCCCGACATTTCTGCTTCTTCCAGAGCGTGTTCGCCAGTTGAACTCTGCTCCACAGTTGCTCTCAATTGGCACAGTGCCCACAGTTCGTCAACACTTGGCAATGCGGTCGATAAGTCCTAGTCTCCACACCGAACACTTTCATTGATTCTTCTCTCCGGTGCTAGTAAGAGTGTCAGCAACATTTCGAGAGCGAGACTCACAAGTTGTTTCTGCGAGTTTCTTCACAAGAAAATCGTCTCCAGGACAAAAAATCACAATGGCACACGTCCCCGGCGCGCAAGGAGTTGGCGTTCCCGCGCAACCAGGTGCTGGTGGTGCAGGCGGAGGTGGTGCTCCCGCTGCTCCGCCCCCTGTTGTCGCAGCAGGTGCAGTTGTCGCGGCCGCCGCTGGTGGTGCCAATCAACAGGCAGTCGCTGTCGCACCCGATGCTCCACCTAACCTCGACGAAATCGACAACTTTGCAAACAACATGAATGATGTTGAGCGCAAAGACCGCATCACCATCACTTCTTTCCGCCAGTTGAATTCCCTCATCCAACGTCGCGAACTACACTTAGCCGGCAACCTTCGTGTCGAATACACCCATGATGGATATGGTGCTCAATTCAAGAAGAAGCCCCAGAAGAAGTCCATCACTCCTACTTCCTTTGTCAAGTACCTAACAGTCGATGGGGAAGCTGGCGCCGCAATGCTACTTGAAGCCCAAGCTGATCTGATCTTGCGTGAGTTGCGCAAACGCATGGATGAGGATGCTGGCCCCAATATTCCTCAAGACGAGTACCAAGAAAAGATCAAGGGCTTCTTCTTCGAGTCGCTACAAGATGGTGATCGTCACACTCCACAAACTATTGTTGGTGGACAAGCCACCACGTATCATCAACGTTTCTCTGCGTTCCTGGTAGGTCGCGGCGCCGCTGGTTTTCTTGGCATCTTTAACCAGAAGTGCGAGGCTTGGCGCAATGTCGTCAAGATCGCAAATGACACTGGGGCTTTCGGTCTTACTAATGGCGACAAGAAGCGTAACAAGAAATCGCGTTCACGCAGTTCCAGTGTGAATAGTTCCCGTGGCCGCGATCGTGATAAGAAACGACGCCGCTCGAGCCAAGACTCGTACAAATCCAACGGCTCTAGTACACGTAATCTCCCGAAATTGTGCTGGCATTTTATGAAATGCACTCCGTGCAGCAACTCGGAATCCAAACGTGGATCCAAATATGAGTGCTCTGCTGGTTTGCATCCGTGCAAGCGATCCGAATTATCTCGTCGCGACTTCGAGGCAGTGAAGAACTCGAAGTTTGCTCGCGATTCGCTCGCTCGTGTCGACTACTTCAGTTGGATGGACGGTGACCGCTACCGTGGAAAGCAATCCACCAACAAGGCATCCAAGAAAAATCAATCCAAGGACAAGAAAAAATCCAAGAAGTCCAAAAAGTCATCTTCTTCTGACGAGTTATCTTCCGACTCTTCTAGTTCATCCGAGGATAAGAAGAAGAAGAAGAAGAAGTAAAGCAGGTTCAGAACGGGAGACTCGTCAGGCATCACACAGCGAGCCACTTGTCGAGTTGGAGAATAAACTCCACCATCGTGTTACGATGTTGTATCTTTCCATAGTCAGTTACCATGTTAGCGAGTATCTTTTAAAATTTTCCATTGTTAATCTCACAATCTTGTTGTGCACTTCTTGGCTAGCCAATACATTGCGTTGTTTCCATTTCGTAGTGGTCTTTCTCTTTTGTGAGCTTGGTAGTCTTGTCCTTTCAATTTATTTGCTTACGTGTCGTGCGTCCGTTTTACTGTCCAAGAAATTATTTCATTTTCATTATTCTTTTGTTCCCTCACCGGTATATTCGTCATTGTCTTCACTTAGCCTCCCAAGTACATCAGGCTCCCTAACCCTACTCATAAGTAAACTTCGTTAAGAAGCATCTTAAGTTTGTCTTTCTCAACCGCGTGCATTCTGATGGTCCTTGTTGCGCAGCAGCAACAGTTGAAACCAAAATCCGCCCCGGATATCCTGTTGACACAACCTCCCCAGATTGTGCTCGCCCTTGGCGACTTGGAACTTGATTGCACTTTGTCCGTATCATTTTCGTGTCTCCATCTGTGCTTGCTCGCGCATCAGTTGCCGAGCCTCTCGTGCCACAGTTGCACGTCATTTCTTTACGAAAGCTACCGATATCGGCGTGTGCACGAACGTACGATCAAGAGCGACTGAGAAGAGTTACTTACGAAAATGGCGACAAAAAAGGCAGAGAAAGGCGTCGTCAGTCAATAGAATCGCAGTAGCATGACTTGTATCAATTTCTTGTCATCTTGCTTTAGCATCACAACCTTGGAACTGTTCCTCGGTTTCTCACTCGTCACTCAAGAAAACACCCTACACCCATCGACGAGTAGGTCGTAGCTTACACAAGTCAGCTTCAGTCAAGAACGACATGTCGGACCCGGGTGCCGCCGAGTATCGACGGAAGGTCGAGTTGATGGAAAAACGAATTTCCCTTGACCAATGGAAAACGTCACCTTTTCGTCCAGTTGCGGAAAACTTTGAAGGAGTTGACTTAAGCAGACCTAGAACATGTAACTTAAAAAGCATAACTGACACTGCCGTTTCAGAATCTATTGATCTTGACAAGAAACTCAAGACCAAACTTGATCCCGATCTTGAGCCTTATCATGGAAAATACAGCCTTGGTTTGCTTGCGCATACAATAAAACAGTCAAAACATCATGACAAGAAAGTTCCGTCGCTTTTCTTACGCGGCGCCAAGTGCATAGGACGCTGCCATGCCCCGAAAGGCTGGAACAAGCACACACGGAAGAGACCTGATTTAGTTACATCACCCCTTCCGCGGTCAATCGACCGGTTTCGAGAAGGTGCTCCGGCACCCAAGTGGGATAAGGTCGAAATTGAAGAAGTTCTGCGCCAGACCCGTAGCGAAGTGGAGGTTGAGCCGCTCCTGCGGCATGCGCGCATCTCCGAGGGTATATCTCACAGCGAAGCGGTTTCTCGCGGTTGGGAATTTGCTTGGCTACGCTATGGCGTACAGCAAAAAAGCAAGGTTAGGATGATCGATCCCGCGTGCAGTAATAACGAACGATCTACCATGGAAAGATCTGTTCCCATGGCCAGTGCGTCGTCCATCCTATCTACCGCCGCTGCTCTGCGCAACCCCGATCTTGCTGAGCAGAACGTGATCAACATGTCACGCAGAACAGTTAAGCGCGGCCGTGCACTAGAGAAGGAATCTGAGCGGGAGTTCTTGAAGTCCATCGAAAAGAACACTCCCATGCCGTCGCACCTAGTTCGCGACTCAGTCCCGCCGGCCACCAGTTGCCGTGCCAGTTCAGTGGAGCCTCCTCTAAAAAAGGCTCGCACTTCTTCCGGTCTCCTCGTTGCACTCCTTATGCTTGTCATAGACATTCACAAGGCGTACAATACCGTTGCGGTTCGTCCTTCCCACAGGAAGTATAACAGGTTTGCCGTTTGGGATCCTGATGCCGGCGGTGGTCGCGGTGCCTATTGGTTACATGAGGCATACGTCCTCATCTTTGGCAACGTGCATTCTGTGGTGGCCTGGTGTAGGATCTCTGATGCCCTTCGGTCCATCATCAGATACTACATCGGTGTCGCCATCGACGTCTACGTGGACGATTTCCCTTGTCCGGTTTACGAGGAGTTTGGTCAAATGTGCTGTGACGCCATTTTGTACTTCTTCGCCGCTCTTGGTATTCCGGTGCACCCGGACAAGGTCAACCTAGGCCGCATTGTGGAAGTCCTTGGACTTGTTTTTGACATGTCACTCAAGAACCCGATCTTCTTCATTTCACAACAACGGCGACAGGTCATATCCGCCGCGATAGACCTAGCCCTCAAGAACAACGGCATCTCAGTAAAAGATGCAGAAAAACTTCATGGGAAGATCATGTTCTGCTTCGCCGCTCTTGTGGACCGCCAGTTCAACCCACTAATGCGGCCACTCACAAACTACATCAACCTCCCGCCTGGCTCGTCGCAATCCGCTTTGTCTGAGCCGTTACGCCAGTGTCTTCAAAATATCCGTTTCATCATCAACGACGTTTCTATTAAGAAATGCGCAAAGTTTGAAGACCCGAAGTCGCCGAACACCATGTTGCACACTGACGCTAGTTTCAGTCATCGCGCGGGTTGGCTTGCTGCAGTCTTAGTCATCGGTTGTTCTCGTTTCGCAGTTCGCGTCCGAGTAAAAGCTGACGATATCATAGCAGCGGTCAGAGAACATCCCATCTGTTTTTTAGAAGCCATCTGCCCTGTACTCGCGGCCATCAACTTCAAAGAACAACTACGCGGGAAGTTTTTCCGCCTCAGCATCGACAACGATTCGGCAAAGGATGCGCTCCTCAATCAAAATAGCCCGAAGAAGCAGATGTCGATGGCCGCCCTTCTCTTCTGGGCTCTCGTTTCTAGCATCGATGCGTCCCCGTGGATCGACAGAGTTCCCACGGACTTCAATTGTTCCGATATACCTACACGTCCGAAGTTTCTCGAGTTCGTCATGACGAATTTCCCGAACTTTTTCACGACAGTGTCGGACTTCAACGACGAAGTCCTCAACCTCCTGAAGAACGCACTCATGTTGAACGACGTGCACAAGTTCGGCTTGAGCCCCGGCATTGACATAAATGATTTGATAAATGTATTAGACGAAGTGGATAGTTGAATTGTGTAGTTTTTCATAGTACAGTTTCTTTGCGTAGTGTTTCGTTATTCCGTTGTGTACTTGCTCTCCCTGTTTCCATATCATGTTCGTGTACACCTTTCTCACGTGATTTTGTCATCTTGTCACACTTCTCTCTGGGTTGACCTGGGATGTCGTTAACAATTGTTGACATACTCATCCATGTTTCGACGCTTGGTCGTCACTCCAGTTATTGCTTGCCCTCCACCCTCACTGCTATGGCAGGCGGGGGACACAGTTATCACCAACAGTTGGTGGCCACATCGTGGTGTTCGGGCACTGTCGCGCCATTTGCGCGCACAGAAACAGTTCACACACCGGGACAGGGTCTTCACAGAGAGAAAAGCTCTAACTAAAAAATGCAGCATAGTTTATAGATGTTTGAAAGAAGAAGTCGGCTCCATACACATGGAGCACGATGTAGCTGCAACATGATATGACACGAAGTTTACATCTATCTCCTCCTCGCATCATTCTTTCAATCATGGTCAGGGGATCGCCACCCCCACGCTGTTGATACTTCATCTCCTCATCGAAAAACGTTGCGCAATGTTGCAGGATGAAGTAGCTAATTTCATTTACATGTAGAGATGGATGATGAGGAGGTCATGAGGAAAGTTGGAAACAGGGACGCGCGGATGAATGACGAGGAGGACTGTGTAACGCATCAAAGTAGGCCCACCCACAGATACTAGGGTGGAAAAGCAGGCGCGACGTCCTCTAATGCAAGCAATCAAGTTGCTGGGTCGGCCGCGATCGTCGAGAACGGTGGGCCAATTGCGATGAACGATGCCATTGCGAAAGGCAAACCTGAGAAAGCAGGACACATAAGATGGACGACGGACGTCCTGGAGTTTACCTATGCTCCTGGCAGCAGTGATGAATGCAAGATGGGTGAAGATTTCGCCGAGCTTATACCGGAAGGCGCTGGCGATGCCTGGACACAAGCGACGGAAGAAATTGACAACAATTTCAAAACTACTACTACTACTACTACGAAGACAAGCCTCAGCGACAGAAAGACGAAACTGGGCGAAGAGAAGGGGCAAGACAAGGGCAACATCGAAGTCATTCTATCATGGAAACATGCTTCAAGGCGAGATCTCGCAGTAGGTTTGGCGGTCAATGCGTGCTGTCCGAAGGCGCCGGGAAAATGCCCACCCTCGTTTGCCTATTCACGGATACCCATTGATGAGGGCAGGATGCACGGGAAACCTGCGTGCAACTCTGGGAAGTGGAGCAACGTACTTCCGGATGTGAACGCTGACCAACATTAAGGGTAAACTATGTATAAACACGAAAGCGAAGCTGCGTTAACATTGTGAAAATCAAGAATGTTGCACATAGCGAACAAATGCTTACACCTACACGGGAGTCCCCTTATCTAAGCATTTCCATGCTGTTTGATGTCCGAGGAGTGGTTCTCGGATAAGAGCAGGGATTGATATTAATCTTAGACAGTTCGGCAATTATGACGATCGATCCGAGATACTTCGAGTAGTTCTACTACTCGTCTTGAAGATAGTGATAGTACGACTTGTGATTGGTCTTTCTTCATCCTTTTTCTGCTTCTTCGCTTTTTCTTTCGATCGGCCTTCGTTTTTTGATTATTTATGACAAAAGGATAAGCCAATGCCAAACCACGGAAGCCGCTAAAATATGCTCCGCCAGGGCGGCCCTTCGCAGCACCCGTCGCCGTCGCGTCCGTCCAGCGGGGTCGAAGTTGTCACCTTTACACCGCCAGGTGGGATGGATTACTCGACAATGGAGCAGTTCCGGATTCGTATCGAGCCTCACCAAATATTAAGGCTGTGCGTCGTAATTCATCTTCGACGGCATCCTTGAAACGTTTGTGGGGAATTCTCCCAGGGAAATAGTTCTAGGAGCTGAGCGATGAAGTGCGGAGAGCTCTAAAAATAAAAAGCGATGAGTTACGGCACTTGAACGTCGTACGTGCGTGATCTAATAGATCATATTCACTTTTGGCATATCTTGATCATGAAGACATCTAGAAACCCTTCTGTATTTAAGAGTTAAGACACTTATGCTGATTAATAATCATGAGCATCTTTCACTTTCTTAATCTTCAGATGAAGCTACTCTTGACTTAACCACTTTTCTATAGTCATGCTTTTGCCGCGGTTGTAGCTAGTGCTTGAGTGCAGTTCGGGTAAAAATGTGACTAGATTACTAGCCTCCTGGAGTGGTTCTCCAGGGGAAGGAGCCGAAGGGAACGCGAGGCATGCGCTAGACGCGAAACGTAAAAGAGACACAGCGGAGGAGGAAAAGAAAGAAGAGGAACAGCAAGGAGCTGCAAGGGGGGACAGAATTCATGCCCTAACTTTCACAATGCATGCCCTAACGTGCAAAATTAATGCCCTAACCATCAAAGTGCATGGCCTAACTTTCAAAGTTAGCGCCCAGCCTTCGGCGTGCATGTTTTAGCTTGCTTTCAAAAGTCACGCCCTAACTTAAACTTTCGCAGTGGATGTCCTAACCTTCACAGCTTAGCTATGCTATGTCCTAACTTTCACAATTCACGCGCTACATTTCAAAGCTGACGCCCTCACTTTCAAAATTCATGCCCTCACTTTCAGAATTCATGCTCAAACTTTCGGGGTTCATGTCTCAACTTTCAGAATTTACGCCCTCCCTTTCAGAGTTCGCGCCTTAACTTTCAAAATTCACGCCGAAGGCTTTAGGATTTATGTCCTCACTTTCAGAATCTATGTCCTAACTTTCTTGGAGACCGCCGCGACGGTGTGAAAGACGTGCGCGAAATCTTCGGGAAAAGTTGCCCGGGCTGGTCTTCGTTGTCTTTTTGCTTGAAAGGCCAAGCCAGGCGCTGAAGCGCCTGGCGCTGCTTTTCGGTTCTTTTGTGTCTCGTCGTTTGTGGCAGCCTCGGCGCCGGTTTGTTGTGGACCGCTCGCATGCCGCTGGCACCGGCGCCGCCCCGGGTGCAGGCGTGGCGCGCTTGTGTGAGCCCCCTGAAGCGTGCGGCGCCGGGAAGGAGGACAGGGGAACGCAGGCGGGGGAGCGGTGTCGCCGTAAGCCGTCGGCGGCCATCTTTCCACGCTTGAACACCTCCAGCGGCTTCCAGTCTCTTCTGATTCTGTCACTTTAGAAAAAAAAAAATCTTGGCGAAAAGTTCGCGAAATAATCCCTGGAGAGAAGGGCCTGGCGGAATCTTTCTGAAAAGATGAGCGCATGGCGCTCCAACATGGTCAAGACTTGGAAACTTTCTGCAAGCATTTCGCGGAGTAAGATCCTGGCGCTTTTGTCTTCAGTTCTGTGCTTTTTTGATGGAGGCACGAAAATGGACTGCCGGGAACAAAATCGCGACAATTTGCAGCGGGAGCGCATAAGGCTCCGCGCCTTCCGTGTCTGCTTTTTGTGGTCTTTCTGTGTCTCTCTCCAACGCTGTGCAAGCAGCCTTCTCGGCCGTGCATTTGTTTGGAAATTTGTCGGGCGGTTGTGTCGCAGGCTGGCTCGTTGGATTGTGGTGCTCTCAGTGCAGTGGCTGGGCTGGTCGTGTGTTGGTCTTGTCGGCTCTGCTTTCAGAGGCTTAGGCTTAGCAGGCGCCGCCTGAAGTGGACAGGCGCGGAGGCGGCGCGCGTGAGCCCCGGCAACTCTTCGCCAAGATTCTCCGCCGCCGGCAGTCTTCGGGCGCGGCGGTCTCCAAACTTTCAAAATTCGCGTCGATGTCTTAGCGTTCAAAATCACTGATGTCCTAACTTTCGCAATTTATGTCCAAACTTTTACAATTCATGGCCTTTCTTTCACAACTTGGGCGGGGGGCCCAAACTAACTTTCAAAATGTGTGCCCTTGCTTTCAACGTTAATGCCTTAACGTTGGTCCACAATTTATGTCTGTATTTTCAAAATTTGCGTGCTAGCTTTCAAAGTCCACGCCCTCGATTTCGCGACCCATGTCTTCGCTTGTTTTAAAATTCATGCCTTACCCCTACCCCTAACTTTCAAAGTTCACGCCCTAACTTTCAAAATTCATTTCTTAACTTTCCTCCGCCCTTGGTGGGAAGGGAGACCTAAGAACCCCTGGGGGGCGCCACCTCTGTGTGGACTAAAACTGGCGCGAATTTCCGCCCCTGGTGGGACGGTGAATCTGCTTGCGCCCCCCAGGTGGGACGCCTCTGCAAGAAGAACCGCCTGCGCGCTTCTTTTTGCCTTTGCTTGCGTGTTTTAGCGCGCTCATCGATCTAGACGAGAAAGCGCGAGGCCCTTACCGTCTTCCCTGGGAAATACTTGGGAAGCCCTCTGCGTGAGGTTTCTGGCCGCTTTCCTCCGATGATGCACAAGAACGAACACGGAGAGAGACGGCCAGCCCAGGGCGCCCTCCTCCATTGTGTGCCAGGGCTCTCGCACTCTTGCTGAGGTGAGTGACCCGCCAAGGGCGCAGCAGGAGCAGGGGCGCGGTGGTGATGGTTTCGGTGCTCCGTGTGTTCTAAGTGTCCATGGTGAGGAGAGGCCCACAGCCCCGGCAGGTTGGTGCCGCCTCGGTGTTTTCCATGAGGGCAAGGGGGTCGGTGGGTTGCAGGTGCGACGCCTTGCGTGGCTTTGTTGGTTGCTTGTGTTGCTTGGTTGTTGGATGTTTGTCGGACAGTCTACATGGCCCAGGTGTGTAGCCTGGTCGCTCACCTCGCCCTCGTAGGGATGAGGTGGCCTCCTGCCCTCTGCCTCTGTTCTTGCCATCTCCACGCACGGTACAGCCACCGAGGTTGGTAGCTTCATTCCCTCTGGGCTCCGGTCGCTCGGCTCCGGCAGCCGTGTTGAGGAGGCCAAGGCGGTGCGGTCACTGTTGTTGCTGGACGACACAGCTGAACACCTGCCGCCGGCTCCTTGTTTGGGTTTTCTTTTCTTTCGCTCTCTGGATCTGGAACACGCGCGCGCGTGACGGCATGGCCCCTACCCGGCCACAAGTGTCCCTGGAGATTCTACACGCGCGTCTTGACTTGCCGCAACCGCATCGCGTGAGCCTTGTGCGTTCATTCTAGCAGGCCGCTTGCTTTGCCGCACACTAGTAAATAAGGCCCACCGCGCTGCCGAACTCCTTCTATACATACATACATACATACATACATACATTTCCTAACTTTCAGCCCCCTTCGCGTCTTGTTTAAATTTCTTGTTTAAATTTCAAAACCCAAGCCCTAGCTTTCACAGCTCATCTCCGAACCTTCAAAGCCCATCGCCTAACTTTCAAAATTCATCCATGGCCTAACTTCCCCGGTTTATGTCCCGACTTTCGCAATTTATTCACTTCCTAACTTTCAAAATTTAGCCACGTCTTACCTTTCGGGGTTTTTGCTGGAAAGCTTTATCTCGTGTGCCTTCGCACTTCCTCCGCTGTTTCAAGATTTAACTTTAAAATCAAAACACAAAGTAAATGTAAAAACAAAATTCGAAATTAAATAAGAAATAGAAAATTCAAAATTAAACAAGAAAAATCAAAAAGAAAAACGAAAATCAAAAAAAAAAAAATCAAAATCAACAACCAAAATCAAACTATCAAAAAAGAAAAATCAAAAAAGAAAACTGAGGCAAAACTTGATAAGTAAATGAGTAGATTCTTGAGCAGTAGTTTTATTAAGGCAGAGATTAGGGCTTAAGTCGGGCTTCTTAGGGTTTAGGCCATGTAGGAGATTAAGTGCTACACTTTTTGAAGTAGGTTCTGACTGTGAGTGTGAGTGCAGGCTCGATGATACAACTCAAGGCTTGAAAATATGGCCACGGCGTCTAACAATGACGCACACAAGTGTTGAATACCTTGTCTCCGTTAAACAAGATGGGCAGCATAAGATCGTGTGGAAAGGTCGGGCGAGCGCGTTTTTACAACCCGTCATGCTTATGGACAAGAGCAGGCGTCTCTCACGTGTATTTTTCTCCCATCTTCTTTCAAGATCCTCATTCTAAAAAATACAGCTCGCTTATAATTCCCTCCATTAACCACTACTCTTTTTTTTTTCTCAGTTCCACCACTCTATTAACAACCACATATTTTCCTAATATGAATATCAATATATAGTGATGATCTTGATTATTTCATTATTATCGTAGAAAATGGCTAACCTATAGTTGAACTTGAATTACGACAGGGACACACACTACGCGACATAAGCCCCGCCCCTTCAAAAAGAAGCAGAGATTTTCCCAATTACTTCTTTGTAATCACCGCGACCATTGGTCGTCGTTTGCCAAGATGAAAGAGGATCAAGTTAAGGCCGATGGTAAAACTTCATCAACTGATAAAGCTACGCTTTGTTTATAGAAAACTCCGTGAACGTGAAGTTCTGGCACAACTAATTCATCAGTGATTGATAATTTCTGCCTCCTGAATCAATGTAAATCTTGGACTCCATCTCCAAAGAACAACACGAGGACAGATGAACTTTTGCGAGCTGCTCTAAGAAGGAAGAAGTACTACCAGGGAGGAGAAAATCCCAGTCGTCCTTTCATTTAACGCCCGCGGGAAGACCCGACTTAAGGCTCACAGTAATTCACGTTCACAGAACAGCTTGATGCTTCTTCTCCTCCTCTCCGAGATACTTCTTGACGATCGTAATTCAATTTGTGGCTTATTAAATACCTCATGACTCACTTTCTTCCAGCACAGAGCAGTTCCTCGCTTCTCTGCTGGACGAAGAAAAGGCGATGAACTAATCGGATAGAAGAGGGGAGCTGAGACGGAAAGCCCTCTAAAAGATGAAGCACCACACTTTCGTCGGCCAATTCAGCCTGAATCGTATGGAAAAAAGTAGTGTACTCATACACAGACTCGCGAAAAAATAATTGGGCAGCCAGGTTCCTACTATATTATAGCTTCTGGCTAATTTCTTGCGTTGTTGTATAATGAGTACGCTTTTCCGTTTCATAGATTGGGAAGGGACTATATGTGGCGTCCATCCGGTTGTATCACAGACTGGACCCAAACCTTTCCCGGTCTGCTAGAGGATATCGTGGGGCTCTTGGAGCTTCTTCTAGTTTGCGGCAAACATTCGCATCATCATCAGAGCTTCTTCCAGTATTAGAAACAGAGGAGCTGAGTATGAAACTCAAGACAAAAAAGCTCGACAAGATAAGGATGATGTTGATGAGCTAGTACTTAATATGTTTTACGGAAGAGCAAGTGCAAGATGATAGATACAAGTTCTTGTTGTCAACAAGAAATAGCGAAGTTCTCTGTGGGATTACGAACGAGAGATCTCAAGAACCAGCGACCACATGGAGCACGCTTTAGGTCTATGGATTTGGGAATTTATGACTCAGAAATTTCGCCCCAAGCCGTGACAGAGGAAGTTTTGGCGAGATCCCTCGCCGGGGGTGTCTGCGCTGCTCAACCCCTGGCCCTCACCTGCCCAGTGAAGGCGGGGCGAATGGCAGAAAACAAGAAAGCACCACAGTCGATAAGGTGGACGCGGGCGGCTCCCCCAGCACTTGGGGCCACTTTGTGGAAGTCGCCCCAGAGTCACCACGTGGGCAATGCCGACGTGCGCGGGGCCTGTGTATAGGGGTCACGCAGTCCGCAAGCCATGGCGCCGCATGTGGGCACGTGGTGAGACAGCGAGCCGACTGGTCAAGCCAAATCCAGGTGGCAGCTCGGGCCCACCGTCATGGTCGTGGTCAGGTGGCCTGTCATGCGCCACACCGGGCTGCGACGGCTTTCGCCGGCGGTGGCTTGTCAGGGTCACTGTCACACCTGTACAACTCACGCGCGCCCTCTGTGGGTGGGTCATGCTGCTGGTGGCCACCAGGTGGGGGGACCCGTGGAACCGGTCTGCCAGCGTCAGTCGCACCAAGAGCCAGGCAACACGCCGAGCATAGGCGTGAGGGTGTGTGGCTCTATGGGGCTGTCCCTGAGGCTGGTGCGGGGTTGTCGCGAACTGAGGCAGCCGGCTTGCTGTGAAATCCCAAGCCTGGAGGATGGTCCTCGCAGCGGCCGACGATACTCGTTAGCCGCGGCGACGCTCTTCGTAGTAACAGCTGTCGCGCCAAAACTTCGCTTGTCAGGCATTGGGGCGAAGTTTCTCAATCATAGAATTGGAGGCAAAGATATAGCAGCTGCTAAAAGAGCGCCTCTTTGAAAGAACCTCTTGTTATAATGAAACTGAGCAAAAAGCTGCACAAGGACCGAGCGCGAGATCGAAGGAACTAAATAGTCGAAGAGTGAAGATGCGCCGGTAGTAGGTGTAGCGAACAAACTGAAATAGGATCACGAGAGTCAATTGATATTTATAGGCTCTTCTTCTTTCAGTAACAGCATTTTCTCGCTTATTCTGAAGATCATGGGTTAAGGACTTAGAAACTTGCTTACTTTTTTCGATGAAGTCGAAGCTTTTTTTCGGGCTCCTGTAACAAGAAACATCAAGATGCAACGCTTGGCGTCTTTTTTGCCACCGGCTTGTGCCAACTTTTTTCCAAAGACGGGAAAAACGGTCGGCATTATAGGTGGAGGAGCTGCAGGAATGCTGGCTGCTGAACGTCTCCGTATGGCGCTTGACTTCTAGGACAGTTTCTATTTCTATTTGAGTGATTAAATAAATATACTAGTACGAAAAATTAGACGAGTCAGAGCAGTCTACTTCATCTGCTCCTTCTTTCTATAATTTTTATGCAGCAGAACCGCACCGAGGTAGATCGTGACGCGTCCCCTGTCTACTGAGTATCATCATACCTCAGCCCTTGCTACTACTCCTTTCTCTTGTTGATTATCTTCTGCTAGTTTTCCATACTTCTGCTTCTTGCAGCCACGACTGTCTCAGTCTATTCATCATGTTCATAGTCATCATCTTCATAGAGGTTGCATTTCATGCGTTGCCACCTATTCGACGTGACCGTGATCGACCCGAAGAGCTACTACGAGTACTCTCCCGGGATGTGTCGCGCCTTTGTGCAACCCTTTTCAGCACACAAGCGGATCACCTTCGATATGATGACAGAAAACAGCTTAGCGTCCTCCACAAAGAAGGAGAAACTTTACTTAGTGTGTTCTCTTTCTCCGCATATGACGCAAGATGATGAAGACGAAGCACAAGCACTTGACCTTCACAGTTTTTTAGTTCCTCCATAGGAGTAGTAAATGATCATGCCCAGCATGCGTGACCATGTTGTTGTTGACTGCCCGATCCATATAAAAGACGCACACGCAGACAACTCAGGAATAGGAAGTACTTCAATAAGTTGAATCTTCTTCATATTAGACGACACCATCGCGCCCGCCTTTCATATTGAATTATCGGCGAATACTCGAGGACGCACTTGGCGTCGAATTTATGCAAGGGTATGTGGAATCACTAGTGGATCGGGCAGGTGAGGCAACGGGCTCTACACCAGTTAAGGCCTTTTTCTGGTAGTGGCATCAGTGACATTGACATTGACTATTCATCTCTCTCTTTAACCAATACCAACGTACGCAGAGTCCTCATATGCTTATGCTGGGCGTGGACCAAGGAGGATACCGAGGTCTAAAGCAGATAGGACCGAAAAGTTGTCTTCGTCTAGACCGAAAAAGTCACTTTATCTAATACGTCTTCGAATGCAGAGCCTGCAGGAGCGCCAGAAAATGGAGGGCCATTTATGGGTAGGTTAAAGGTCAAGGTGTTCCTGTTACTGTTCATTCTGCCTCTCTGAAAGGGGAAAGGCATCACGAAGAACGGGGAAGGAACAGACGTCTAAAGCCCTCCCGCTAAGTCAACATCTTCATCGTCAGCCGGGTCATTCTCCTCAGCGAGTGCCTCGTCATCAGCGTCAAAACAGCTAAGGCCTAGCGGGCTACGGTGTCTGGTTGGAAAGTCCACAACTACGGCTACAGTTAAGGCTCAACTTTCATTGCTCACCATTTAGATTCGAGTCTCTGACATCAAAGAGGTGGAGACCCCATGAGAGAACAAGGGAAAACTAAGGGAGACTACTAGGGGATAACTACTACTACTAGAGGAAAACTTAAGTAGGGGCCTTGTCCCTTCAGCATCAGTGACCAATGAATGGCGACCTTCAAACAATTCAATACGCATGCGGGGTCTTCAGAATCAACCGAAACGCGGAACTTCGATTACATCATCGTAGCAACTGGTGTCCAGAACGGAATATGGAAGCAGCCTTTTGCGAGTCTCGATTAAGGCCGTCTCGTTGGATTTTCACATTCTTGTTGTCTGCGAGTGATACTTCTAGTTCTACTAGGTGTAGGTCTTAAATCATATATTAGCGCTGTAGAAGTTCTCCTGATCCTGTCGCCTGTTCACGACGCGACGATGTGGATGTCGGATGTCCTATATTTTTATATAAGTACTTATTTCTAAAGAGGAGAGCGAATGGATCAGGTGAGAAGGTTGAGCCAGGCATGGGCGTGCCAAAAGGAAATGCATGTAGTTGGGGCTGGTATAGTGGGCACGGAAATGGCAGCGGAGATTATGAAACGAAAAAGTGTTCTTGTACTCTGAGTTTGTTTAAGCAAGGCAAGCTTTGCAGCAAGATGAGTAGAGTACTCAACATAGTAAGTAGTGGAACTACTGACTGAAGAAAGTGTAACATACTCATACACATACACTAACACTTGTAAGCTATACTGAACTTCTACAACACGACTTGGTAGTACTCAACATACAAACAAAAATTAGCTCGTTCAGCTGGTTTAAGTTCCTGTTCCCCACTCGATCTCAAATCGAAATCCATTACAATTTATAATTTCAGGTGTGAACTATCTCTATCTCTATCTACGATGATGTATCATGGTTACACACCCACACCGTTAGGTTACAACAGTTTTTCCAAGTCCTATCCTTTCATAGAGATTGCGCATTATTTACGAATACCAGTCTCTCTCTACGACGGGAACCCACGTGTCCTCTTCCAGCTGCCGAAAGACGCTGCAGACTATGCGAAAAAATGGTACAATAAACTCAAGCAGCACCAGCATCATATCATTTCTTCACTGACTACTCATGGAATATGATCAGGTCAGAGGACACCATCGATGACAATTCATTGTGAACTGAGTCATGGAAAATCAGGGACTTATTGCAACAGGACACAAGTACTATTTCTGGAAATGAAGAGCAAGAGGAAGAACTGACTCTTCCTTATAACAAATCTTCATGTCAGACACCAATAATTGTAAACTGACTCGTCATGCCAAATCAGGTTAGACCCCAATAATTGTGAACTTCAGGTTAGACAGCAATAATTGTGAACTGACCCATGGTCAGGTTAGACACCAATAATTGTGCCCTTCGGATGGGCGAGGGCTTTGACTTTGAAAACCACGGTGGGGACCCAAACGTCATAAAGTGTGTTGGTGCAAAGCCCACTGCCAAATTTCTCAGCAAAAAGTACCTCGATTCGACAGGATATGTGAAGGTACTAGTGTAAAATAAGCAGAAGCACGGCTGCAATATTTAAATGAAAATTATGAAAAATATTTTTGACTCCCGCACTAACACTAAGACAAACAAGACTAACTAAACTTCTTGTTGTACGTGTAATGCATGTACTTTTTGTTGAGGCCGATGAGTCGAACCTCCTGCTCTAACTGTTCTCTATCTATTTTACATTTGGTCTCTCGTGAGGCTTCAACATTCATCGGCTACCACATCTAAGGAAGGCAGCAGGCGCGCAAATTACCCAATCCTGACACAGGGAGGTAGTGACAAGAAATAACAACAATACCAGGTGAATAGACAACTTCAAGTCCTAGAGGAGTATCCTACCGCCACAGGAGAAAAAGGGACAGCACAAGAAGACGCATCCGCAGCTGCGGCATCACAAGAGAACGCCAACGGCGCGAAATCGGACGAACACTTTAAGACCTTAAAATTCCTGATTCCTCCAGTACTACTACTACTAATTTACTACTAATAATACCAGAGTAGTTTATAGCACGCATGGCGCATGGAGTAGCATGGAGTGCATGGAGCGCAGAGCTTTAAGGGGTGCAAGAAGCTCCCCCTTTAGCTCCATGCTACTCCATGTGATCCATGCACTCCATGCCATGCGAGCTGTGAAACCTTATAAATTGCTCTGTAATACTGATATGACTACTTTTCATCTCATCATCCATCTCCTACTACGACTACTTTTCATCTCATCGTCCATCTCATTCAGAAATCAGCAGCGTCTTACTTAGAGGAGTTAGACTTCGCAGCCGCAGTGCGATTGAAGGAGGAGAAAAAATCTACTCACAGGGAGTAAAGAAGCTCAAATATGCTAGGTGTAGTTTTCAAAGATACTAGCTTGGATAAGGTCAGATGCGAATTTTCACAGATTAAGGTGCTAGCTCCTGGTATTGAACTGCTACAAGTCTAATCCCAATATGGTCGAACTCGCGCCCGCGCCTGGCCTGTTCGCATGCGGAGATTGCGTCTCATTGGAGGGGATGCCCAAAACCATGTTCGTCGCTGAGGAAATGGCTGCACTGGTAGTGAGCAACATTGAGCGCCTGGAGTTAAGGCTGTGAACGGAAGCAGTAGTGTAGTAGACTGACAACTGACATACCCCTGGGGTAGGTAGAAGATGGTAGATCCATTCACTATTTTCGATTTTCGATGAGCATGTCTTAGTCTTTCCTCATCAAGAACGGCATGATAAGCATAATTTCTCGCCTTCTAATAAAGGGCTTTGACAGCGATCTTGTCTCTGAAACCATCCGGAACACATCTCTGGCAAAAACGTCTGAAGAGCAGCTACCACTAAAGAGCATATCGGAAGAGCTGATCTTCCCCTTCTGTGTAAGCCTTGGACCCGCGGATGGTACTTTTATTCCAGGAATTTTGGAGGAATAAGTCGTAAGTAACTGTTGTAGCTGAAATTGAAATTCTTGTTGTTGTTTTTCGCAGTAGTTCCAGTTCGTACACTTACAAATGCTATGAAAAGTCGTTTAGGAGGTACAAATATTTAGACAACTTGTAGCATTTTTGGCGCAGGTACCCAACTTGTAGTAGTGATACTTTATGTGCAAGGAAGTGCCATCATTACGTCGGCAAAAAAGTTGAAGTTCGTGACTTTGGTCACACTCACAACATCATTCTTTCAACTCGACATGGACTCGTCCAGCAGGTGTTTTTGCTCAGACATCATTGCAGAGCGGAGGAGTTTTGTTGGACGGCAGGGCAGCTGCGATGCAAAAACAACTGATAGAAGATACTAAGATGATGCAGCTACGCGAGGAGTCATTCTACGCAAAACTTGCGTGGTCTGCTGTACACTAGAAGACTCGTATACCTGCCGACGACTCCTAGAGCTGCCGCTTTTTTGGGCGTAGATACTTCCAGTTCTGTGAGTATATTGTGGAACCTCCGATGGCCTCATAAGTAGATCACACTTGTAGCTACACAAGAGAGTCCATAATTGACACGTTTGCACGTGTAGTTGTGCCTGTAGCTTTCTTGGTGACTGAAAAACTTTAACTTTTTTCACCGAATTGATTCGGCACTCTATCGGAGTTTACATTTTCGTTCTACATCATTGAGTCACCATCCCAGCAATAGCAATACATGTATCGTCGCACTTGCTGATACTAACACTACTCTTACATCTGGGGAACGTCTCTTATAATTATTATTACTTTGCTCATCCGACACCGTCTGACGTGTAACCGCGAGCGGAGCATCAGTGGTACATTAATGAAAATTGGCACTCTATAATAGACTATTTGGCAACTCCATTAGTATCCTGACTGCAACAAGGCAACTTTGACTTGGCTTACCATGATGGTGATACAACACAACAAGAAGAACGAATCCTGCTGTGATTGCGGCCTTCGAATTACTAGAGCTAGAGGTCGCAGTGATTTTCATGTTGCGCTCATTGTAGAGAACAAGATGATGGGCCGATCTGTGTAATATGTTCGTTTTTGCAGGACGGAAACGTCAAGAAAAATAGATCCGCTCGTGGTGTCCCAGTGATCGACATACGCCACTTGAAGAAGCCGAGACGCTGATGGCCCTGAGTGAGTACTTATGTAAACATCGGTTGGCAACGTGTTGCCGATTCTACGGGTACGACATCTTGCTGTTTCTGTTTCATTATCTTTGTCCTCCTATGTATCGTGACACTAAAAGCTACCTGTACATCAACATCTTCTAGTACACCTACTACAGTATTCCTTCAAAAGAAACAAGAAGATGGTTCTTCGTGTGTATCTCGATGGTGCCAACATCGGCAGAAGCAGGACATTTGAAGCCGACGGACCACCAGACATTGACCCCAAACAGCTGTGGATAGCCTGCGAGAGCTGTTGTGGCTATTTCTCACAGAAAAACGATCATGAGCCAGCAGCATCGTTTAGGTGCTGGGAATGGGAAGGGAGCACAGCAGGTTCACGTAGTCCTAGGCAAAAACGCGAAGATCCTCGTGAAATGAGTATTCGTGTGTGTCTTCGCATGGTCTTCAACGAGAATACCTTTCGCTGGTTGGGTCGCAATAATGCCGAGAACAAGTACTGGACGCGTCTTCTGGACGCTGACGAAGGAAGAATATTTGTATGGCCAGGACTCCGAGTCCGATCTCTCCTGTGTTGTTAGACTTGAGTGATTAAAAATCTTCTCCCCACAGATTGGAGGTATCTAACAGCCAGCACTGTCTACCCTGTCAATCACTCAAACGCCACTGCTGAGTACCTCCTCCAAGCTTTCATTCTACCTAAAAGCTCCCAATCGCGAGGACGACGATGAGTGGTTGCTTGCTCGCGCGATGGAAGATTACAGGCAAGGGGACACTGTCATTATCGTTTCAAACGATAACTATGACAAGTGGAGAGACGACTACGCTACCATCGTTCCCCGTTGCCTGATGAAATACCAGTACGACAACGCAGAGCACAGGTTCACCTTAAAAAAGCAACTGGTGGAGCAGCGTCTCAGTCGGGAGTTCGATCGTCAGCGCGAACGAGATGAAGCTAGGGAGAAGGAAATAAGTGGTGGTAAAAATAGAGTGATTCTGCTGACAGCGAAAGAGGCAGCAGAACGGAATGGTAGAGGCGGACGTGGAAAGAGGGATCCGTCTTGCAGCTCTAGAAGTACCGATAAAACTTCATCATCCGAGTCCTCGACATGTGAGAGGAGTAAAACCAGCGGCAGCCAGCGGAGGCATCGACACGGCTCAAGACCATCGTCAAGAACGCAGAAAGGCCTCAACATCTCAAGGAAACTCTCACCACCTCGATTCAACAAACAACAAAATCGACATACGTGCACAACATCAAGCTCGAGATCATCGCCCTTCCGCAAATACAGATCTGCTCCACCTGCACGAAGTCAGTCCTCAGAGGAAGAAGAAGATCGACGTGAAAGTAACACTGACCGTAGAACTCCTAGTCATGATAAACACTCGTCCAACTCCAATGGACGACCAAGAAGTGTATCTCCAATTACACCTCCGCCTGCTCGCTTTCAGCCAGAAGACTCCTCTCCAGATGTAGACGAACTCGCTGAGCGTGTCAGTAGAATAGACATTCGCGGTGCGGCAAGTCTTCACAGAGGGAGGTGTCAACACAGTGGTGGTAGTGACGACGCACGCAGTTGTAAACTTGATAAGCGTGATGTCGACCACCGACGCAAAGTGGACCACCGACGTGAAGATGTCGACAGACGAAATGGCGCCGTAGATGCGGCGCGGGCAAGACTCTTTGCTGTGTCCGACCAGGGAAATTCAACTACTAGTTCTCGCCGTGGTGCTGGTAAAAGTCAATCAAGAACAAGAACTAAAAAGCCGGATCCTCACTATTCGTCGTTCCCGTTCTAGATTGTTCACCCCCTCCACTCTATGAATGATAGATCCACTCTATGATATATAACCGCTCGGAGAGCATCAGCAATTTCAATTTTGTCCCTTCAGCGCATCAATGTCAAAGACATCTTTTCATTCTCAAGATCGAAATCAAAAGAGTAAGACTGCTTCAATTCTCAATGATCCGCGCAGGGCCCCCTTTTGTCGCGTCCGCCGTGTTGTGCTAAATACATCATGAACATTAATTTTTGATCAAAGATTTGCATTTGCTTGTTTCGATCCGGAGTAGTTGTCGAAGATCAGCTCGTGTTGATCCTCAAACGCTGTAGTCTTGGTCTTGACGCAGAAAGTAGATTCCAACTGGTTCATTTGAGCAGACAAGGATGGAAAGGATGAAGAACTACGTCAATCTAGTACTATGCTTATAGTCGAAGTGATATTCTTGTTGTTGTTGAACGCGGTAAGCCGAAGCCCTCTTCTCATTTGAAAAGACACTTATTTCTCTCCAGTAGCAGTTGGATAAGAACTATACTCCTGGTGCGTCCTCATGTCGGCAAAATACCCATGGACCATTTTCTTTCTCCCGGCTCTCAAATCATAAATATTTTTCCCGAAGTTTGAGCCTGAAGGTACTTACTATCTTCTCTATACCTCTCCCACACGACCTAGACCTACTGTTGTAGCGAAATAACTCGAAAACAAGAATGGCGCCTCCGCTGGCAGCTTGCGACACAATGTTGCCAACAGCGAAAGAGCAGAACGAGTCGAATTCATGTCCCGGAGCCGAGAAGTCATGTCCCGGGACCATGTCCTCTCCACCACCGCGAGAGAAGCCAGTCGGTCGTTGGAGCTCAGGAGACACTACTAGACTGAAGAAAGGGCGCAGAAAATATAGTCGGAGCACTTTACGCGATAACAATCTGCTGCCTTCGAATGAGCGATATCACTTATCCAAGACATTACCGATTCCCCAGCGGCAGAAGCTCATTGTGGATACCTACATCCAGAACTTCCTCTTTTTTTTAGAACGTGAAAACAAGTGTCGTCACTGTTGCTTCTTAAATGAGTGGTGCATCTGCGAGAATGTCCGGAGACTAAAATCAGACACGATTACGAACCTGAACTCCCTTTGCCGCAATGCAGAGGACGAGGAGGCAAACGAGGAGCTTTGGTGGAACATGCCTGTCACATTGATGCGTACTAGTAGAAGGCAAGCGTCGAATTCATCTGGTCTGATGCAACAAGATGAAGTAGAAGGACAACCTACAACTGGGTCAAATAAAGTTGTTCACGAAATAAAGCACGAACGGCGTTTAGTTCGGCCTCGTTTTTTGGTGTGGATGCATTATAAGGAACAGTTTAGGGCCTCCAACACAGGCAAGATTCTCCTCCAGCTCTTTCCCGGATCGCAGGCCTTTATCAATGGCGACCCAGAGGAAACACGACGATTTAAAGCTTTGCTAGAAGAAGAGAGGAGTAGAAAGGCGATCCTGCTCTTCCCTACTGAAGATGCATGCGACGCTGAAGACTTAGCATGGTCAGACATATTCTTTGGGGACGACTGCTCGGATGTTGAGGATGATCATTGGGGTGAGACCAGCAGCGACACAGAAGCTTCCACAGAGGATACCAAGATCAGAGGTAACGGTGAACGTGCGGAGAAGGACCACCAGAAGATCGAGTTTCTCAACATTGTCCTCTTGGATGGAACATGGAACCAGGCACGAAAAATGCTCAAAACGCTCTTCCCACGTGCGAAAACAAAGGCCAAGAACGTAGCTGCGAATGCCGACAAGGCCAAGATGAACATAGCGAGGACGCTTACTCATGCTGATGCTAGCAGTGCTGACGACGAAACCAATCAGCCGGGTCATGCAGAAGAGAAAGTAGAGCAAGTAGTCGAACAAGCTGTGGTTGAAGGTATCGAACAAGAGCAAGAGGACGAACAACAAGCCTCTGGTGCAATAGATTCTACGTGGTCCGCTTCGCCTTCACTAGGTGATCTGCTTCTTCCAGTTAAGATATCGCCAAAGGAGCTCTCTCGTTTTGGTCTCCGGAGACAGACGCAGACGGACCGTATATGCACACTAGAAGCTGCGATTATGCTCTTACAGAGCGTTGGAGGTGAACAAGAGGAAGCCGAGCATGAAGAGAAGAGTGGAGATGGTGCTGCACCTGCAGTAAAACATGATCTTCACCATGATAGAAATCAGTCGGATCCTTCTGGGACAGGGACTCATACTGTGACCGAGACCCCTGTGGAGCAGATTTGCTCAGTTCTTTACGACGCCCTGGCGCTCCTCTGTGACGCGATGGAGAGACAGAGCCATAAGGACACAATGCCCTACGTTGCCCCTCAGAAACACCATAAGAATGGAAACTCAAGGCTCCCTAAGAATGCACATGGTAGACAAATCTATGCCTAGAAGTAGGTGCTAAGCACTTTTCGTTTTTTCACCTTCTTGATGCGCTTGCGCTCCTTATCCTCTCAAGAGCTGCAAGTTCGTTGTAAAAGCCTCTGGTTGGGCTTGGATTAAGTATTTATTGATTTAGGTTCTAGCGGTGGCGCTAGTAGCTCCCATACCCACTACCGGAACCGGCAAGAGATAGTGTTCCGAGAACAAGATGCACAACTCGGTCTCTTTGTCATCCTTGAAGCTCGACTAGTACTTGTTCGAGTACAACCATTACCATGTCCATAGAAATCCTTATAATAAATAAAAATAAATACGAAGAAGTATCGAATGTCTCTGCTCTTTCCCTGATGATCTGATCATAAGAGGAAATCTGTTTCTTATGTCGATCGGTATAAATACCGAGCGTGCTCGAGAGAACAAGCTGTGCAGCGATGTCCAGAGACTACTAGGTGATGTGCTGGTCTGGATCCTTACATACATTTTCATTTGTCGCTTTTCATCTTGATCTTGAAGTAGATCCTTGATTGTTGTGACACAACATCAACAACAACAGTTGTGTCAACATCTTATTTCAATCTCTCTTGCTGAAAGTGAAACTATCGGTCTAGGATCACGATGACTCTGTTGCACCCAAACAAAGCACCCCAAGGCGATCCTGCATTTCCCTACACTCTTCAGCCCAACTCCGACCCCAAGGCGAATCCCTCTGAAGCACCAAAACCAACATAACTAATGTATTCAAGCATATTACGTAGTTCTGAACCTAGTATTACTTGTCTACTAAGTACTCAGATTCATATATACAAGATGCCTGCACCAGGAGCCGTCACTACAGTACCAGTACAACACTTGACGCTACATGTTTTTGTTGTTTTTCATCGCACAGACTCATAGGATCATGATCATCTGTTCGAGATGACGCAGAGCAGACAGTGCAGAGCAAGATTTTGATTTTCTTGCTAATGTCCCCGCCCCAGTTCCAGTTCAACTGTTTCTAGTTCTACTTCATCTGTATTTACTATACAACAACAACAAGATTATCATTTCGATCAAACAAAGTAGATTGACGATCTTCATCCCTCCCAATCTGAATCTCATGTACTACTCACAAGAAAAATGAGTACCAAGAGTCGCAAGACCGGTGACGAACGGGGTAAGCCGAAGCCCTCTTCTCGGTCGCAACGACCAGAGGGTGAAGTACCAGAAGATTTGAGCGACATATTGGGTCTAGAAGGCGCGCAGGGATCAGCAATACCCCTAGACGAACAAGATGATGGCGATTTTCAGTCTTAGGGCTTGAGGTTAAGTTTGTTGTATTTGTAGTTCCTTTGATCATGACTGAAGTAATGACCAAGTGGAACAAGAAAGTGCTGGACGTTGCACCGCCTGCTGGAGCTTGGTACTAGAATAGGAAGAAATGGATTGTTGACTTAGTTAGTACACCTATACGTATAGGTGTACCAACTGTAAGTATTTTGAGAAGATACAACATTATCCGTATTCCACCATCTTCATACTACTGTTGGTTTAACTTCTAACACTCACTGCTGGACACTGCTCAAACTAGCGATGCCTTCGCGAGTGTTGTGCGTCACGATGGTGGAAACGAAGAGGATTCCAAATTAGCCGCAGCAAAAAGGCGCCAGCAGATAAGGGCCGAGCGGGAAGAAAATCTAAAGCGGGAAAAAGCGGAGAGGCTGGCGCGACTAGAACGAGAACTAAAGCAAAGAGAGGAAGAGGAGTACAGCCATTCATTATCATTTTCATCTGAAGCATGATGATTTATTGATATTGATATATTATATTGAATATGATATTATGTTTATGTCTACTTTCATCTATTTCTTAGACTTTATTTACGTGATGAATTTCTTCTCGAAGTCAATGTCAATCTTTATTGTTGCGTCATCTGCACCAACATTTAATATTCCAATTTATGGAGGAATAGGCGAGTTTCGATCCCTGTTCGGGAGTCTGCGGTTCAGGCTGGGCGACCGTCTGAGCATCAGCCACGAGACTACTACTCGGATGGCGGTTCAACGGAAGACGAGGAGGGAGAGCGCGGCCCACTAATAAAGTCTGCATTCGGGGACGCCCACGATCCCGTTGCGCACGCCATGCAACAAGGCAATCAGGAACATGTTCAAGTAAGGCTGATTTCTATTCCAAATCCAAGAAGTTGTAGAACTTTTGTTCAACATTCATTTGTTTCGTATGCCTCCCTTCGTTCTTCTTAGGATATTGAGTAGGCAGAACGATCTAATGATAAGGTATCTCTACAACAGAACAAGAAGAAATGAATCACTTATACTTTGAGTTTCTCTAATCCAACTTCTTAGTTCTGTGCGCTTTCGTGCTAACGCACAAAGCTCATCTTCGGAATCAGACGCAGAACGACATTCGACAGATGAAGTTAAGCGTCCACTAGATGTTGAATCCCAGGACGGATTTCCTACATACTTGAAGGAGAAGAGATCCACCAGATGACTGTCTTCTGAATTTTTTATAGCACGCATGGTGCATGGAGTGCATGGAGCGCAGAGGACCCATTAGGGGCGCAAGAAGCTCCCCCTTTAGCTCCATGCTACTCCATGTGATCCATGCACTCCATGCACCACGCGAGCTTTGAAACCTTATAAATTGCTCTGGGATTTATTCCTACAGATGACCGCTTCTAATGAAGATAATCCTGTGAAGGTTGATATGGATGGAAACCGCGACTCAGCGGCCGAAGTAGGGTCACCAACGTCGAGACGGGTCCGGAAAACACAGATGTACTCGATGGCGGCAACTGGTGGCGAACAAGACTACGAGATGAGAGGTCTAGCCTCCAAAAGTCCAGTGCCAAGTAAGAAAAGCATGGCAGCTTCATTATGGACGACGAGACTTTTGACCAAGTACTTACAAAATTTTCTTCAAGAATTGGCATGGGGTTCTCAATCATCCACTCAAAAAATTGCGTTTAGATTGTTGTAGTAGCAGGAGCTCCTACAACTTACTGCTACTTTTTACTACAAAAACAAGAAATAGTCCTCCTCATGCCAAAATGAACCATTCTAAGCCTTAAAAGCACGTACATAAGATTGGGTCAGCCAGATGGTGTGAATGATGACGACGGGTGCTGCGAAAAGCTATGTGACGGAGAGAGCGGCTGCTTCGTGAATACTATCTGTTGCCCTTTCGTGATGCCTTATCAGGGATGCAGAATCTACTGCTGCCCGACTCTAGGTAAATTTTTCGTAATTTTTCAGTAGTGCGTTTCGTGTCCCTGCACGACATGCTACATCTTTATTTCCGCCTCTTTCTGTGTGCGTGTGGTCTTGTCCTTCTTAAAGATAAAAAGTAACTCGAACTTCTTTTACCTGCAGCATTCTCTATTTCATCACCAGGTTCAATGCTCTGCCACTGTTGGATGTGGTGCTGTTGTAGTTCTAGATGCTGTAAGTTTGAAGATAAAGACTTTCCGGCGGGCCCGGAGAGTCTGGGAGTCGGGATTCAAGGTGACGGTGGTAGAAAAACTGCTGTTTTTATGGCAGACTATCATTATTTTCAGAAAATCTTCATCACATTTATAAATATTACTTAGATTAGATACAACAAGACAGTAGTACATGATGACAATAGATTTCTTCAAAGAAGTGTTACCATCGCATCTAGCATCAACAGCTGATTGGAGAAAAGTCAGCAACAGCTTCATAATACTCATAGTCATGGTGCATATCAGCGAGCGATAGCGAGGATAGGCAATGAATTTTCTAAATCAAGATCATCAATCCTCTCTTCTATTCCTTTTCCTCGTCGACAAAACGAACCTGAGTTTCTAACTCATTTAGCGACAAGAATGTGCAGTGGATTCGTGCTTCATACTTAGCCAAGTCGGATTCCCTCAATGCCGATGGATCAAGGGGGTTGCGTCTCTTTGGAAAGAGGCTGGACGCAAGCACCGTCTGTCAAGGAAGGCTTGGTGACTGTTGGCTGCTATCAGCAATGGCATGTTTGGCGGATCACAGAGGAGCGATACAGCACGTACTATATTCTCTAGTTCTACAACGAATGAGATGGGAAAGAAAAATATGAGACGAAGAAGTGTACCCATGATACTCAAGAAAAGAGGCTTTTTCCTAAGTACGTAGAGAGTGCCTACTTTCTTTGAGGATGCACGAGTACACTTTTTCGCTTCATAGAAGAGGAACAAAGATTTTATTTACCTCTGCGTTGGTAAGGATGAAGAGGAGTAGCAAAACCTCGTTCCTAATCCAGGATGATCCCAACCTTGTTCTTCGACAAAGGTATTCGAAACGCATTCTATGGATGTGCGCGGCAAGTATTGGGTCACGCTTTACGACGCATCCTTTAGCAAGAACAAGCATGGGGAGCCCGTAGGATCATGGGTGTCCTTCGCGATCGATGACAAAATTCCTTGCGTTGAGGACTCACCTGGATCTGGCAACTGGAGACCTATGTTCACGGGCTTGCGGAACGTATTTTGATTTTTTTAGAAATACTACAATTTGAATTCAAATTCATATGTTAATGTTTGTTCATTAAAAATCAAGTACTTACCTACGTAGAAGCTCCTGTTCCTGCGGTCGCCATTGGCATTGGGACACATACCAAATTGAAACCGCAACAAAAACAACAGGGTGAGCTCTGGCCTTTGTTGCTAGAGAAGGCCTTCGCCAAAATGTGTGGGTCCTATCGTGCGCTGGAAGGAGGTAATGCACTTTGGGCGCTACAAGCAATGACTGGTGACAAACCGTACATGTTTAAGCACGTGCCCGTGTCACCAGTACCGAGCGGGTCTGTCTTAAAAGCGGGAGAGGAATTAGGTGCCACGTGGAAAGGCAGCCAATTACTAAGTCGCTTCGTTGAAAATGACGCTGATAAAAAGACGGCCGGACACTTCATCGACTTGGACCCAAGCCAGCCAGGGTACTGCTAGGACTTTTCATCGACCACTTCTATCTTGGAGGTACATGATCAAACCAAAAACTACACTCACACTCAAAAAACTTTGAAAATTAGGGCTGTATTATATCTCAAACATGAAGATAAATTAATTTTCCACCAGATAACTTTATAACTAGCTAGTAAACCTTAACTGCATACTTAAGTAACCAAGCCTCAAAGCGACCGCAACGAGTCTAATTTTCTCAGAATTTGAGTATGAGCGTAGTTGTTGGCTTCATAAGGGTACTTCTAGGATGTTCCATCGAAAACCAGGGCACTGCTAGGATTTTCCATCTAGGACTTCTTGGAGGTAGAAGGTCTAAGACTAAGTATAATTGCACTCAGCTGGTCGTGATCATGATCATACATAGGTGATGTTGAAGATGAGTACATCTGATAGTCTGAAGCTGTTGTTGTACGTCAGGTACTTATGTAGTTTATGGCTTTTTGAAGTTCAAGTAGACCATGTTCTTGATGAAAATGTGACATGATCAGGCACTCGTTAGACAGCGAGGAAATGTGGAACGTTTTGTTGTTAAGGGTAGGTTAAAGGTGCTTTTCTTACCGCTTTTTATGCCTCTCCTAAGGGAGAAAGGCATAAAAAGCGGGGTAAGCAAGCACCAAAAACCTACCTCTAATGTTGAATTTCCACAATCGGGGTTCCGTTTTGTCAGCCAGCGGCGTCCGGCAGGATGGTTACGCCGGTCTACGCGCCGCTCACGCGTATTCAGTCCTCGACTTCCTTGAATTCGAAAAGCGTGGCGGAGTGCTTCCTACACGAACAACTGCAACTTTTATGGTCTGACTCTACTGTTGTCAACAACATGAACATGATGAACCACATGAGCTTGAACCACTGAACATGAACTACAGGAGGATCTTCTGGGTAGAGGAAAATATTACTTTGCTGAAGATCTTACTTGCATTCATTTTCATTGAGGTCTATCTTCTTGCTCAGGACCATTCTTGATGTTCTCGACGTAAACCGACCAGATTCTTGCCCGGCTCTAATCCGGATAGAAGTACTACGACCAGCAACGTGCAGAGGTTAATCTTGATCCGAAATCCATGGGGGCAAGGAGAGTGGACAGGAGACTGGGGGTTGGACTCAAACCTATGGGGCACGGTTGACGCTGTCGTCGCAAAGAACGCGCTAGCCAAAGTCAAGACAAAACGTGGCGCCACAAACGGATGCTTTTGGATGAGTTGGGAGGACTTTAACCGAAGCTGGTCGAAGTTGCACGTGTTGCAGAGGTCTGTAGACATCAACAACCTCTATTAAGGCCTCCCTTAATTCATCCTGAGACGCATCTTAGAGCCTTTTCCAACGGGAGAGGCACGCCAAAGATGCTCTCCAGGATGAATTAAGGCAAGCTCTAACTCTATTTGGAATACGACGAAGGCGTGTGCTGTGGTGAAATCTGTGGATGCGTGAAGGGGTGCTGCAGCTTCTTCTTCCTCTGCCGTGGAATTGACCGGCTTTATTTTTATGAATGTAAAGAATTTGAATTAGGAAGATCGAAGATATTATCATCGATTATATCTAAAGTAAAAGTCAAAGTAGAAGGACAACGAATAAAACTCTATGCAAGGAGTCCAAACTCTATGAAAGCAACAGAACGTCCTTCTCCATCCTCTGCAGAGGTGTACACGTACACGTACACATTTCCAAAATTTCAATTTTTACAATTTAATGAAAAAAGTATTAGAAGAGTCAAGAGACAGAGTGAAAGCAACTCCTTCTGCTCTTCGTCCTCGCATTCGGTCTCTAAGACATTTCCGAAAAATCTGACGATGTGGACACTCTGGAGCGAGCAAAGAAGAAGGAGAATGGCTGTGAACTTAAGGCTTGCCGTAATTCATCTTAAGAGGCATCTTTGGGCACGATTTCAAGGGGAACCCACGTCAAAGATGCACTTGAAAATGAATATCTTTATGGGCTAATGAGTGGTGCTGTACGAGGCGGTGCTGTGCGAAGTTCCTCTGCTGGGTTTTGTGGTATCTCATGGTACCAGTAGGCATCGGTCTGGCGATATATTTTCTTGTTTTCGCTGGCGGGAGTAAGAAGTAGTAGTAGAACTTCACCTTGTTCAGGTGGTGGTTGTGGTGGCTGATGAGAATGTAAACAAGAATGTGATTCTTCGCCCTCGCATTTATGAGGTAATATTACAAGTCAGATGGACAGTCTGTATAAATTAATGCCATTGGAAATGGAATCGATTCATCATGATAAAGTACTTAGCCGTAAAGGTAGAAGACATACTAACAACCATTTTCTTAAGATACTCGAATCAAAGAACTCAATCTCAAACTCAAACTCAAAGCAACGTGAAATATATCTCTTTCTTACACGAAAACTAACACTAACACGTTTGTTAATTATCCATGTCACTTATTTTGGTATTGGTAATGATCACGTACTTTCAACATGCACATCGATATATGCTTTTGCTGTACAGCTAGAGGCACAGCTACCTCTAAATATGTAATATTGTTATTGATATTGTTCTTCTGGAAAGTATTTATCCACCTAATGTCATCTTGTATTTTTATTTGGGGTCTCCTGAAAAAATACACCTTTATGCGGAAAAAAAAAAATCTCGAAGAGACTAAAACTAAATGTACAACTCGTGCAGTATCTTAATCTTTCTGAATAGAGAGCAACTTCAACACTTCAACTTCATCAAGAAAATGTCTGTATCCGAAAATCACAAACATTACAAGAAAGTGAACAGCTGGCCGAGCGCCTAGGTCCATACATCAGTTTGCGGTAGCAAACTCAATACGAATACCGCCAGTCTGGTAGAAAAGAAGAAGGAAAAGAAAAAGTGCCAACTTGTTCCACTCAAGGAATATAGAATGATGTGGGACGAGTGTTGAAGTTTAATAAAAGATGTGTTCACGGTAACACGCTGCAAGGAGATTCTAGTTTGGTCTTTATAGGCACGGCCACACGGCGCAAGGAGACTTCCCTGCCTGGTGTAATAAAGCAAGGCTTCGTATTCACGCCTGATCTGATCTACGATCACAACATAGGGTGAGAGTCGCCGACGTGTCGCCCGCTCCGGTCTCGGCGCTGAACCTAGAGGAGTCTGGTCTTTCAGGAACTCTGCAAGAGCAAGAACGATGATCGCAGTATTCCAAAGTCGCCGTGTTGTTGAGGTCGTGTGTGTGTGCGTGTGTGTGTGTGTGTGTGTGTGTCGCGTGAGTGTCAGTGTGTGGAGGATCAAAGGCGACGCAGTGACTTGCTGTAGTAGCAATAGCATTTTTGAGTTTGAGGTACAGCTACTTTATACTAGTCGTGCTTTCCCAATCTTGTTTTGCCTTCTCAAATCAATTTTGGGCGAGAGACGGAGCTACACAGCTACTTCTAGTACAACTACAACTAAGTAGTCAGTTCTAGTACTTTTATTCTCAATATCAAACCTGGTGACAGGAAAAATTACACCACTATCACATACAGACAAGCTACTATCGTTTCTTGCATCTTTGTGCATTTTTGACGGGTTAGTTTCCCTTTTCTGTGTCATTAACCTGCTTTTTATTCTTTCGCACCCCCACAAGAACATCAACAAGTCTGAATCGCCAATCGTGGTCCACCCAGACTCCATCGTTTTTTCTGCGTGCTTGCTTTCTCCGCGACTTGTTCGAACATTTGGTAGACGTGCTTTTTTCCCACGTGAGACGACCAACCAGCATGACGGTGTCAACGAGAATTATTCTCTCGTGCGCGACAGCAGCCCTTCCAGCGTTTGCTGTACGCACACCAACAGTGGCTGCCGATCAGGATGTTCCCGCCTCGGAGGTACAACTACAGTCCTTGAAGACGAACCAAGAATCTTAAAATGAAGACGGTCCTTGAAGACGAACTATCGTAACCAAGAGTAGCTGGTGCTCGTAACCTCTAGCACTACTAGGAGGATCACACGATTACATTTACAGGCACAAGAATTACTAATACTATTACTAGCGAGAAGGTACTAAGAAGTAGAAGTTACCCATTGAAGAACGAGGCGGATTTTATACATTCGCTCACAGTGACTACAACATTTCTATCGTTCCTCGTCCTTGTTTACATTTTGACTTTGAGTATGAATACAGTAGTGGAATTTTTGTTGGACAGGACCTGAAGCAAGTGAGGTAGACCGACGTTGTAGCTAGGTGATGCCAGTCCAGTATTTTTCGACTTTTTCTATCTTAATTAGAAGTATTCATCTTTCTTGTCGTTGACCTTACCTAGGGGACCCATCATCCTCGGAGGCGAGCAGGTGTCAATGGGGCTCGTTGTGCAGGATCCACAACCTAACCTAACGCTAACCTGATAGTATTTTTCGACTTTTTCTATCTTAATGTTAATTAGAAGTATTCATCTTAACATAATGCATGGTAGAAGTATGCATCTTAACATTTTTACAGGCTCCTCCTGCTGCGGAGCAGACGTGGATTTTGATGGATCATCCGGCCGTTAAGGAGGAGAAGGACGACCACGCAGGATCTCAAGATGACGCAGACGCGGTTGGGGTACATGGTTGGGGTACATGGAACGTGGTAGAATTAAGGGTAGGTTTAAGGTGCTTTTGATGCCGTTTGTTATGGCTCTCTCCCTTAGGTGGGGACAGCCATAACAAGCGGGAGAACCCACGAACACCAAAAGCCTACCTCTAATAGAACCTGGCTACAACGCAATCTCGAACGTCGCGGAGACGGCAGCAACCTCATCGCAAAACGACGATGAAGATGTCGAAATGCTTGAAGTGGATGCTGACCCCTCTGTTTCTAGTTCTTCTCCTACTCCAGGCGGAGGCACTCAGCAAGAGGAGCAAGAGTCTGCAGATGAATCAACTGCAAGACTGCAACCTTTCCGACGACCATCTTCCGAATCTGATGCAAAGGCAACAAGAACGTCGAAGAAGGCGTCCTCGGGTGCGATGGAATTTCCAGTTCCAGCTAAAAAGCGGACCCTGACCATGTTGCCTGCCGCAGCAAAATTTCCGCGACGATCGAGTTCGAAACATCTTATGAGAACAAGATTATCATTATGTTTTATTATGCATTATTTTTGGTGTTCTAGTTGAGTTCTTCCCACCGATTATTGATTTTGTGTCGTCCTCGTCCCCCCACGACGAGTGTTTTTTTACTTGACCAGCACGAGGATCCTTCTCTTTCATATTTGAACAAAAGCAACGCGCTGAGCTTGCTGCGGAGCTTAACACTGGCTCCCCGGTCGATCCGGCACTGTTTTCGGACGACAGTCGGTCGGGCGAACTCTTCAGCCTCATCTTCGGAGAACAACTGAACTGTGAAGACCCAGAACAGCTAGGACCGCATGAAACCGCCTTTGTCCATGACCTCTTTGGTTGCGATGCACAACCTCGGATCCTCTCCGGTCCACAACTACCTCTTGCAACCGCCACTACTTCTACCGTTGACTCCTCGTCTTCTTCTCGCGCCAACCGTCGCCAGCGTGCGCGTAAGAATAAGAAGATGAGTGGAGCAGGTGGTAACAAGATTCTGGTTCAGCTTCCGTTAAAAATGTCCGCTGCTGGGGATAGCGGGAAGGAAGAAGATCTGAAGGCATACGAGGACGACAAGTACGTCACGTCTCACGTCGTGAGAACAGCATTCAAGGCATTTTAAGAGCAGGCTTGGCATCTTGATGTTCTTGTTCAGTCTACCGTTAATATACATAGGAGTTTTGCCTTTGTTCTGTTTCTTAAGGGGGAAGCGGCGAAGGCACCATAACCATACTCACCGTTTAAGATAACTACGGCAAAATAACCCTACGACCTCTAAGCATTGCAAAAAAACAAGGAAGAAAAATCGCAGGCGAATTTGGCACTGAAGGACAGCAAATACAAGAACATGAAGAAATCGTCTGCTTGCCAACAAGAACAAGGCGTTGTGACTCCCAGTACCTGTGCTTCGTCCACCGCTGCTAGTCCCGTGGTGACGTTCAATACAGGACATCAATTACGGCTCAAAATGATAATTTCCTAGGTGTCCGTACACAGTTGTAGTGGTCTTCAGGTTCAAGCACTGAGTTCATTCTCTGCTTCACAGCTTAAAAATATCTCCAAGGGTCATCTTCCTCTGTTTCCTTTTGGGGAGTGTTGCTTCTGAAGAAATGCCATTTCTGCAGAAGATTCGGCATTTCGTCTGACATTGGATGAAGAAGTGGATTGTTTTGCGCTCTAAATCGACAGCCTTCCCTTGCAGGAGGACGAGGTCTCCAACAAGGAGATGTTGCCGGCACTGTGGTGACTAAGACGGCTAAACGCCGAGCCAGAACCAACAAGAAGAAGCTTCTGTTGAAGACTGGTATCCAAGAACAGCTCCGCGAGGCAGAGGGAATGGAGAAGGAGGACAAGTTAAGGCTGAGGCTCATACATCTTCACAAGAAAAAACTCAAATACTCTCTCTTCATGTAGTTCATGTCCTTTTCCACCTCGAGAGGACCGTCTAGCCCTCTAATGAAGGAAGTAGCTCCTGATCATGTCGTCGAAGATGACCAACTGAGAAAGGAGGACGATGAGCATGATCAAGAGTTCGAGGACTGGTGGCAAGCAATTTGGGGAGTCGAGCCTGAGGCAGTACAGAAACTAGATGAATCCAACAGTACGGAATTGCAGGACATGAAGAAGCGGACGCACGACACGTCCACCCCCAGCAAGGCCAACGAGGTCGGGGACAATGACTACGACTTTTCGGCTTCGAGGATGAGGAATGATATCGAAAATAAAACCTATCTTCAGCAAGAAGGCGACGGTGGAGGTGATTATTTTCGCGCTATCTTCGATGCTGCAATAAAAGGCACTTCTGAACAAAATGAAGACGATGGTGCCGACTACTTTCGAGCCATTTTCGACGAAGCAGATGAACTTCAACGTGATGAAGACTCTCAGTCCTCTCTGTCCCAACAAACAGCAACAGCAGAACATGATGATGATGATGAAGATGAGGATGATTTTCTTGACCACGAGCATTTCCAGAGAATCTTCGAAGATCAGTGCAGCACTGAACAAAGGAATCATGATGTCGAGGATTGTGTCGCTGACTATTTCCAGATGATTTTTGCCCCAGAAGAGGAACAGGACGATCAGGTCCTCACAGAAGAGCAGGAAGAGGCTGCTGGAGCTGCTGGGTACTACTACAATTAATATGCTGATGTAGTTTATTAAGTTTAAGACACGAGTATATGATGATGATCCGTTGTATATGTATGTTGACTTAAGACATAAGACTATCAAATGATGTCCGTTGGTTGTGGGACTAGCACTAGCATTAGGTTTAGGAAACAAACGATCATGACAAAATAATGGGAGCACCTATTATGTACATGATCCACCTACTTCTCCTGAGCAGGAAAGCACAGACAGCACGAACGAGAACAAACATGCAACTATCTTTGTCATCCTCATCGATTTATTCACTATCACGACTATCTCTATCTTAATCGACTTCCGACTTCAACAGGGCTACCAAGCTACTTTTGCACGACCGCGCTTCTCCTGAAGCTGAGGAAGACGATATCATGGGTGGTCTGGAAAATGCCATGTCCAAGATGCAAGTCCGCGTTGACAACATACCAGTACTTACTTGTGTACACTTGAGACGTCTCTAAGATTTAGATCTTGGTAGTGACTCTTACTCACGACCGCCGCTGTCAATTGTCTGATAATTTCATCCTTACAAAAGTTTTATCTTTAAAAATCAATTTCAATTACAAAGACATATACAATTTCTTATTCTACTTCCCGCCCTATATGACAAAAAAACAGACTTCTGTGCGCCACTATATCTTGCAGACTTTCCAGCGAGGACAGGAGATGAAGGAGAAGCAGGAAAAGCGACAGCAGCTCCACCAGAACGATGCTAATATTATGGCTTCCCCTGATGCATCTTATAAAGCATCTCCGAGACGTTTGCAAGGGGGAAACGGTCTCAGGATTATGGCGAGCTCTAATAATAGCGAGGATGGTGACAAGGGTGACCTGCGATCCGAATCTGTGTCAGCCCGTCGCGAACGAAAAACGCGGGACCGCTCTCAACGCGATGCTAACCAAGCTATGAAGGACGATCGCGCGCACCGAATGCACAGGAAGCTGTCCATGAAACCCTCTTGGAAGCCGAAGCATGTCACGGATAAGGGTAAGTATTTGAACATGTCATTGTAGTCACACATGGTTAAAAGTATCTTCTAAGTAAGGATTTCAATCTCTTTGTAGTTGTTCTCTCTTCTAATTATAGAGAGAGAGAGCTCCTGTATACGTAAAAGTATAGAGACGAGACGAATATCAATGAATATGTTCATGTAGTTAGGTCATGATCAATCATTTCGTTCAGGTAAGTTGGAATTGCACCGGCAGCACGAGCGAGCTCTGGAGATTGAGGAGGCGTTGCGAGAACAAGAGGCCGATGCGAAGCTAGTTCCTGATGTCCCTGCGTCTATGTTGGAGGGACTGAAGGAAACAAGCACACCGGGATACGCTAGACACCAAAACGAACAGGAGGATCAGACGGCTCATATTGCCTCTAGTTCTAGTAGTACTACCAAAAATATTAAGGGTTTCCACATTGCATTCATCTGCACTTCCATTCTTGGCCTGTTTTCAAGTAGGAAATGAGTCAAGGATGTTCTGAAGAATGCAAGAATAGGGAAACCTTTAACAATACCATGAAACCAATAACAACAGCAAAGTCTTCATCTGCTTCTTCTTCTACGAAAACGAACAGTGCTGCGGTTGGCGGACAAACAAACGACGCCTCAACGTTCACTGCGACTACTACACTCGGCCCTGCTGCACTGAGATCATTAAGGCTTAGTATAATTCATCTTGAGAAGCATCTTTGTTCTTTGTCCACCCCTTTTGTAAAAGGAAAACACGGCTGCAAAGATGCTTTTCAAGATGAATTTTTGTGAGCTCTAATGAGACGCCGAAGCCACTCGATCTATGCTCCTCGCTCCTGGGTACCCAAGGTGAAGGAGCCCCACGGATCAGGCACACTCTCTTCGGCCAGTGACAGTATTATCACTCCACAGTTGACATTCTTCTAGAATTACTTAAAAAAATTGTTTCTCGTCTCTGATTTTTTTTTTTTTTGAAATTTCAAATTCATCATCACCTTCACCGCCACTGCAGTTTCTTGTATCAATTCGTTCTGCATCTTCAAACTTGATGATCATAGAACAACACGATTGGTGCTGTTCAAAGCTAAAAAGCACTAGATGGTAGGACCTTCAAGCTCTAAATCCAGTCACCAAGACGACCACCTGCACTCAGGTAGTCCGAGTAAAGCCGACCTTCGAGCGTTAGAGACAGACTCCAAGCGAGGCAAGCGAGAGGCGGCACGCCTTCGTAGTGAATCTATAGCAAGCCAGCGTGCGGAGGATCAGGCACGCCAAAGCCGTAAAGGTCTATCCAGATCCGCTTTGCAAGCGCAACGTACTAAGATTTGTATTTTCTGTGATGTGTTGGTGTTGGACAACATGATGGACTTAGCTGTTTATTTGTAGTTGTACGTAGTACACTTAGTAACACTGGGCTGTTGAAGTTCTTTTTCTTATTCTATCATTTTCGTGCTACTGCAAGTACATGCTCTTCCCGTGTTCGATGAATCAACCTGTTGAAACTTTCATCATATTGACCTATGCATGTCTCCTACAGAAAAGCATTTTTTCTTTTGGAAACATTTATTTCTCTCAGATGAAAGTAAATGGCAGGACTGCTCCCGAAAAGAAACTTTTTTTTAACAAACCACCTTCGCACTTATTTATATATTTTAACTTTTAGCCTAGTGTTCTTGTGATGCATGCTGCCCCTCAAGACTTACTTACTTATAAGCGCACAAATAACTTAAACGATCACGATGGTACTTCATGCTAACGAAGTATCGACGACCTCTACTTACACGAGATTCTCTTTTTCTCTCATTTGGCCGACTTTGTACGAACGCGAGCGAATTCAGCGAACATTTATTTTCGAATTTTAGATTTTCGTATTCCTTGACTTTCTATTTTTTTTGCTTTCTTTCGGCTGCTGTTTGAACATTTGCAGCAGCCTAGTTTTCCAATCATCTCCTTCCACCTGGAGAAATAAACTATGCAGTAATAGCAAGCTCTTCCTGCGCAAATTTTACAGGCAGCCGTAACTTGCCGGCGTCTCGCATGCAGCCGGATTCGACTGCTACGGAGGGCCCCTCCTTAGCTGGCAAGCTGGGACGAAAATGGAGGGCGATGCAGTAGGAAGTTGGCTTCACAAACGAGGAGGGGGAAGCCTGACCAAAAATGAGGTAATATACTTTGACTAATAATCAAACACTACTAGTTTTCTCTTGCGCCCGGTTGCGAAATGAGCTGCGCTGTGCTTTAGAATGGAGAAGGGCGGTGCGTTGGGGACGGTCGCTGGTCCCCGGCAGTCTGGGCTTACCCTTTGTGGACACTTTTGTGAGCAATCGCCGCTGGCGAAGGGACTGGCGACGCCGGCGGACTATGGCAGGGCACCGCAGTCCGCTCGAACCGTTTGGCAGGAGGCCCAGGCGTGCCCGGGCTCGGAAGGCGGCGCCAATCCTCGCCAAGCCTGGCGGGGTGCTACTCAAACTCAAGGCCCCCGGGATGTCCTGGCGCCATGTCGTTGCGTGTGAGTCTCTCAAGACAGGCGCCTCGCCTGTCAAAGGGCTGACTACATGCCTGAGCAAGGAGCACCCCAGGCGCTGCCCCTGCAATACTGGAAGCCACCGCCGAAGAAAAACCTGCAAACGCACCCCATGCTAGGCGCACCGTGAGGGCGCCGGCTTGCTCAGATGTGCCCCCGGCCAAGCTTCTGGGTGGTTGCGGTGCAGACATTGGGCACGCAGGGCGTGCAGGAAGCAAAAGCCGAAAACTTGTGGCCAAGTCTGCAGGGCCACCCTCGCCCCACCGCTCACACACTAGCGACTTGGCCCTTGCTTGTGTGTAGAGGTTGCCCATGTGGGCAGCGCTTCCTTCAGTAAAAAGAAGAACTTGGAGAGTCTTCCCCCGCATGAAAGTACCGCGCTCCCTAAGGATCACGCCAGGCAGCCGGCCGCATGTTATCGCGCTGGTGAAGGCCCAGGCGCAGGCTCGCGGGGCGGGTGAGGCCAAGAAAAAGCGAAGACTTTGGAGGACTGGAGCTGGACCGGCTGCAGCCTTCGGCGCCGTGAGTTCGTGGGCGCGCGGCTGAGTCGTGGGCAGCTCTCACCTGTGAGATGAGCAGACAAACAGAAGAGGGCCACCGGCTGGACAGGGAGAGCATCCTCCTGGACACCCGCAAAGAAAGGCCCGGGCGCTCGAAGCGGCGCCGCCGGGTCTGCTGCCCCCCCGGTGGGTGGAAAGTGGGGCCATGTCGCAGAGGACAAGCGCGTGACCGTCGGCAGGCTGATGCGGACGGGCTTCGCCGTGGGTCAGCTCTGACGAGCCCAGCCGGGGCGGGGGGGATAGCACTCGGCCCCGGCTGTGTGGGCCGAATGGTTGGAAGGACAACGCGAGAAGAATTCGAAAGAGGGCCCCCGTGCTGGTAAAGCAGGAGGTTGGCGGCGTGGGCTCCAGGGTTGAAGGTGGTTCAGTTATGTCATAGACCGGCTGGGCGTGATCGCCGCGCCGCCCGGGCCTGCTTGTTCAGGTGGTGCCCGCGGCCGCCCGCCTGCGTGTGGCGCACCTGCGCAGCTGACTCTGACTGGCTGCCGCTGTTTCGTTTGTCTGCGTGTGTGTGAGTGCACAGAGGCCAAAGGCGTGAGGGGTGAGGGCATGGGGCGGCGCTTCTCTTACCGTCGTCGCTTTCGTATTCGTTTTCAACTCAGTCGGGCGAAAGCCTTGCCGCTTGCTTTACCTTTCTAGTGGGGGCGCCGGCGATGATAGTGAGTCGAACGACCTGTCCGCGCGGTGTGCGTCTTCGGTTCGACGGCGGGCGGTGCTGGCAGACTCTTGAGACCGAAAGGCGCCTGCTCTGTTTTCTGATTGGTGGCTGGGCCGGGAGCAGCTCAGAGCCCAGCAAATGCATCCCCGAAAACTTCCGGATGTACCACGTGCGCTCTGAGAATGCCGCCGAGGTTGGGAAAAGTATTACGCTGCGCGTCCGCAAGTAGTGAGCAAGACTCGAGCTCTATCTTGCGCAGTGCGCGCGACAAGTTCTAACTTGCACTTTGCGGCTATCGAGGTCCGGCCTGCCGAGCTTAATTACAGGGGGAGGGCGACTGGGCCACCCTCTGCGACCAAAGAGACTGACACGTCATCCGTCGAGTTAGGAACTGACCCAGACGCAATCTCTGTGCTGCCAGCACACCCACCGTCTGGAAAAGCCGGCGGAGGTGGAGCAGTTGGGCCACCTGTGGCGAAGGTTGTGCCAGATGTATTCAAACCCTTTACCGAGCTCAATTCTACCAGGCTACCCGCGAAAGTCGTTGCGGAAGCTAGGCTGAGTGTGGCAACACACTCAGAGATCGACTCCCTGCAAACTATTGCTCGCGAGGTCTGTGAAGAGAGCCCAGGGCTTGGCCCACAAAGTCCAGTGCTGTATCATTTGGCGTCAGTGGCGGCGACATCAATGGCGAAGAATGAAAAACACGCTGGAACGCTCGCCAAATTCTCGGGGCGCGGTCCCGCGAATCTTCCCACCGTGTGCCACGCTACGGCGGGGCACATTTCGCCAGAAAAGGTGGACGACACGCAAGAGCGCAGTAGGCTTTTCAGAGCCGTCGAGCGGGGCTTGGCTTACTATGGAGCAGCTCCATATCTTTCGGAAATGCGCAGGGCAGGGAAAGCCCGGCCACAGTACCACGACGGCGAAAAAACGGCCTACGTTAGCGGTGAGATAAGAATGAATGAATCGCGCATGCCGTTCACACCTGCCAGGTTCTTTCCATACGAAGACGCGCCTGCATCCAGCTGGTTTGCCGGGGGAGTCTTCAAGCAAAATAGCAAGGCTGTCGGGATGTGTTCAAGGCCAGAGCTGGGGCTCTTTTTCGGCATCATGGACCCGGGCGATTAGTTTGAGGAGAGACCGACGCCCGCAAGTTCGCGCGCCCGCTATAGCTATGGCAAGAGTGGTGGGAAGGCATGGCGCCAGCGATTGGCGGCCACAAGGCTACAACGCACAGAAAAAGGGGAGGGCGTTCCCCCATGCCAATGCAATGCTTGGGTGGCTGCGGCTGAACTGACTCGAAGGCATGACGTTCGCGCTGCTTAGCTGGCTGCCTTCTCTGCTGAGGTCGAGGCTTGACCCCTGGCAAAGGGCGTGGGGCTGTGTCAATCTCAATGGCTGGCGCAGCAGTGACTGGCGGGGTGCGTTGGTTGTCGTGGCTGGCTTTCATTGTGGAGCTGTGGGCGCGTCTGGTGTTGTGTTGCCAGTCTGTCTCCGTTTCTTGGCGTCATGATCCACAGTGGCGCCAGCGGCCTTTGTTTGATCATTCCCCGCTTTCATTGTCGGGCGCGTCCCTGCGCTCGCTCTTCGTGTTGTGTTTTTTATTAAGTATGTTATGAGTGGGAGAATGAGGGGCGGCATTCGACTGAAGTCATTACATTGCGAGGTGCTTGGTCTCTGCTGGCTCCGCGGATGTCTTCTGACAGCGTCGTCGCCGTCTTTGCCCGTCAGATCTTCGAGAGAACTACAAGCTCCCCCAACAAGAAGATGCAGACTAGCAGGCCTTTCTTTGCTCTTTCCACGTCTTCAATCTTTCCCAGGTCGGGCGAGGGGTGTTGCTCAAACCTAAAGATGACGCCAATTTTTATGAGCAGTATACTTTTGGGGGTACCGGCTACTCGGCTGGTGCCTTTTGCCCTCGACGTCGACGACATAGAAAGAGTTATTGTCAACATGGGCTCGAGCAGCTTAGTTAGTATATCGAAGTTCGAAAACGAAAAGCAAAACTATACATAGATCAAGATCATGCGATTGAAATATATTGATATACAGATACACGAAATAGTACTCAATCATGATGGTTAAGTATTACATACGATTATCTCGAAAAGTACGATTAGATAGTGGAGGTCAAATTGAAGATATCAGCAGCTCACACCAGCATATCATGATTGTATGCTTTCTCAAGTCTCAAACTCAATCTAATAAAGGTCAAGTCTGAGACTAAATCAACAAATATCTCGACTACGAGATGCACGCTTTCTGAATATATTTTGATGGTCGTGTTGGCCTCCTCCAATTCTACAACATGCATAAATAATACAAATCTACCCTCGCAGAAATTCGTGAAGAATTTCATCACCAATACCGAACTGCATTAATATTTTTAAATTTCTGCGAAATATGTGAATGTATCCTCAGAGGTTTCTAGCTGAAAAATTTGTCAAAACCAAGACAAAAACTTACTAATGGTCTTCCATTACAAATAAGGTTTCTCTTTCTCGGGTGTTGCTTAACGTCGTACTCGTAGCTCAACAACATTATGAGAATTACGATTTCATAATTGATGTCGCCAAGAATGTTCAATGATCGTGTTGCAGGTCGTCTAATTTTCGATTTTGGTACCTTAGAGAGTATAGCGTCTCACTCACAAAAACGAAAACCTGCGTATGGATGTCTGCCGAAATGCTATGCGCAGGGTTGCTTCTTCGATCTAGTGTCTTGATTATGCACTTGCGCACGTCTAACCTGGTTACTTACGATCATGAAGAAGTGTCTCCATTTTGACTTTCTAAATTCTATTCTCGGTTATAAAACCCGTCGGGATATTAATACGTGGTCAAAATTAACATAGTTTCCATAGATAACGATGCCTAGGCGACGTCCTTACATATTTACCACTGGATATTATGTGTCTTATTCATCCAGGGCAAGAAAGCGATCGCGTGCCCGTATTGTCGAGGATTTCGTCCGAGTCTTCTTCTTACAAGACCACGCGCTGCAGGCAGACTTTCTTGTCATATGTAGCGCCAGCACGTGCCTGAGTGTGCTGTTCTTGATATTTGAGACGTGAGGACCTCCCGCTGGTCCACCGTGCCATTGTGTAAATATATATGTTTCAAATTTTTCGAATTAAGTCGGGATCAAAGCGACACTGTCGGATCACGATGGTGAATGAACAAGAATAACGACTTCTCTTCATAGCTACAACTGTTGAAGAAATTGATGAACAATTTGAATGCCATGTGTGGCTGTGGCAAAAGACCGGACAGAAGAGCCGTGACGGTGACGAGGACGACGAGGGAGAGAAAAGGCAAACCCAAGCCCAAGAACTACCTTTAACCTTATTAAGTAGCGACCAAAAAGTACACGATGATCCTCATTGAAAGCCGCGTGGCGGTGGCGGAAAGTATTGTGAATGTGAGTCCTCTTCAAGAAGAATGTTTTTTAAATACACTAATATCAATATCATAAAAATCATTCTAGAAGGTGGTAAGCAGTACTAGCAGAAGCACCGCCCTGAAAAGTGGAAAATGTCATGGCATCTTCGTTCGCCTCGAGGTGGTACGTTGTAGCAAACGGAGATGGCAATCTTCATCTACAAATACAGGGCGACTCTGATTTAAAAATAGGGCGACTCCGATTAAAAAATGCCAAGATATTTCCGTGGACTCTCGCTGTTGTACACCCGCCGTTGTGCAGCATGGCTGATTGCTCTTCATACTGGATCAACACTAGGCTTGAGCACGCAAGAGCGAGGAGCGCTGGAGCGAGAGGCGGGCCGCGACTACGAAACATGCCCCTGGGAGAGGGCGAAGGCTGTAGGAGTAGAAGACCGAAAGACTGACGCGGACGCTGAGAATGTAGGTCTACTACGCGAAGTGCTTGGAAGGAATGTTTTTCGATGCGCGTCGTCACTGGGGCGCCAGTTTCTCGAAGATTTTTCTAGCTTTTCATGGGCTAGAGCATTCGATAGCATTGTGGTGTTGCAGAAACAGGAAAGAGTACACGGCGAAGACAGAGGTTTTGCTCTGGTAACGGTGGAGAGCGCGAGACACGTCAAGAGAGAGCTGGAGGAACTGCATTCAAACGATCTCTTATTAAGGCTCAACTTTCAGTGGTCATTGGGGTTGGTCACTGAGATCGAAGAGGCGACCCCTTGAGAGAACAGGGAAAAACGAAGGAAAAGGGGGGAGCCTTGGAGGGGTGTCTTCCGTTCAGAGTCCGTGACCAATGAATGCGGAGCTTTAATCTTAGCAAAGAAAGACAACGCGGAAGCGCGTAGTGTCCTCGCGATGATGCCGGAGGCCACAAAGTCAAAGAATGCCCTGTGTTTGGTAGAGACCCTCGTAGGAAGTAGCGCACTGCCCGAAGCGAAGAGAAGGCTACGTCCACGACCTTACGATGCAAGCGCGTATGATGAAGAAAGTGGGGTTGTGCCTGGAGCTGCAGCACTTCTTGTTGGCAACGACCCTGACAAGAATGAGTCAGAGTCAGCGGAGCCTGACGACCATGAAAAGAGGATTAGGGGAGAGAAGGCAGATTTATTGGGGACTCGAGGCCGACAGTCGGATATTATAGCTTGCGATAGATCTTCATCTTCGGAGGATGTTGGCAGCGAAGATCATGATCCCTACCAATATTTGTTGAGGACCTGTCCTGCAGCAACTGTTATTGCGAGTTATGTCTTTCTCTTTCGGATTTTGTTGGAGCAGATAGTGAGCACGTACGTCCTGGCGACTGACACTGAGCGGTTCGCGGTAGCAGAGCGGCGTCTACAGAGCGCTCTCAGCTGTCACACGAGGTTACGCAGTGAATTTGCGCGAGCAATGGACAGACGAAGTTGGGATCTTATGATTAGTGACATCAATATTCCTCCCTCTAGGGAAACAGATGAAACCGCAGATGAAAGTGAAAATGAAATCGACATCAACATACGTCTACGCAGTGTAGTCATGGCAGAAGAGTATAGTTTGTTCTCGCGGCGTGACCCACACGGAAAAATCGCTGGAGATAAAGGTGCAGAGGGAATGTTGGGTAAAGAATTGGCAGTCAAGAAGTCCATTGATACGCTACTCAGAGCAGCTGCCACGTCGTCGGTAGACGAGTCGAGTGGCGAGTTTCAAAACGCAAGAGAAGCTTTTGGCGCGACAACGACAGCTGCTTTTTTTCAAATTTTACTTCCACCCAACGCTCACGTTCAGGAGCCGACCCCGACCACATCCACTTCCACAAGCTCAGGGAAAATAACAGATGATGAAGGTGAACAAGAGAGGGAAGGTGAAGACCGAGAGGGCACTCAGCTGTTCCATTCCTCTGCGCTGGCGAATGAGCATGTTTTGGTGGGATTGGCAAAATCTCAGATTTTCTTTGGGCAACGACCGGAAAAGCAGATTACACCATTCTTTTTCGCGTTGGAGTCGCTATATCGCACAGTCCGCGACTCCTACAGCGAGCAGACGGAAACTTTTCAGATTAACTTCAGTGGGTACAACCACAACCTACTTGCTCAAAATGAAGGTCAAGCGTCGAAGGTGTTGCCTCCATGCGCGACACTGTGGGCACTGCCCGCAGAGGACAGCAACATGAACATAAAAGGCAAAAGCGAAATGAATACGAGCTCTAGGTCTACTAGCCATGCACACGTCACGCGCGGAGGCAAAGAGACTTATCTTCTGGCAAATAGACGCCTTCTGATTCCTTTTGTCGCAAAAGCCAAGGAGTTATTTGACGATCTGCAAAGTCGTGAACTGCTGTCAACCTGGACTTTGCGTGGTGGATCCTTACTTAGCAGTCTACGCTACGGCGATTGGTGGCATGCTTTTGAGGTAAGGCAACAAGGAGGTCCTCCGAGGGCCCGTGAGGGCTCTTACAGTAGTTATCATAACTCTGCTCAAGAAGCAGAAGGTCAGCTAGTAGTTGACGGTCCTGAGGATCTTCGGCGTGACGAGGGCGTTGTTGGCGATGAAGACGACGAGCAGAATGAAGTCGATGAAGTCCCACAACATCCAACATCTTCTACAAGTAGTGTCGCAGCGACAACGAGCACAACAGTCTATGACATTCCGAACGACAATGCCAAGAACGTTTTCTCACGCGGACCCGATAAGTGGTTTCTGTACGCACAAGGAGTGCACGACCTCGATGTAGCACTACTAGTGGAGGACGATGAGAAGTGGCCACTGGTCATCGAGGAGATCGGCAAGGCGGCTAGATCATGGGGATTCGCGATCTGTGGCTTCTTACGCGGGTATGTTCACTATGAGAAGGCAATGAAGATGCGTCGCAGTTTCTTAATAGCTTGTTTCTTTTTCCTTTTCCTTTAATAGAACAAGAAGAACAAAGTACTTCTACACCTAGAAGACCTAGCTGCAGGTATGCGAGTATACGACAGAGATATGCTGTGAAGATTCAAGATTCTGGGTATATCATCATCATCATCATCATCATCAAGAACAAGGATGCTACTAGAAGCAGTAGAAGCACCCACGGAGATGAAGGCTAGTAGATACATTGATATCGGTGTATGGTTTTGACTCTAAACAAATCACGCTTTTTTCTGCCGAACACAAGAAGTTGAACTTGAGGTGGAGCCACGATGTGGGTTGAGCTTTGAGTTGGATGTTTTACGTGTGTCCGGGTCAGAAATGGTGCGCCTGCTTTTAGGAAATAACAACAATAACTCGGACCACGACCCCGACGGACGATCAAGTGTAAGTGAACAAGACGAAAGCATACCCATAGCTGCGAGAACAGCACCAACAAGCCCAGGTCCTCTACTAGCATCGGTAAATCCGGGCGCAGTCGTTCCATGTGCACTGGGACCGCTGGAGCTTCCTTGCCCGAAGCAGGGGAATGAATTCCTGCACCTCACCCTTGCGCCCTCAAAGTGGTACGAGAATGCCACTGAAAAGCGCCGCCGTGGATTAGCCTGTTTTGCGCTTCCACCTTGGATTGAACAGAGTGAAGCAAGTACGACTTGCGATGCTGAGCCAGGCCTGCAGGCGGATGAAGGAGAAGGAGACAACAATAACTTGGCATTGGCAACAAATCTAACGCACAAGAACAAGAAGAGGCACAACCAAGACGAACAAAAGTGCAGTCATCAAAATCAACAAAATCGTCGAATCATGCCTGAAGTCGTGGAGGAAATTTTTGAGGTATCACTCCAGATCCAGAGTGCTGGGTATGCAAGTGTGGCCGATCTCTTTGGACAGTGTGAAAGTCATCCGATGGTCCACTTGGCAAGACAACTCGCAGATGGCGTGCGTGCTGCGAGCAGGACCAGGTAGGAGAGAAACTGGAGTAGAGTACGACCGAGATCTTGACTATGGGAGCGAGGAGGAGGCAGTCACGGGGTGGGAGGTGATCATCGATCATCGATGTCATCACTGACTTCACGGTAAAGGCCAAACTCGAACGTTGTTGTGGGAGCATGACGAGGGCGCACGTGGATGGCAAGTTGGAGCGAGGGCGTCTAATTGAGTGCGAAGGTCTAGAACTTCATTGCGTGGTCTCGAATTTTAATAAGTCGAGGCTTGTGAATGTTGATTGACTCATACATGCACAGGATTAACCGAGGACTTTTCCCACATGTCTTCAGTAAGACAGGTTATGTGCGTTGCTTCGATGAGAATGAGAATGCTTTTCCGAAGCAGAGGGTCGCCGAGGTCTACATCCGTTGGAGACAAGAAGGTACGCCGATAATCAGAGGGCGATACAGTATACACTTGCGAAGCAAGTACTATGTTGTATCTGTGCCACAACTCATCGTGAGGATGAGATCACTGCGAAGGAGTCGTGATGGAAATGGATGCTCATGCTCTACTCACTGCACTTCATCTCACATACAAAATTGATATTCTTTATCTTTTTTTCCATGTCCATGTCCCGTATGAGCACAGCGCAGACATGAGACGACCGCAGACAATGATCAGGGATAGGGACACATGTAGATGATGAAAACAAGCAGTATAGTGGAAAAGACAAATCTGTAGTCTTAAGTTGGCAATCAATCTTCGAGAAGCCGCAGAACTTCGCATCCAAGTAGACCTCTGACGTGTGTATGGCTGGAGTCATCGAGAAGCTGTAAGCGAGTATTATAGATACGATACTTACTGTAGCCAAAAAAGAAAAAAAAGATACAACAGGTAGGGGCACAAGAGGTTAAAGACGTACTCAGCAGTACCGCTACTATCAAAAAAGGTTGGAAGTTGATATGTGTTAGAATTTAAGCTTGTGATATCTTGAAGGAACGGATAACGAGGATACGGTGCACCACAAGTACGAGTTAGCGCAACAGCATGAACGAGATGAAGAACATGATCTGTACTTTTAAATCATGTCTGCTCTTTAACTTTACTACACGAGCAGGACTACAGGCGTTAAGTCTAGATGTGATGACAATGAAGAATCTTGCCAGCGCACCTGAAAAAGAACAGTTCTACTTTCATCAGACAATCCAACTTTCATCAATTCCTTTCAAGCCGCTGCTCTTGATGCTCTCGGTCTTGCCGCTCTTGAAAAAACTGCCCTCTCCAATACACAGAGTCGCTGATGTAGCTATCAATACTTGGCAACAAGTCCTCCTCCAGCGACCACTTTCGACCTTCTGTAAGCAGTTCGCCCACTTGCGACTCCCGATAAGCGTACACGAAGCACGACTGGAGAGGGGTCGTCCTAGAAGCTTCTGCATCTTCTACTTGGTGACCAACCGTAGCTGTGGCAACCTCCCGTGAAGTTGTCGTGGTTGTTGAAATGGAGTCAGTGTAGTCTGTACTTCTTGTCCTACGGTCCTCTTGTTGAAGTTGAAGTTGATCTTTATGATCTAGATGATCTACTGGCATTCTTCTACTTGCCTCGATAACCCTGAGCAACAGCCGCTCATACTCGTCCTCGTCTTCGAAGTAGTCCAGAAGGGCAAGCTCGTCTGGGCGTAAGTCCTTCAACAACCAGCCGTAGATCTTCTCCTCGTCATTGGTTGATGACATCTTAATCTTGCGATGAGGATGACGATCGCGATCGGGCTCCTCGCTCATGTTTTCGTACATTGTTTTGTAGTTTATGTCCTCCTCCATATTACGATCGGGGATGCAAACACACACTACACTGCTGCTACGAGGCGAAACGACTTCGTCTACTGTTGCGTGCGGTCTCGATCGAAGGTCAAGGTCACTAGTCACTGCCATATTGGGCGATCCTGAGCAGGGCGATGTCGACACCAAAGCCTGTGCGGATTGGCCGCGCAGCGCGTACTGATCTGCTGCCGGTGACGACCCGCGGTCACCTCCTGTGGTGCTACTTGCAGGATATAGAGAACCGAAAGAGGATTGCAACTGGTCGTGCTGCTCGTTCGCACAAGAGTTTACGGTAGCACATAATGAAGTTGAAGATGCCTTAACTTTTGGAGATGGAGTCATGTGATCGACCACATGATCTTTAGGAGCATGAGGAAAACACGAGGAACCTGCGCTCTTGTTGGTTGTACCCTTGGAGCTATGCGATGCGGCCATTTTTCGTGCGGCTATCTGTAGTTTATGACCTGTGCCCTGTTGTACCGCTTTCTGCTGGTGCGAAGAGGGTGTAGCATTTGCATTTCCTTCTTCGTCCTCCATAGCCCGTCGATCTAGGCAACATACAAGACCCAAGTGACTGAATAAAGCTGCAACCCAATCTCCCTTTTTTTGCTGGTGTACTTCGGCAGCCGGATAAGGGACTGGGTGCGTGCTGGAGCACGCAACGGCGAGACTTGAGGTCTGCGAAGCAGAGGCATCGTGGTTTTTACGAGCATTAGGGTCACTGGAGGCACCAAATGGCTCTTCCCTCTTCACCTCCTGGTTCTCCTTCTCGTGACCACTGTAGTAGCTCTTTGTTTCTGCATTTGCTGTACTCGCGGTTGCATCGCCTCCGGCTCTCCTTCCGCTTTTACCAGCATTGCTCCGGAAGAACATGCCACTTTCCCCACTAAGCTTTCGATCTGAAGGGTTGGCAGGCGTCTGCATCGCCGCTGCTATCCCCATGGCGATAGTTGGCGTTTTGAACTTGGTAGAGGCACTGGCACTTGATGTTTTACTAGACGAGGTAGCTCCAAACCACATCATCAAGGATGCGTGAGACTGTGCTTGCTCCACGAAGGCATTCCATGACCAAAATTCATTTGCAGGCTGATGTGGTTTCTCCACTGCTACTTGCTGGTCGTCTGTCTCTGCCCTTTGCCGTGACATCTTCTCTTCTTCTCTAGGCGATGTTGACTCGCATCCAACCTGTGGCTCTCCAAGAAGAACAGTTGCCATCGGGTGACCACTCGCACCAGCGCCACTAGCTTCGTTCGAGGCGCTGACGCGCATCGAAGAAAACGCTCTTTTTAGGTCAGCGTCGCTCTCCTGTTTCTGCGAGTGCGAGTAGATAATGTCGTCTGGACTTGGACTACTCGCGGGCATCTCTTGTCGAGTACGCATGCCGAATTTGGCAACATCTCCTTCTGGAGCGCGCAGTGGGGTTCCAAGAGAATTGATTATAGCTGCCTCCTCTATATTACCTGGCTCACGCTCATTTTCCGCTCCATAACGCACCATTTCAACGTCATGCGTTTCGCCTTGCCTTGTTATGGTAGATGACGACGCGGCTGCGGGTGCCGGCGCGAGAGCACCTCGTCCAGATGAAGAAGGTACAACTAGCACTTTTCCTTCTGGAGCAGGCGGGAGAGTTCCAGACGAAGTTGGTACTGTGGGCGGTTGATGGAGGAGAAAGCAGGAAGAAACATCTTGATGATCAATGGAAGAACTGGTTGTGCTGGGTACCGTGATGCCTGCCGAACTCGTTGCACTGATGTTGAGGCCGTTTCGCCTTTGTGGTTGTGCTGCCGTTCGCTCCGCTGCTCTTGTCCTTTCTGCAAGTTCTTAGACGAGAGATGCTCAGGGTCTAGTGGTCAGTCCTCGTCATGTTCTGGTGAAGGACAAAAAGTAGATGAAAATGAATCAAAATCAATAGCCGAAGCCTATAATTGATTTTAATTATCATCTTTATCTACTTTTTGTGGAGGTGGACATCGAAGTGGTATAATTGTTCAAGTTCATCAGGCCAACTGACGCTGACTTCAATTTCGCACTCAATGCTTTGAAAACCAAAGAAAACTCTGCTGCGGTGCAGTTGCCATAGTCAATTGTTCTATTTCTGCCCTGCAATGCGGCTCCAGCCGAGCGTCGCTCCATGTTCTCCTTCCAAAGTCCTGTCGCTAGTTGCGCCAGGGGTGAAGCTCTCATCGCTGTGTGCGGCTGCGTTGAGGCAGCTCCAGCGACGTCCTTTGTGTGCGTAGAATGAGTCTGCCCTCCTCCTGCTGTAAGTGCCTGCGCGCTCTTGGAAAGCCTTCGCTGCTCACTTGATGTTTGGCGGTCCTCTTCCTCAGCTGTTTCAGCTTCGTGAAGATTAGAAGACGCACCCAGAAAAATTCCAGGTAATGACGCGCTGGAACCAAGAAAGCGACTTCGCCGCCCCTCTTTCTCTCCCAAGAATCCCAAACTTGTTTCGTCTGCTAGTCGTACTATCCCAGGAGTCGCGTCTCCATCTTCTTCTCTGCTTTTGCTCTTCAGTGGAAATTGAAGACCTCTTGAAACTGAAACCGGAGGTGGACGAGAAACCCCGTCGTCCTCGTCGTCTCCCTTCTTGTACTCGTCCTCCACTTGTTGGAGCTCGTCGTCGTCCTTGACAACGCTTGACGTGAGGACGTCATCAGCACCACCATGTAGTTCTTTATCCTGTAGTTGTTCTTGCGGCGCAGCTGTATCATGATCTCCAAGAGCCCCGACTTGTACTTCATCTTCGTCTTCATGTACTTTAACTTTTTCATCATTTCGTACTCCTGGACGTCCCGCGGAAGAAGTAGTCCTGTTCTCGATCACCTCGTGTGATGCACGACCGACCAGCCGCATTGCACCAGGATAAGGCATACCCTTAACCCGAAACGGACCTCTGAATCCGATTACGAAAGCCCGCTGCTTCACGGGGATACGACCCAATAATGCGGAAAGGACCCTTTCATCCTGTAAAGTACCGTACACAAAGACGTTAAACAACTCCTCCTGTGTTGGTGGCCGCCTCCCCGCGTGATCGTAGTCTTGGTTCCACTCTTTAGCCACAGCAGAAGCTATGTTGGGCCTGAAGGCAGCTTTTCTTGAGGAGTTCGTGGTAGGCTCCTGTTCGGGTTGTATGTCCACAGGAGAAACTACATTCATCGAAGTTCTTGTACATTCAGGGACAGCGTTAGCCACCTCAGGTAGATGAGATAGACGCTGTAGGGCTCCTCTGGTGGTTGGAGGAATCCGAAGTCTGCTTGCGCCATGATCCACCTCCATTCCTATGTCACCTCCACAGTCGTTGTAAATGAGTCGAGGGCTGCGCGAGCGTGAACGCGAGCGTGAACGCGACGTGCTTTCATGAAGATGCTCGGTTGCGGCGTTGTTCTTCCTTGTGTTGATGTCCTCCTGGGTGTGGCTGTGGGTGCCCTCCTGAAGGCCATTCTTTTTCCATCTAGTCCTCTCCTGCATAGGAGCAGCCCGTGGAGCCAACGGAAACGAGTCAACATCTGGATCATCAGTCCGTTGCTCTTCCAGCAAAGTCGACGAATGTTTAGGACCGCCACTAGAAGTTGCCGGACTTCTCGACGGACCACCAGAGGGAACCATTGTCGGCTCACTAGAGCGCCCGCGGGAACCAGGAGAAAGTCTTGGGGTCAGCCTCTCCTGCTCGTCTTCTGATGTTGAGCAGTTGCACACGTCCTTGACATCATTCCTCTCAAAATCTTCATCCTGCGGCATGTGGTCCTGTGTTTGGTTGCTGGGGGCCGCAAAGGATCCTGTCAGCGCCAGGGCAGGGGCAAGGGCAGGAAGTCCTGGTCTAAGATTACGAAGCGACTGAGGTTGAAGATCCGGTTCGATCACGAGAGGACCGCTGCCACCCGCGATGAAGTCGTCGTCTGCCATTTCGCCACGACTCGCTGGAGTAGCGCGGGCAGATGACCCGGAGAGTAGAGACCCCGCACCACTGATAGACGTCACAGATAGGACACTTTGCGGCACATGATCAGGAGAAACTGCGGCGCCCGCTTGAGCCTGCTGATGGAGACTCTCAAACGACATCTGATCATAGACACCTGGTCCTGGAGTACCACAATCAACATGATTGACAAGGCTGCTTGTGCGACTCACGTCACGCTCACCCGCAGCCGAATGATCAAAACCAGCAGTATCTTCATCTTCGTGTTGTTGTTCGTGGTCGCCTGCTGTAGCACAATGACTGGAGTAGAGGGTCGTGAAGTGCGGGGCTGCACCATGATCAGTTCTTGCATCTCTCTCAGGAGAGGGCACTGCTGCATCAAGAACACTTCGTGCACCACCGAGCGCTGGTTCCTCAGAGACGAACTCGGCTGACGCACTCTCTTCGTTCGAAGCACCACCGGTGTAACCGTGATCAATATCTGAGGGCTCGTCGTTATCAAGAGTCGCTTTTGCCTGACGTAGAAGATGCTCATCCTCATCGTCTTCCTGCTGAAGAATGCTGTGCCGTCCGTCCCCGTCCCCGTCCCGGTCCTTCATTGGTGTTGAGGATGCCCGCTTACCGTCCAGAAGAATTAGGGCATCAAACAGGATGAAGACCGGAAATACAAGGAATCGCAAACTCCTCGCAGTAGTTGTCATTTTTTGGCTCGTTGCTGTTAATGCTGCCATTTTGCTCGTGGGTCCAGTAGTCCGACCCAGAAAATGAATGTGGTTGCGGTCGTTTGAGCGTGTCTCGAGACCTGCATAGGAACAAGAGCTCCTTGCCGTTCAGAGTCTGCCGGTCCGGCAAAAGGAGCTACGCGCTACGCATATTACGACGTCCATCTCCATATCCATGTGCAATAGTCAGCTCCAGGATTTTTCGTCTACACACTCACGTCTTACTTTGCTAAAGCTTACGCATACGACGTGCGAGTTGTACTAGCACTTGAAGATACAACTAACTTTTCCTCTAATGATTGGGATCCGGATCGTCCTACTCCTACCTGAACCTGGGAGAGGAGTCTTGCTAGGAGTATTTTATGCGTGGACGCAGTGGTCATTCTTGTTCTACTTACCTACTTCGTGTTCTTTCTCAATACATAGGATTCCTATTCAATGACAATGCTAATACTCATCGTGATGCATTCCCCTGCGCCTGCGGCATCTTCACTCACACACTCATATTTTGCGCCTGCTCTGGCTGCCTCCTTGTCGTTGCAGGTGCATGGTTGGACAGATGTCTTCATGAACTTCACATGACCGTGAGTTTTAACACTCAATGAGACTTTCTTATTTGGTAAAAAACGTAAACGTACTAAAAAAACCGAATTCAAGTAAAAAGTAAAAGATGTTAGTATCACAATTCCTTTTCCTTTTGATAACCCAACCGCCATCATGATTTAGATACGGATGATGGTCCAGTTAACGTTGTGTCAATCTTCTCGTAAGAACTTGTCAATAATTTTGTGTCAGGACGATCCATGGATCAACAATTCTTGTCATGAAGAAGATCGCTCCGTGCCAGTGGGTCGACAACGACACGTTTCTCAGTCATGTAGTACAAACAAAAGAGAAGTGCAACTTGCTACAACCACTTACTTTCCTTACTGCAACACCGCAAAGCCATGTAGCACAAAACTCCACTTGTTGTAAGCAGCAGTGATGGCGATTCGAAGAAGGCAGAAAAGATTCCTCCATCATCTGTTGCCGCCTGTACGCCTCCTACTCCTCCCTCCGTTGCCTGCACACCTCCTAGCTTCAAGGATGCAGAATCACTAGGAGTAGAAGACGCCAACCCCAATGCGCTAGCTGCGGCCCCTGTCGTTAACGCAATACGCGCGTAAGTTAGTACTTGGTACGATAAAGGACTAGTGCCTGCGATGACGGCGAATGTCGACCATTGTGTCGCTACTGCTGCTAGCGCTGAGGCCAGTATTGCACTCAGCATTGAAGTCGTAAGCCACTCTGGCGGGTTGTAGAGCAAATACCATTTGGTCGACGACGCACTTGTGCTGGCCGATGAAGGTGTTTTCGATGAGTTGATCACCTTGTCCTTACTCAAGATGCTCGTTTCTGAGACCTGTTTGTCCTCTGATGTTCCGAGAGCTATATGCGGATGTTCTGTAATGGAATCTTCTTCTTCGGTCGACAATCTCCGAAGCTTTCCTGTCTCCACTGGAGCGTCTTCTTGGTCTACTTTTTCCTGACCTCCGTGCTCCACATCCACTTGTTCCATCTTCTGCTTTATTTCATCCTCCTCCCTGTCCATCTGCTTCTCCACCACCTTGCTCTCCTGCTCTTTCTTCTCGTCATGATCCCCGTCGCGACCTGTAACTTTGTCGCCCGCAGTTGTATCCTCTAGCCTTCTACGTCGTGGTGGGGATGGAGGAGGCATTTCGTCCGCAGTTGTAACCTCTTCTAGCCTTCTACGTCGTGGTGGGGATGGTGGAGACATTTTCTGCTTATCTGCATCGCTTCCGATGACAGATTGCCAGCCTTGCTGGAAACTACTGCGCCAACGAGTGGCTGCTTGCCCTGATTCGTCATAGAGTTCGTTCACCAGCTGCTTTGCGGTCGCATACTTCTGCGCACTGTAGTCTGTGACTCCAACCCAGTAGTCGGCGCTCCGGTCACGTACCTTACCAAGATACTCTTTCGATTTCTGGTACGTCTGGCACAATGAAAGATAGAAGCGGGAACAAGATGCTCACGCGTTTTTTGAATGTTCCAGAATAAATGGGTCAACAAACTTTCTTCTTTTATACATTACTTGAGAAGTTCTTCCACTTCCAATACCAAATCATCTAGTATTCCAAGACCTCCAACTTGTTGAGATGGACCTTGAAAACAATGTGGTCTGAAGAGTAAAATTAAGTGAAGTCGTCTTCCTCTCCTATGCATAACTGCCATTCCTCTGAAGATCGAGGTATCTGAGCCTTGACCGTTTCGTATTGTCGTTTTGTTGCCGTGTAGATTTCGTCGGTGGTGTGATGCGTTGCGAGCCAGCCTGCTTGTGGCATGATATCGGATTCCGACAGTGGCCACAGCACAAGCAACATCCAGAAGCTGACTCGTGAACTATTCTGCACAAGCTGCGCAGGTGTAGCTTTTGCGCTCTGCCGCGGTCGTTGCACGGCCCGCCACACCCAAACCTGCTGTAGTGCTGCTAAGAGCGTGCTACTTGCGCCTAGCAACGGCCCGAGCAATACCGGATGTTGCGATGCGGCGCCTAGTTCGGCAACGACGGTCGGATCCGATCTCGAGGCCAATGTCGGCTGTGCTACAACGGACGAAGAAGGCACAACTCCATGATCTGCAGTTTCAGAGTGTTGATCTTTACCATCGCGACCTCTACTTGAGGATGTTGTACTGGAAGATGCAGATGTAGTCGTGCCTCCCAGCAAAGCCATTTTTAGCTCGTCCACGTTCTCTGCGCGTAGAAAGGATCCTACTGCGGCAGGTGCATTTGGCGAAAGCGACATACCGTGCCCGATGCAGATCAACGCAAGTGCCATGCATTCCCATCTAGAGGCAGGCCAAAGTTTTGGCTGCTGTTGATGTGAAGATTTGCTGTTTTCCCCCATACAACTCTGGTGCGCGTCTCTCCTAGTCCTTGCACTTCTTGGGGATCGAGGGCTTGTGGATGCGGCCGTGTCTCCACTTGGATGAACAGTGTCTCCACTTGGATGAACCACGTCATCGAGATTCACGTCATGATCTTCATCCATATCGATATCCCCACCTGCCGAAACCTGTTCGTAGCGTTGTTTTTCTTTGCCAAAAAACATTGAGAGAGGCCATCTTGTTCTATAGTTGTAGTACGTAGAAGATGAAGTAGCGCCAGCGGATGCCTTCGGACTGTTGTTCTTTGGCGAAGAAGAGCGATCCCGCCTTGATGGGCGGCTTTGGTCGTTCTGTCCCTTGGTGGGAGAACTACCATCTGATTTCATCAGGCCCATCTCAATATCGACGCTTTTCGTCTTGCGAGTCGTCGTTGCTCGCCCACTAGCTGGTGTGGTGGATCCACCACCCTCTTCAGCTCCAGAGCCTTCACTTGCGTCCTCATCTCCAGATCTGCTGTCCTCGCTTCCAGCCTGTTCGTAATCCATTTCTGTGGTATGAACGAAGATCTAGAGATGTTTCTTCTATCTATGGAGAAATTTTTGCTTGCCAGCACAAACATTCTTGGGACATCCAACGTTCTTGGGACATCAACCAACCTCTTCGCAGTCAGACTTCTCAGAGAATTTCGAAAGGTTTTCGTTTTGAAGCTCTTCTTTTCATTGTAATTCAAGAAACAGAAAGCATAATCTTCATCCTCGACTTTCTCCTTCTTCATTCTGTTACGCCGTTGTGCTCCGCGGGAATACTTCCGCAGCTCGCGCTGACCAGAAGCGTGAAGTTTATCGGCTGTCCGGCGACCGCAGCAGCATGTTGCAACGCGCCAGAGACATGCAAGCAGGCAATGTGCCAAGCGAAAGCCCAATAGTGCTGGCAGCGTCACCGTGTAGAACGCGCAGCAACCCACAGTGTACACGCAAATTAGAGCCCGCCTTCAGTCACTGCGCGTAGCCTCGTCAGAGTCCAAGAAGAAAACTGAGGCCAGTGGCAGTACTCCGCAGAGATGAGTTATCATGAGCCTTAAGGAAAGGATCAATCCGCAGACTGTGCCCACAGCAAGATCTATCGTTCCAGGTATCACTACGTACGCGAAATACAGTCCAGAACGAGAGAGACACGAGTAAGCGGCAAGCGGGTTTTGAACATTCATCTTCGCACTATTCTTGTTCACATGATGGGGTCCATGCTGACCATGAAGATGCCTGTTCTTCGACCTCGTGCATTCCTCTACATCTACTTCCTCTCCGTCTTCATTTCTTTCATATTCATCTGCTCCATGATCTGCGCTTTTTTCAATTATGACAATGTCTATGTCACTGTCCTCATCCTCTACTAGAACAGAATCCAGCTCCTCATCGTTCGCATTTTGGATCACATCCGCGCTTCGGCACTCGAGGTACACGTCCCTCCAAATGAGCGAAACATGCGAAGGATATTACGAAGCACTAGTACTCTAAAAAAATGTAGTTGTACGATTTTTTGTTGGCGAATCAGAAACTAAATAGGAGCTTAACCAAATAAGCCCTTACTTACTCTTACCCTCAACACGAACCCCTACTAGAGCTCCTGTAGTATAGTTTTGATCAACTCAGAGACAGAGTCAGAATGATCAGATCTTCTATCCGACGTAGTATTATAACGAGGATAGTAGTCCTTGGCTTCTTTTCATACTGTGATAAAAAACTGCCTGCAGAAAGATCGTCAGCGGCGTCACCAGGAGCCCGCAGAGCTGATCCACTAGAAAGTGATTCAAGGCTAAAGAACTGAGCCGGACTGGCACCGAAACCGCTTGTACGAGGCTGAAGAGGAAGATTTCTTGCAAGGGCAAATGCTTCGGCGCATGTTGCGGCAAAAGTCGCTCGATGAACGACCCTCCGCCGCCTGACGCCGATTTAGAGTTCGAAGGTGAAGAGAACCGTCGCCCACAAGAACAGCAGCATAGAATACTCCAACAACAAGAGCAGCACCATGAGAACCAAGAAGTTTGTGTTCCTGGTGCTTGGCGAGTCGTGGTTCTGCGCGACGGACTTCTAGATGAACTCCCACCAGTGTTTTCCCCACCACTTCCATAAGGAATGGAGAAGAGGACCCATGACGCTGCAAAATGGACCAAGCCCAGCGTGATCTGCCAATGGAAACCGGTTTCCTGTTTTATCTTGTTGTAATCGTCTTAGTATGGGTATGGAATCGATGAACATGGACCATCTCAGATGGTCGTGATGGACTAAAATAAAATCGTTGTATTCGCTTAAGCGTTCATTATATAGAAACAAGGATCTTGCACCTCTTACTCTCGATCTTGGATTTTGGAAGAGTGCTTTTACTTGTTCTACATGATGTGTACTTTTGTAGAGATGACATACCGAGTAGAGATGACATACCTCCACGCTGGTGAGGGCTTTCGCAAGCAGGAGCGATGCGCCGCAGTTGAGCAAGGCGTTGCGCGAAACAGAAAAGACGAAGACACCCATTTTTTATTGATCGATGTGGGCTTCATTAAACCGTCTCCTCGTCTAGGTGTAAGAGACAGCAGGCGTAGGCGTAGGTAATAGTAAAGCCTTCAGAGATTTTGATGTTTCTGTTGCGTTCGCTGCACCAGCAACATTCCGCTCCTCATGCTTCCTCTCTTTCCCTCTCACAAAACACTTTTGAGCCCACTAATGCTCCGCTGACCCACGCTTCCTGGGTTTGGGACCGAGACAAATGGAAATGGATCTATCTCAGCAAAATGAAAGCTAGCTCCTGCTACAATACCAATAGAATAGTTCTTAGTGACGTACATTTTTGCCTTCAACAAAATGATTTCGCATAGATTGCTGCGCATTTTTCATCGCAAATCATGAGAGCGTTATTTATCCAAAATTTTCGGGTACACATTATTGTACCGCAACGGCGACCACTCTCTACAGTACATTCTGATAAATATAATAATAAAGCTAAGTAAATGCTCCTTCTTAAATACTACGTGCGGAGCCATGATAAGGTCACTCCTCGATGAATATGATGAAGCTTACGTTTTCTGATCACTTGGTAAGAAAGTAGTTTAGGAGCTGGCCTGACCACTTATTCTGTATCTGTGTTGTACCTACTTTTTCGATTTTGATACTGTGGTAAATTTTCATCGTCCTGTAAATGTAAATGGTATGCAAATCTTTACAATTTTATCATTTTTTGAGATACATCGACCTGATTCTGAATGTTATTTATGTCAATGTCTATGTTCTTTTTGCTAACATCAATTTGTTCTTGCAGCTAATGTATCACTATCAAGTTTAAACAGTCGGAATTATAGCTTAATTTCAACAAACTGATCACACATTTTTCTCATATACCTTGAACTGCCTGGAGGTTTTGCTCACGGCAACATAGGTATTCATCTTGTGGTACTACTGCTCGAAAATACAAATCGGACACGGACGACTAATCCTAGTTGTTGTACGCGAATGTTTTATTCTCTTTTTATCATGCTGCTAGTCGGTTCTGATGGTCTTTTTTCGCTAGTATGCATGCCTGCTATCTAATTCCCTAGTTACCATATTGAATTTCGAATTATAGCTCTTTTCTTTGAAGTATGTCTATCTTTATGCTTTTTTGAGAACATTTCTTAGGGTTATGATTGTTGAGATTGGTATACACTATGCTTTTTTATGGTATTGGTATGAGAGAGTATGTCTATGTTTCAGTTTCTATGCATAAGAATAATTATCATTGCTCGTACTCGCAGGATAACGAACGACAACCACAATGTAAATCTTATTTATATATACAATTATAGATACTCTGACCTCATCTTCAGAATTAGTCTTCAGGTTCAGAATCAGAGAATCGTTGTCGACGCTAAAAGAGGATCCGTGTCGCCGATACTTTTAGATACAGCTGCCGACCGCGTTTCAGGGTACCACAGGAAAGGCGCTTTCGCCTGCAGCTCGTGTGCCTCAATATCGGTATTGTCTTCTTCATCCTGTTCCTCCGCTTCGGAGGCTTCTTGACCAACGTTAAGGGCGTACCGTTCATCTTCTTCCTCCGCTTCGGGGGCTTCTTGACCAACGTTAACGATGTACCGTTCATCACATTTCATGTCCTCGTCCGTAAATTCTTCGTCCTCGTCTTCTTCGCCAGTCAAATCTTCAAAGGAATCCTCCTGATCATTCCTACTCCCTGTCATTTGAAACAGCGATGCGTTCTGCAGTGCCTGTCGGGAACTGCGGATTTTGGCTCTCAATATGTCTTCGAAAGCATCCTCGATTTCTGAGTTGTCCGCTGTAGTTTCCGGAAAAAACATCTGCGGATTCGCGGTTGGCCTCGACGCAGATTTGTGCAAATTCAACTTTGCTTTAGCCTTAGTTTTCGGAGCAGCATGGTCGTGTGGTTTAGAGAAGATCAAATGAGTGGGTGCAGTGCTGGAGTAGTCCTCTTTCAGGCTGGAGTTTCTCACTACCTAAAAGTAAAACATCACTTACTTCAAGGTAGATAAACTGAAATTGAGCCACTGAAATGAATGGTGTGGGCGAAAAGAGTTGTAAAGCGTTTCAAACAAGTAGAGCAACCTCATCAAAGCCATCGAGTACTTGGAATGTGACCATGACGACCTTGGACGCCACACCAGCAGAACTAGCCCAAGGTCGTTATGGTCACAAAGTAAGAGCTGCTACTGATACTCTGGCCCTGGTCTCCGCTTCGCTCTGTGTGGCCTTACTTTCTGTGTACTCTGTGAAATGAGAGCTACATCTCTTGCTTGGCTCACACTAACCGGCGCAGTATCCACCTTGATGATATAAAGTACTAACCACTGAGGCTTTAGTGATGATAAGAAGCTCTTATGATATGTGACCATAACGACCTTGGACGCCACACCAGCAGAACTACTAGAGCTAGACGCAGCTGCCTTTTTCGCGACAATCGTCGTTGTAGTTGTGCTCCTGGCCTTTGCTTTCTGCGGGGTCGTTCCTACTTTAGGATGTGCACTTGACCCTGCATAGATCACTTTCCCTGGCGTTCCTACTTTCGGCGAAGACGAACTTCCCGTCTTGTTCCCATCCTTACTGTGAAGGGCTTTGGCACTTTTCGATACGACACTCTTTTTTGGAGCAGAGGATGAAGAGGCTGTAGTCGTACCAGTTTTTGCCTTCTTGACAACTTTTTTCCCATGTTCTTTATCGGACGTATCCATTGATTTCCCCTTCTTCACACTACTGCTTGGTTTGGCAGCAATGCCATCCGTATGAGCAGCTGCCTTAGTTGCTGCAGGAACGCCTTCTGTCGCTGAAGGGGTCTGCTCCTCTTCAGGATGCTGCATGTCTTCATGATGTTCCTCCTCATGATGTTGCTCTTCCTCGTCAGGATGCTCATGCTCCTCTTGGTCATGGTGCTCTACTTCCTCTTCATGATGATCATCATCAGATTCGCTTTCTGTGCCTGCCAGGGCCGCTTCAGCCAGAGCATTTGCAGCCTCGTCCGAGAGGTCAAGATGCTCGAGCAGAAGGGCTTCTCGCTCAGCCACCTCATGTTCCGTGGCGCCTGCGTCACGTGCTGCGTCCAGCAATCGGGCAACCACCGTCAGTTTCTGGTCTACGGTTAGCTCCGATCCCGACAGTGTCGCCACAAATCGTTGCATCTTCTCGTCGTCCATCAACACCGGGTTCTCTGTCATCGGCCGCTTACGCTCTGTGACGGTGTCAGTGTTCTTAACGACCTCATGCTCAATATCGTGCGTATCCGCATCATGATCGTGCTCCTCATGTGGGGTCAACGCGACTACCTCATCAGGGTCCTGACTGAACGTGACTGTACTAGCGACTGAAGTTTCAGCACCAGTTACTTTACCCGGCGCCGCTGCTTGTTCTGAGGTTATTCTAGGTTCCTCTGCACTGGGCGGATGTCCACCCGCGTATCCACCATTTATTGCATCGGTATTGGCCTGCGTGGTCTCGCTAACAGCTGAGCCTCCTGCTGGAATGGCGTCAGTTGCACTCCCAGAAGATAGGTCAGACGGAGTGACATCAGCTACTGTCCTACTCGGTTCAAAGGCTCCAGTAAGATTAGACATAGACTCATCCTCTTGCATAGTTGATCTTAACTTTGACTTTGAGCTGTCCCTACTATAATCCCTAGTACGTCGCCCACGTCTTTCCTCCTATTCGTATTCCTTTCTCAAACTAATATTCACTTCCTGCTGCAGCCACCACTTACATCATGTTGTTTCAGGATCAGGAATAAAGATGATCTCAGAGTATCATGGAGCCACATTTCTAGCCTTAACACTAGGCGGCGGGATCGTGGACCGCGAAGGGAGGACTACGAGTCTCTGACCAAGGTGCTCGAGCATTTGCTCGAGTTGTTCTAGGGAGTCTGCACCGTCATCTTCATCTCCTGAGTCATCTTCTTCTTAGATTTTCCCGGAATCTTCTATCTTCTCTAGAAGAGTTGTATCATCTCTTGACACGCACCAGTCTGTTTTCCCTTACAAGCAAGTGCCCCAGGATGCTTGTGCTTCTGAAGATGGATTCCCGGAAGCCTTAACCTTCACTCACATTGTCATCGTATAATCCACCTGCTCCAAGATCGGCGAAGATAGCAGACATTTGCTCATCGCCGTCCTCCACGTCCTCCTCGTGGGCGGTACTTGTTATTTTGTCGCGGAGATTCGAGAGTTTGTCAAACAGGTTGGTAAGCTGTTCATCCAACGTGCTTGACGGGTCCCGCCTTGTAAATGCGCTGACTCGCCTCGTGAGTCTCGTAATGCGCTTACTCACCTTTCTCGACACTGCGCGCTTCGGTGGAGTAACACTAACAGATGTGGTGGAGGCAACTAGAAGAACGGATTGTTTTTTAGATGAGGTGTCGTTGTTCTTAATCTCCAAGTTGTTGGATTCGATCTCCAACAAGTTCTTCGACTCGTGGGGCCCAAGCAGTGATTGTGGCGTAGAGGCTTCGACCGACAACGGTGCACTGGCGGCCGCTGCCTCCGCCTCGGGCTCAGGTACTTTCCGAGTACTAGGCCTACTTGCGCTAGAAATCTTCATTGCTGCTAATTTTGCTGCTGCGGCTGCCGTCGGGCTTGGTGGTCCTGCTGCTGGTGAGGACGACGCTCTCGTCACAGGACTGTAGTAATGCATGTCGTGGCCCTGGACACTACTTTCGAACGCGCCGACCTGACCCCCTGGCTGTTTGAAAGGCATCATCGCGAAGACACTTCTTGTGATATTAGATTTAGAGCGCACCCTAATCCATCTCGAGATGATCCATCCGAGAAGCGTAGAAGCGTTTTCTTCGTGAAAAACAGACTGACCCTTCAGAATGTCTGCTTTCAAAAAGATTAAGATGGATTAGAGGATAAAACCATAATTGTGCCTCTTGCCGCTGTTTGAAATGCACTAGATCCCATGGAGGTGGTCAGCCTGTGCTGTTGAAACGCTATCTCAGGTGGTTTCCAGTTACTGGTGTCGTAGCCATACCTTCGCGCAGCCGCAGCCGACGCATTCGATGCCGCAGACGCGTTCGAGGCGAGGCTTAACTTCATCGCAGCCGACGCACTCGACGCCGCAGACGCGTTCGAGGCGAGGCTTAACTTCATCGGAGCGGAAGTCTCCCTCTCCAGGTCGTCGGCGTCCGAAGCACTAGAGTCGTCGACTTTGCGAGTCGTGGGGACCGTGGGCACTCTCGTCGAGTCCTCTCGCGCTGATACGTAAATAGGCTCGACCACTGAGGCCAACATTCTTGACTCCGCGTTACAAGGGTAGTCGGCACTCGAATCACTAATGTCGATGTCCTCTTGCCCCAAAGACGCGAACGAAACAGCTGTTGGGTTGGCTCGTCTGGAGCCGTCTGGAGTTGGATCATCGCTGCTTCCGATAGCTCCCAGGGGACCGCCCTCTTCGTCCTTGTTCTTGCTAGACTTGATTGACTTTGCCGATAATTCTTCGTCTGCCTGCTCTGGGTCTGGTGCTTCTCCATCTCGTCCCATGTTGTCCTTGAAGAAGTTGTTCAAATTGTCGAGACGCGTGTCGAAGTCGTTCATAGTTTTTCGCATGGCCTTATCCAATCTCTGATGCGGGGCCATCATTACCTCTTCCTCATCCATCGGATGCTCTCCGTCCTGACTCAATGGCTTGCTCGTGAGACGCTCGAGCAGCATCTGTGAATCTCGCTGCAAGCGTTGCTCCGCTTGTAGCAGCATGCTTTTCGCTTGATCTAAGCGTGCTTGGAGAGAGACTCCTGGCGCGAATTGCTTCTGCGTCGTTGAGGAAGCACTTGTTGCGGTAGTGCCACCTTGCATTTTGCTGCTGCTCGCGTCTGCTGTTCCTGTTCCTCCCCTTCCCGTTGTTGAAGTCTCTTCACTATTAAAAACTATACCACCGGATGTAGTTGAAGTTGAGGTATGAAAATGAAAAACTTCGCTCGCTCGTCGCGCCATGGCCTCGTGATGAATGGTTTCTAGTTGTTGCGACAGTCTCTGACGCTGGGTCTCCTGTGCCGCGACCTCTTCTTCGAGTTTTACCCGCTTTGACTCGAGTTCTTCTAATTCCGCAGCTCGCGCGTCGCGCTCCTTCTGCAGACGCGTTCGCTCCACTACCTGCGAAGTCCGCTTCTCCTGCAACTGAGACATCCGTTCCTGGTCTGCAGTCAACGCCGCCTCATGTTCCGCGGCTGCTAACTCCTTGCGCAGCTGCAGCACTTCCGTAGTCAGGCTTTTGCATTGGGCACGCTGCGTGGCAAGCTCCGAATGCAGGATCTTCACCTGGTCCTCCATGAAGCCGTGAAAAGAGGTGCCATCCTGCCGCAGAGTCTCGAAAAAATTAGAGATATTATACAAAGGAAAAAAAATCATACCTCCAAAAAGCTGATGGCAGAAAAGCGAAAGGGAGCATCAATATCGATTTTCAAGTGAGCAGAACAAAAAAAGCGAAATCAACAAACATCTTTTAGGCATCATTCACTTGTTGTACTAAAAAACCATGCCGATAATTTGTTCTTCAGAGTGAGGTCATTTTCGGTGATGTAGTCCATGAACAACTTCAACTTATTTAAGCAGCACAACTACAACTACGAAAACGAAGACCACGAACAATGTATTTAATCGTTCTTTAGCGGACCTTCATAAGTGTATCTTCCAGCACACGTACTCGCGAATCCATTTTCCGGCGGAGTTCCTCACCGCTTGTCGCTACTGCCTTGATTTTCGCTTCTGCGTGCTTGAGAGCCTCCTTTTCCTCCTTTCTATCTGCCTCACAGCGCTCTAGTTCATTCCGCGTAAGCTCCAACAATTTCTTCAGATCTTCGACGCGGAAATCATTCTTCACTATATCTTCAGCCCTGGCTCTTTTCTCCTGTTCAGCTTTCATCTTGTGGTCAGCATCTGTTAAAATCGCAGCTTGACTCTTGCCGTCTACTGCTTCTGGACGCGGCTTTTCCATTTCCTCGGTTTCAAGCGCACTGATCAAATGCTCACGTAAGAACGCACATCTGCCACGGAGAATGTAAAGGCGATTTCGACGATCAGTGAAATGCCTTGTCTTTGCTTTTTCGTCTGAGGCAGAGCCTTGATACGCGCCAGTGCACTCGCGATACAGGGCCCACAGCTTCTCCTTTTCGATCATGTAGAACTGCATCAAAACCTGTATTTTTCGAAGATGAAGTGCAACCTCTTATCTCTTCAGAACCAGGCGAATGGATTATAGACAATGATACTCTTCTACGAGTACTGTTTATTGTCATATTTATCCTATGAAGGGATGAAGTCGAAAGATAGTGACTAGTGAGATACTTCGTAATGATGTTTTGCGATAACGTTCTTCATTTCCGTCCGCAAATTGATCTTCACGCGGCCAACCTCAGTCTTTAGATTTCGCTGAAACTTCTCCTCTATTTCGGCTGCACGTCTGGCCACGTCACTATCTGCTTGGTCCCTATACTCTGCTTGACACTGCTGAAGCTCTGCTGCGTGCTCCTTCTTTAGTTGAGCTACCTGGTGGAGGTGGTGTGGAAAGACTGAGAGAGTGAGAGAACAAGCTGTGTATATGTATTCACGTTCAGCAAGACGCAATATGAAGAAAATCAAGATTCCTTTTACCAACAACCTGGAGTCGTGGTCAGCGGCTTGATCAGTGGCCGTAATATGCGAGTGAAAGAAGTAACGCAAATATGAAACGAAAAAGTGCACTCACACTCAAGAATTTGGGTAGGATTTAAGTAGGAAAATAGCCAATCTTTTTGAGTGTGAGTGCACTTTTTTCTTTCATAGCAAAGTCCGAGTACCTGTTTATCCAATTTTTTCCATCGTCTTTCAAATTCGGTCTTGGTGTGCTCCAGCAGCCTGCATTTGTCTTGCAATTTCGGCATTTCTTCGTTCACTTTCGCTTTCTCAGCCTTGAGGGACTTTCTGAGAGCTGCGACTTGCTTTTGCAGCTGCCGATAGACCGGCTTGTCCGTTGCTTCGTCCAATCGGGAATAGAGATTTCTGTGATCTTTTTCAGCTTCCAGCTTCTCTTGAGCAGTCCTCAACTCCTCACGAATCCTAACGACTTCGTCGCGATCTTTTGCCTGTGAGGGTTATTCTTGGATAGTGAGTAGGTTTTGGATATGGATAGTGACTGAGAAGTATTTTCTTGAAGAACTTGGAGCATCTCTTTTTTAAAGTCGCTCTTTAATTCTTTTTCTCTACTAAGGGCGGGGCATCAAAATACCAGTAGCAAAGTACTACGAGTGAATTTCCTTACAAAAGTTGACAGCACTTTCTTGGCATCCGCTAGTGACTGAAATATCTTCGCTGAATCCGCTACGACTTGCTCAACTTGTTTCTCTTGTGATTCCTTGTCCCTCCGCACTCTTGCTACGTGCTCTTCGGCTAGTGTTAGAGCTCGCCCTATTGCTATTCCATCTTGAAAGATATAAGTATAACAGAGCAATTTATAAGGTTTCACAGCTCGCACGGCATGGAGTGCATGGATCACATGGAGTAGCATGGAGCTAAAGGGGGAGCTTCTTGCGCCCCTTAAAGCTCTGCGCTCCATGCCCTCCATGCTACTCCATGCACCATGCGTGCTATAAACTACTCTGATATAATGTACCCACCTCTTTCTCATTCTCATCCTCCTTACTAGACTAAGGGAGGGCCAAGATGCTTCAGCAGGGAATGGAAGTCGAAATGAAAACTAGGGTTTTGAGTCATAATAGTAGAAGTTGCGTGCGGTACCGTTGTATATCTCGCACTTCCCTCTCGCAGACTTTATTGCGAGCAATCAGTTTCTCGTTTGCTTTTCGCGTCTCGATCACCTCCTCCGTGATCTCATTCTGCACGCCACGTGCGGAGTGCATGCTTCGCTGCACCAGCGACAACGCACTCTCAAGCTCCTTGATGTGCGCAATGCGGTCGAGGGCGATGCTCTGGAAGGATTGTGGTTGTTGAGTTCTCGAAAAGGATTGTGGCTGTAAAAACAGATATCTACTTCTTCTGCTAATGACATGGAGAGAGAGAGAGTTGTCCAGTCGTTGTCCCTGCTAATGACATGAAAAATCTAATACTTTCTCCTGCATGTCTTCTGCGATCCTTGCCTGAATGTACGCCATCGCTTCCTTTGTGGCGCGAACCGTCCGTGGTATCGATTGATGATCACGGATCGGGCTGTCGCCATGAGTGGGCTCGTCACCACAGAGCTCGTAACCTGTCAGCATCTGCATGTGTGGTGAAAGCACTCGTGTGCTTGTTCGTTTTGGTGAGTCCGCTCTGCGTCCACTGGGACTGGGACTGGCTGCTCCGAAAGATACAACGTTGGCCGTCAGTCGACTTTGTTCGTCTTCTAATGTACTGCTCGTAGCATAGCCTACTAGGGCGGGTTCCTCCAACATCAGTCGTGCGCGCTCATTGGATGCATCTGAAGAGAATAGGGTTTTGCTCCGCATTTGCATCTGGTTTCCGATGTCTCTGGGAGGAGAGCCCTTTTGCTTTTGGACCCCTGTCATCGATGTCGATGCCCCCTGTCTAATGGGGGAAGCTTGCTCTGCCGCTCGCCATGAGTGAGGCACTGGTAAAGCTGGTTCCGCGCGTTCCTCGTCTCGATACGCGACATGACTACCACCTGCTTCGATCGGATCAATACTTCCGTAGTTGACACTGTGTTGCTCAACGTGGTCTTGCTGGGTCGACAGAAATTCCCTCATCGTTATCGATTGATATTTGTGCTGAGCCGGTGCTGGTGAAGATGTTCTCGTCGTCTGATGTGATGCACCTGAACTTGTCGCCCCAACATGTTGATAATACACAGCCGGCGCTGCTCTAGTATTCCCATGATCCGAGGAGTTGTCTGGATCCGATGAGCTCGCGCGAACGTGGTGCTCAAAAACCGCACCTGCATGCGCATCTGCATGGCGTGATGAAAGCCGGTGATTGATCACATGCTCTTGGTGAGCTTGCGCCTGTCGATGTCCACGATGACGGTCTTCACCACTTCCACTTGAAGGTTCCTCACTATCATTATAGAAGATCATCTGTGGCTGCGTTAGACCCACCTTCGGAGGTTGTGCCTGTGGTCCTTGATGTTTCTCATCTCGACGTTGTAGATACCTCAAATCGGCCAGCATCTTCTGCGTCTCCTCACGTATGGCGTTAGCCTTTTCTGCCGACGCAGCATCTTCCTCAGCGGCCGTTTGCGCCAGCGTGATATTCAAATGATTCGTACCTATTGAAAGAAGAGAGTGAAGACTGAAGACAGAGTCTTTTGCCAACAAAATGAATCATCATACTACAAGACTGATCAAGATGAACATCAAGTTCGTTGGTGACAAAAAAACATAAACAAAAATACCAAAATAAAATACAACGGATATTCTAAATTGTAAGTACAACAAATAGAATTACAGATCTTCGAGTAGTACCTCCTGAGTATGTTCCTCTCGCCGCCCACTTTTTGGGTCCCCATGTTTCGATTGCGAACTTGGTGAGGGTTTCTTCTACGTATTGTAAGCCCTCGTGCATGCGAAGTTTCTGATCCTGCAATTTTGGGACTATACTTCCTTGCAACTCTTTCAGATCAGATTCAGCCTGAGCAAGCTTCGCGAAAATTTCGTTCCTCTCGGTTTCGTAGCGCGTGTTTTCCTCCATCAACTCGGCCATGCGCAGCTCGATTTCCCCTTTTTGAGTCTGCTCCTCGAGGATATTTTCCCGCAATGTTACCTCGAGCTCCTCCAAAGATACGAGTTTTTCTGAAGATGAAGATGAGGATGATCATTCGGATTTGTTATGTTGATCGGTCGTGCTTCTGGGCACAATGACGTCGATGACCATGATAGGACTAAAATAGATCTTCATTTTTAGTCCTACGATATTCTGCTTCTGCAAGCATAATTGACATCCTCCTAGATGGTCCTGTACTATTATCTGAGACCTAGTAGACTGGGCATTTTCACTGAGAAAAGAATTGAAGATACCAGCTTGCTCCTTGAAGAATGTGTCCCACTGGTGGGGCGTCGTCGGTAATTTGACCCCTAGCATATCCGCATAACGGCAGGCTTTGTCCAGCACAATGGATATCAAGCTCCATTTGTTGCCAAATAGAGACGCATACAACTCGGGTATAAGCTGCGTATCCTCGACTTCTCGTGCACGTAAAGCCCTGAGGTGACGAGAGTGGATAGTTCAAGTTCGAGTTTAATCGACTATCTTAGACTTTATCTTTAATCGACAGGAAAACCCTAACCCTACAGCTAAGCTACAAGTCGTACAGCTGAAGTCAAAAACCCCAAGAAGAGTAGTATGCGCATTTTTGATCATATTAACGAAGACGAACAACAAGGCAACATGAGAAACGCAAATGGTGAAATTATGAATTTTCAGTACGCCGCCAGCTTGTTTCTTGGTGGTGGAGCTTCATTTGGTCCCGCTATATCTACGGGACTATTCGAGCGGCTCCCCCTAACCCCTTGCCCTTTCGCTGGCGTATTGGACGACGAAGACCCATCGTCCGGACTGGTCGAGTTTTTCTTCAACGTCCCCAGACTTTAGAAGATCTTCTCAAATTATCTATTATTTTAGTCTTTTCATGGCATAGAATTGTCAGGATCCAAGTCCAACATCATGAGGTAAACTGTATTGAGGTAAGTGCCCTGTAAACATGGATTACCATCGCGAGCCTTAACTAATAGTCGCACTAGGGCGCCGCAGCATCACTCTGGAACTCGATTTCGCCGTCGCGGGTGACGAAGCTGCTGCACCTGGAGTTCCACCTCCAACCTTTGCCTTCGCTGGTGACATACTAGAATTAGAGGTTTTCAGAATCAGGGACAATGTTAGAATTAGAGGTTTAGAGTTGGGTAGCTGGAAACCACCCTGTAATCGCAATTAGAGGCTGAAACTCTTCTGAACATGATCATTCACGGTGACTCCTTTCTAGTCACTATGTATTAATACACGTGGATCTGAGACAGCGAAAGCGATCATGTTGGTGGAGGATACATAACATTGTATTACAATCTTCTGGAAACGAGCCTTAATAGAAGGAGCAGACCCTTTTCCGCGTCCGGGCGGTGCAGGAGAGGCACGAGACGCTATACTCTTGCGTCGGCCCTCCGCTACGGAGAGAGATCCGGCGCGACCTCCGCTATCACTACTGGACGCGGAGCCCGATTCCATTTTGGGCAACGTCGCAGCGCGAAAACTGCAAGACCACGAATTCTAATCTTCGATGAGATTCAAGGAAAACATTAAGGGTGTTCCATCTTTTTTTGTATGCTTCACTTGAACTGACTTTGTTGATCTGAGTCAATGTTTGAGTTTGGTCGTTTGATGAGCGATTTGTCACCTAAAGTGGCAATTACATTCGCAAATCGTGAAATAATGACTTAATGTAAGTACATCGCGTTTAACGATAGTAGAGGAATTGATTTTGGAGAACGGGTAGAGATGCAGATGGAGTCACGACTTGTAGTACACTTGAAACCGAGTAGCGTAACAACCTTGGCGGAAGCGACCGATCTACGACCACAGTAGAGAATTCAATACAACTCGTTGCGGTGCCTGGTTGTTCAGACCGAAACTTAATATCATGGTTTTCATGATCTGCAGTAGTAGGTACTAGAGTACTTTCGAATAATTGCTCTCATGATCACATTCACATTGTACTTGTAGTCACCAGCACCACAACCTATTTTGAAATGGATCATCTGGATGTTCATGGGACCGATATTCCACAGAGTGGACGACAGTGAGACGTCTTCTAGATGATCGATGCACATGCAGTTACAGACTCGTCGTGGTTTCAATATGAGCAGCCAAGCTGCTAATAACAGAGGAACGCTTGATTCGCTGTTATGCGCATGAAAACATGTTGCTTCTTGCGTTGAAACATTTGCGTATCGCATCATCTACAGGTCAAAGTTTCGTTTAAGGGAAGCCTGGATTATGCTTATGGATCGTACTTGGGAAGCTGCAACTTTAGAAGGAAGTATCTTATCGGGAGGCAACTTTGGAAGGAAGCTTCGTATGCTGCCTCGGAAATCGCGGCTACTCCTACTTCCCACCATCTTCATCTTCAGGGTCATTTTCGAGTTCTTTCCGAGATGCAAGTTGATGCTGCTCCATGATCTTCCGTTTTCGAATCTCATCTTCTATGATTAGAACCAACTGGTCGTGACGACACTCAATCTCAAAAGTGAAACATCTAAATGAACGGCGAGAACGTGGTCCATTAGATCCATAACTTCAAGTCGAAAACGAAGCGCCTCTGCACATCGTCCACGGGACGGCCGCTGCCGTATGCCTCCCAACCATCGCCGATACCGATGCGCGTATTACGACGACGGCGTCTCAAGTTCTGTGGGCGCAAGAAGTCCATTCGCGTGATATCTGGTGTGGGCTCTACCTTGCGATCGATGTTTCCGCGATAGTGACCTATTGCGTGTAGAGATTTGACGATAGTTGCGACATGGGCCATGCCGATCAAAACCGGGCGCATACGGGCTAGAACTTCTGCCTGCTTTGCTGCGCTGTAGGCACGCCGAAGCGAATCTTCTTGCAATCCTGTGATTGCTTGGCCATCTCTTTTTAGATGAGCTCGAAAGATTTCAAATTCCTGTGGCTCATTTCTCAAGATCCAAAACCAAAGCGGAATGCAAAGTCATTTTTTATAATGACTGGTGCTCTTCAAAAATCGAAATTCTACTTAATCTTCAAAAAAACTCTACTTAATCTTTTGCCTCCCGTGTTCGACTGTCCTGCTCCGGAGGCAACAGCGTCGAAACCTTGGTCTTCTGGACAGCTTCTGTCTGGATCATCAAAAAGGCGGTCGTACTGTTTTAGATGCTCGACAGACACGGAATTCATCGGATACGTCAATGGCAACGCCAGTCGAGACTGCAGCAAACGCGCGCATACGGTCGCGCGTGCCCAGAAGGTCTTAAAACGTTCAGCTTCTGCCGGCTTCAAGCTGGTTAGAGATGCATCGTTGGAGGTGTTAAGTACGTTGTTCATGTTCTCCTGTTATATTTTCCAACATGCATAGACATGCATAGTTGTTCTCCCTTATTCCTAAAATAAGAATAAGTAGTTGCAGTAGAGAGGCAAAGATATTATTAACGCCACTAAAAACATCGAAGAGATGAACCTACCCGCCTTAAGTTAGGCAACGCTCTCTTCGCCGTAGCCCTATGACCGTGGACGGCAAAGTGCTCGCGAGCAAACGCCGCACGAGAGGAAGCTGCAGTCGACATCCTTATGACTGGAGAAGATCAGAGTACTATGTGTTCTTCTTGTCCATTTCTATGTTCTTCTTGTCGCTCGAGTTGTATGTTTCTGTAGAACGAATACTCTCGACTTTATTTAGCGGAAGATCTACTTGCTCTTCTTCTTAGCAAAGGCCAGATCCTATCTGGGACATGAAAGCCTGACAACTCCACATAAGTATGACAGAAAGAAGGATGGATCAGCATCAGAGGACATGAAAGCCTGACAACTCTTCATCTAGTAGATGACATCTGCATAAGTATGTCAGAAAGAACAGTTAAGGAATGACATCCAGATCGAGAGACCCGCTCAGCCAGCTAGAATATCGGTCACTTCTGTGGTGAGCAGGACGCATTAGACCCCTCCAAAACTCATGGTCCAGGAGGAGGACCACAAATTTTTAGACCGTGAAGATGGGACAATAGCTCCAGCATGTCGCGAAAAAACCTTCCAGCAAAACCAGGACTGCAGCCACCGTCTGTTCTTTTGTTCTCTAGAAGGCTGTCAATAATGGTGTCACAGGCTGCATGAGTTACAACTACTACTCGTCGTGAGTGTGATGTCTCTGTTTCTGCCTCGTGTCCACCTGCATCTGCTTGCGGTATAGCACAAGAACCTGGTTCTGCAAGTTTCTGTCCCAAGAACCAGTTTTTTCGAAGTAAAAGAATCACATCTCCAACTCCTGTTTCGGCATCAGCGTAAGTCCCACCTCTACTATCTTGGCAGTATGAAAACAACAAGGTCAACGCACGATGCAGCTCTGAAAGGAGGATCTGCGCATCGCCTCCTGAAGAACTGCTTCCTCCTCCTCTTCCGCCATGATTCTCTTGGTCGTGAAACCTCTCCAACGCTCCGTCTTGCCTTAATCTTTCCACGAAATACTCTCGGATTTGCCCACGTACGAGTGCGGCTGCTGCAGTGTCTTCTCCGCTTTCCATCCTGCCAGTACCTTCCAGAAGGAAATCCATGCCATATTTGCGTTCGAAAATCTCCTCTAGCGTACTAAGATTCGGCTTAACGACGTTGCGATTAAATGCATGCACATTGCCATTCTGATGTGCGATGGCTTGGCGCCACAAGCCGCTAAGGCACTGAGCATCCCGGTCCTCGCGAACGCTGGCTGAGGCGTCCGACGGAATGTCCATTTTGAGGAATGCGAATAGGTTCTTCTACTTCTACTTCTACTTCGAATGCTCACAGCGGCCACTGCTCGTCCTCATCATCATCTACCACTAGCACTCAATAAATCCTGGATCCTCCTTCATCTACTTCACCAGGAGATTCAGCAAATTAATACAACAAAGACAATCACGTTTCTTACGAAGACAATCATGTGAAGTGTTTGGGACAAGAACCCCCTAGACGCATGCCATCTATACTAGTGCTGCTGGACTGGAACTCCTTCACTTTCTGACTCCTACTGGTACCGGACGTCTTTTGATTCAGATGAATTGAAGATACCATTTCGTGCTGATGAACATGAACAAAGGATTCATGATAAAACGTCGGCGTCATCGTCAATTTTTGTTGCTGATGGAAATTGGAACCGGAGCGGATGAAAAATACTTATTTCAACGGAAGATAACTGAATAAGTAAGAGTAACATAAACATGAAATACACCCTGTCCCTGGTAAGTAATGACCGATTTAATTAACTGTAGTTTTATCGTCAGACTAGATCTTCGTGAACTTTAGTGTACACAGGAATTAGTATAGACACTACTTTCCGTTTCCAAACGCTTTAGGAGACAACATCTTCGTCTTCCACACCAGCGACGGCATCTGAATCATCTGTCACGTTTCCTCACTTGCCTCTACTCGTGCTGTTTGCTGTCCGCATCCGCTGCCTTGCGCGCATCATAAAAGCATCTTCGTCCGCCTTTTCCACGCCTCCCCCGTCGTCGCTGTCATCAGATCCCGAGTACAAAGAGGTTTTTTGAATCTTGGTTTCCTGCTTATCCGCAATCATCTGCTCTAACGCGGCCAGCGAAGAGTTTTGCGATGATGATTTGGTCTTTTTTAGAGCTATCGGGTTTTTAGCACACGAGTTTGAGAGGCATATCCTTGGAGGCGTTTTTTCCTCTAGTTTGGAAAACGAAAAAAGGAGCCAAGGGTCATGCTCTGGTAGGGATATGCTCATGCGCATGCTGTCTCCTACTTTGATGCTTCCTCTTTTGCCTTAACTTTTGGTGCTTTAGTGTCTCCTCAATCCTGGCCATGGCCATTGCTCTTCTCGTTGCCGCGGATATGCGTGGGTTCGTCAAGGGGTTCACGTCCTCGTCCTCAACACCAGCCGAAAAATCATCCACAGCACTGGTACGCTCACGACCACTTCTTGGGAACAGAGTACTGCCACTGGCACTATTGTAAGACAAAGAACCGGTTGTAGTTGGTTCAACACCAGCTGAGGTAAAAATACCATCTGCATCGCCTTGAACTCCTGTCGTCATCTCTGTACCACTAGACGACAATGCTAGGAGTTTGGTTTGCTCCGCCGAAGCTGGTGCGAGTGCGATGTTTACTTCCACAACTTCTTGTTCAGAGGAATTACTAGTGGTGAGCAAAGCCCTTGTAGAGCTACTAGAGCCTGATCCACCAGCACCACTAATTGCAGTGGTCCCTGCTAGCTGGTGTCCGCTCGTACTTCGAGCTCGCAGTGCCTCAATACGTCCGAACAAGTCCTTCGACTCCTGCTCAAAATCGTCCATGTTCTTCGTATAGACAACACGCGGAGCAGGCGATGCAGGAGGAGATCCGCTGCTTAATATCGGTCTACTCTGCATATGATCTGTCTCTGCGAGAGCAGCCTTGTTCCCGATTGATGCCGTAGAATTGCGGTTGAAAGAACCAACGGGAGACGCGTTAAGATCCTCCTGCTCTAGAAGATCAGCGCGCCGTCGTTGCGCGGGAGGCCCTCCTCTTGCTGGTTTCTTCCCTGGAGAGTCAGGTTCAAGTCCACCAGGCATAGGTCCGGATCCTGCTTGTGAAGCGGAAGCTGCTGTGTCTGCAAGAAGTCCTGCCTCGTACTCTTGCTTCTTCTGTAGGATCTGATGTTGGACGTAAGCATTCTGTAAAGAGGAACCTGCGGAAGGCCTCAAACAGATGTTCTATAGAAGATACCATAGATAAGTACTCAAGATGCTCGTGATAAACGGGAAAGGAGGATGTAGCAAACTAGATGTAAGAAGAGAAACACTGCAGGAAAAAAAATAACCTCAACATTCGAATTCGAATTTAACTGAAAATACTTTCTGCATTTCGAGCTGTGCTTTTCGTAGCTTGTCAGCTTTTCGCGATTCCTCACTCATGAGGTGTGCCTTGCCCTTTGCTTCAAATGTTCGTATTCGCTGTTCTAGCGTCTTTGCGAGGGCCGACTTCTGAATGGCAGCACTACTTCGCTCTTTCGAGCCTGAAGCGGTCTGAGAGTTTTCTCGGGGAGGTCCAACGGACGCTGGTCGTTGCTGTCTTTCTGCGCAGACAACGGCTTTGTCTCGGACATTCTCGACCTCGCCATCCTTCTCTTGACCGCTAAGAACGTCGCCCTTTTTATCTCCTGATTCGCGCAGACCTCCGTATAAAGAAGCAGCTGAAGTCGCAGGCTTCTTTACTGCTTCATTTGTTGAGACGACCGCATTATCTTTTTTCACTTTCTTCTGGTCTGCTGTAGTCAAATCTGAGCCACCGGAATGCCCATCTTCAATTAGAGTCTCCTAGATTGTATCTCCGCCCCCTCATCTTGACCTCTTTTTTTTATCTTGTATTTCATGAGAATACAACAAGGGAAAAGGGTACCGAGATGCCGAGAAAGATGGACACTAAATGTTGACCTTAATTCAACATCGTTATCGAGGCATCGATCCTGCTGGTCGTGAGCTGCACGTCCGATTGCATCTACACTCTTTCTGAAGATGGCCTCTTGAGCTCCTCCATCCTCTGTTTCTACCTCATCATCCGCGTGTTGTACGGCAACGGCACTAGAGGACTGAGCCTGAAGATCTTCAGCGTTACTTAGAGCTATGATAGCTTCACCAGCACATCAGCGTGAGCAGTATTCCTATTTCCCTTGTATCAAAATACAAAAAAAAATAATAAATGTACGCACCGACGCCTATATTCGGTCTCTTACTGTCGCTTGCCTTAAGTTACTCCCGACAGAGGCGCCTCTGCGCAAATCTGGATCTCTGCGCAAGTCGGGATTGCTTCTCCTGCGTGGCTTTTGCTTCCCTCTGGCGCTTGGTGAAGACGCGAGGCTGCTCAAGCTTGACTCGTGGGTGGCGCAGTCGCCTCTGCCTCCACCGCCGCCACCACTTGCTGATTGCTGTTGTCTTGCCCTTTTGCTCGATGTGCGGTTCTATTAGAACCAGAGTCAGATGCTGAAATCGTTATCGTGAGTCTCAACTAATTGACGAACATGAGAACTTGGCGTCGCGTCTTTGCTGTGTCCGTAACTACTGTCTCGCGAACTTCCCATTCCGCGCACCCCTTTTCCAGAGGCGTCGCCGTCTTGTTGTGATCCCGAGTTTCGACTTTTAGCTAAATGCGCTAGCAACCTGCGAGCACCGCCTGACTCTGTCGCTGTCGTGGTGCTGCTAGTACGACCCTTGACGGACATCGAACCTCCATGTTGATCCGCAGCGGGTGTACTAGCTGTTGTACTAGAGGTATTTTTTGGTGTAATAGAACTAGAGGCGGCATCTGCTACTTTGTTAATAAGGTCCCCTTTGTCTGCTCCTGGGCCAGGCTCAACCAGATTGTTTGCTGCAGTGGCGCGAACACTGCGGCGACCGGCTAATGGCGGCAGCTGTTTGCGGTCCTGAGAGGTGCGCGGATTCATCTGACTCGGTTCATTCGAAGATCGTCTATTCTTCGACGTCGATAGACGGGTAGATACTCCTCGTCCTCCTCCAGAAGGAGCACTAGCAGCATTACTACCAGCACTACAACTGGGCGTGCTTCTTGACGTGGGAACATTCGAAGGCTGAGTTGGTTCTGCTCCGGGAGTAAGGTTTGGCTCTCCACCTCGTTGATGTGACCACGTTTGCTGTTGACTGCCACCTATCGCGCCATCTTGTTTCACTTTCAGTTGATCCCGAAGCATTTCGGTTCTGTTCTTGTAACTGCGTTTAGCAATAGCATTGTAGCCTGAGCCAACTGCTGGTGAGCGTTCCGGTTCTGCGGGAGGTGCTTGTGATGCCGGATTGGCAACTGCGACTCTCACCGGGCCACGCGTTGAAAGGCGATTCACTCGTTTTCCTTCGAAATTGAGAGAGCCTCTGCCAGTAGATGGCACTTGTTGATGTTGTCCTCGGCCAAGTTGAGTCACAAGAACGCCATCGTCCGTTTGCACACCAGTACCACCAGGCCTGGCCCCTGTAGACACAAGGAGCCTACTGTCATTTACTCCCCTTGCATTAAAAGCCAGACCACCAGGACCGGTGCTAGGTGGCGTGCCATCTCCGTCGCCAGCATCTTCTCCGCTCTGCGCGCCCACCTTGTCATCGCTATAATTACTGCTGATCAGCCATTTATCACAGTGCACATGTCCTGTGGCCCGCTCGCTGGGTAGTTGCTCCATCCGGTCGTCCTCTAAACACAGAACCGTTCGACGAGCGCAAATTAGCCAAAAAGCTTTCTAGAGACAAAAAGCTACTGCATTTGGAAAAAAATCCTCTAGAAAATATTCACCAAGGAGTATCGCCCACTCACTCCCTTAGTCGCGACACTCGCCACTACCCGTACACCTCCTTGAATGATTCATTCAATCTTTTTCTCTGGATGTATCTGCTTCTGCTCCTTTACTGTTTTCAATCGAAAATAAACAGTTACTCCTAGAAGAAGAAGTCCCTGTTTATCGTCATAAATTTGCAGTTCCTGATCCTCCAGCCTCCTGCCCCGCGCCACTTGCTCCTGGCGGCTCCCGTGCGTGGATGCTAAGCGCATAGACGTCCTCTAGGATGTCTTCTTTGGCCAAGAAAAATGTTCGTTCCCAAGTATCCGTCGCATACTTGCTTTCAGGACACCACCTTGCAGCCCCTGCTTGTGCGACATCGGATAGTCGGTCGAGAGAAAAGCGGACGCGTAAACCGAAGATGACCTGCAAGGAGTTGTGTCAGAATTGATAAGCTTTGGAGCGGACAGAACAGTGCTTGGAGTGAGATAGTTTACACCTAGAGGTAACAAACCTACACCGCAGCGCATCCCATCATTGAGAATAGTGATGACAGGTAGACAATAGAATTCTTGAGCAGCATAGCAATAGATTTCACCCCCAGAGGGATGATCATGATCCTGTCTCGACATGCAACAAACTTATTACTCAACCTCGGAAGTACCCCAGTTCCAGTTATAGTTGTCGCGTTTGCAGAGCCTTCCTCAAGAAGCAAAGCGTTTCTTGTTTCAGGTACGACGTGGCGGAGTCTCGCGCGGAGCAAGAGTCTATCTGCACGTGCGGCGTACTCGCTTGGCTTCAGATTCTTCTGCTGGCCGAGATCTGCATCCGTGACTCCCCGCAGTTCGACCAAGAGCTGAAGAGCATGACCTTGGAGAGAAAAGATCTCGGTTTCTCGTACCGCTTTCCTGCGTTTCCAGTTGACGGCCCTCGCGCCTCTGACCATGTCCCGGAAATCGAGCACTAATCGCGCATACTCAGTGCTGAGGTGCGACAGATAGTCGTGCCGTGCCTTTACACGCAAAATTAGAACTCACTACAATCCATCTTTTCGCTCATCTGTCGTGGCCATTGTCCTATTGGAAAACAGCTTGCAGGACCTAACCAGTTGAACTAAAAAAAGATGGATTGATGCGTGCCAGGTGAACTAAAAAAAGATGGATTGTGAGTGAGGCCTTAACAAAAGACGGTCAAACTTCCGTTGTTTCTCAGCCTCAAGGCTGAGGCGACGTTCGAGCGCACTCCTTCGCTCCCGCAAGGCCACGATTTCCTGTGCGAGACGGCGCCGGAGCCAAACATCCTTACCATCATTCGCAAATCCGGATGCTGCAGCTAGGTCGACGGGGGTATAAGATCTCTTGTTGGAGGTCCCGACCTCTAATGTAGTCGGGATTTGCGGAGCGCCTTCGATGTCCACTTCACACGACATTGGAAAGCATGGTCTGCCGTCAGGACTCAACACAAACCGAGCTGAGACTGAGAGCCGCGGTCGACCCAGTCGCTCGCAGGGGCCATGAATTTGTTACCTAATTTGTTTGTTCTAGTTCTTAATTTTCTTATTTTTATTTAATTTTCGTTTCATCTCTTGTTGTTCTTGTTACTTTCTGAAGTTTCATCTTACATCCACTATTTTTACTCCTCCTGTACTTTGATTTCATTTCGATAGAAAATCCAATGTACAGGAGAGCCCTCGTTTCCCTCTTTCGCTCGCCTCACCCTCAGCAATGAGTGTATGGTTGAACCATTGTCAAAGCAAGTTGTTTCTTTGTTTCCCTCATTCCTACTTCATTTCACTTTCACGCGCACGCATAAAAGTTCATGTGGTCTCTCTTGGCTGCGGAAGTAAAAGTAACTGTCACCCTGAGTGGTCTCGAAATGAGGGATCGCCCGATAGAGAAAGATCTTGCAAGGTCCTGTCTGACTTGGAAATCGTACCTCGACGAAAGGGTGGCGAACACAAGAAACAGTCGGGACGAGCGAGAGCGAAATGAAAAGTCAAGTTTCTAGTGCAAGGTCGCAGAGGTCGACCCGAAAACAGTGAAACGCATAAAGGGTGTCAATCTCAAACTTAAGAACTGTCTGCAAACAAGGTCAGATACAATCTCTTGCTTCAGGGAATATACTGACGCGTCTATGGGTGGAAACTAACGATGAGCACCGGCAGAGGCACGAGTGCGTAAAGATCATCTAAAACGCATAAAAGTTCATGTGGTCTCTCTTGGCTAAGCAGCTAGCGTCTCGCGTGAGTTGTTGCAAGCTTCACATCGCCCCAATCGTAGTGTGCAGGTGCATCCACCTCTGTCCTCAGAGTAAGCTGGTTCGAGGTCGAAGCTGCTTTTTGTTTTCTTCATGCGAATCCATCTTCAAATAATCCTGAAGGGGCAAATCTTTAAGAACGATGACTCGCGTGTTCATATGAGACGTTTACTGATTTGAATCAGTAGCAGTAGTAGTAGGAGTAGTAGTAGTTGTAGTAGTAGTAGTAGCGGTAGTAGTAGCGTACCCAATCGAGGGGTAAGTACAAAGTACAGGATAGGATAGGAGTGAGCTCGCCTACGGAGAGGTGACCACTCACGACTATGAAGACGCCGTTAGTAGCCTTATTACCTGCTTTTTCGCTTTTTAGGTTGTAGTAGATAGTGTCTGCTTTTTAGCGCCTTTGGCCTCGGATCGTGTACTAGAAATAGTAAAACAGCTCCAGTTTTTATATCAAGAGTGGCCTTCCTGTTGTGATCTATGTACGTATGATACGAAGTCGTGTGTGGAACTTGTTTTCAATCATGTCTATGTCGACACACGTTTAGAATATGTAGAAACGGCACAGCCCAAATCTACGATTCACCAGCAATGTTGGGAATCCCGAGAAGTAAGCTCTAGCGGTCGTTGATGATAGGTTCAAGTTCAATGTCTTGATGGAGTTACGATGCCAGGTGCACCAACGTCACAAAATCTTGTGGGAAAATCTTTGTGAATATGTAAGGGGCACCGATGCATAGGGAAAATCTTTGTGAATCTGAACGAATCAATGAATGAACGAATGTACCCACTCCATGGGTTAGGAAGAACCACTACACACGACTTCCTTTTGCATCTAGCCTCGTCCTTGTTCCGTTCTTGTTCTTTATCTCGTCCGACTGACGTCGTGAAGATAGTAAGTAGTCCACCTCTTACTCAACATCTAAGTCTTACCATAATCTTTGCCCTTATCCGGTGGTAAAATGTGTCTTACCTTGTAGCAACACGGCTTACGCTTAGGTACGTTCTAACAACTACACTGAGATCAAGTAGCAGCTACTCACTCGTTACTCACCGTTGTAGCTTTTACGAAAACCATTACTTAATCATATGTTTGCACCGTTGTAGTGTCTGGCTGATGATCTAGTTCCTCATTCATCGAAGAAGTGACTTTTATGATTCAACTGATCGTAGCAGTAGCAGTAGTAGTAGTTGTAGTACGTAGTACGTAGTACGTAGTACGTAGTACGTAGTACGTAGTACGTAGTACGTAGTACGTAGTACGTAGTACGTAGTACGTAGTACGTAGTACGTAGTACGTAGTACGTAGTACGTAGTACGTAGTACGTAGTACGTAGTACGTAGTACGTAGTACGTAGTACGTAGTACGTAGTACGTAGTACGTAGTACGTAGTACGTAGTACGTAGTACGTAGTACGTAGTACGTAGTACGTAGTACGTAGTACGTAGTACGTAGTACGTAGTACGTAGTACGTAGTACGTAGTACGTAGTACGTAGTACGTAGTACGTAGTACGTAGTACGTAGTACGTAGTACGTAGTA